AAAAAAAACTCATTCCAACCCCCCCCTTCCAATCAAACCCCACCTCACCACCGCCCAAACTTCCCCCCGAAATCAAATCCATCCATTTCACAACTTCTCCCCCCTCCGCGCACCCTTCCACCCCCTCTTCACCGCCTCCATCATCTCCAACTCCTCCTCCGTCGGCTTCTGCGGATCCACCGCAAACCGAATCAATCCATCCTGCATACACGTCGCAATATGTGTACCTTCATCATTAAAAATTCGACAATTATGCACAGCTCGTCCACCATGTATTCGGCTCCCGAAGACTTCCATACAAAACCATCGGCCACCTCCATCGTTGTTGTTGTTGTTGTTGGCTTTGTGGAAGGGTGATTTGGTGCGTTTTGTTGTTGTTTTTGATGCTGTGGAAGATCCAAATCTCATCTCCCCCTCCTCAGCATGAAAGATAACCGTATGAGAAAGACTACTCATGTTCGTAAAAAAATCCCCCAAATCGAATAAATTCGCCACGATAAATAAACTGTTGCGATCAGATGCGTATAAATGTGCACATAATTGCATATTCATATTCATATTCATCCCCTCTTCTTTTTCTTCGCCTTTTTCGCGATCAAAAATCATCCGATAAAATATCAACTGCCTCCTCTCCATCGGATGTCTTGTGGAATTCCATTCCCTCATATCCACTTTCCGACACTGCAAACCCGGAAACGCATCATGTTTCCCTTTTCCCTCCTCACCGTCCTCATACTCCAAAATTTTCTTCCGATAAAACGTCAAATCCATCCCCGGAACCTCTTCCAAATCCCTCATCGGATCCGTCTTTCCCTTCAAAACACCCCCATAGACCTTCTCTCCATAAAAGTCATCATCCAAAAAATCTCCTTCTTGTTGTTGGATGGAAACTTGAGAATGTTCGCGGAGTTTAAATGAACATGTTGCTATAAAAAACATCTCCTTTCCCTTTTCTTTTTCGTCTTTTTTTGCACTTTCTTGAAAAACCTCCACCCCTCTAACTTTAATTCCTTTTCCATTTCTGATGATTTTTACTCGATATTCGAATTTCGAGTCTAATTTTCCGGGAAGGAGAAAGTTTCCTGAGATGCTGTGGAGCAGAAAATCACTTTTCCCCGCAGCACCACCTGCACCACCTCCCGTCGCCGAAGATGCAGGATGAAGAGGAGCACCTTCGAGAGTCTGAGCAGCAGCCCAAGCAGCCTGCATCAGCACATGTCCACCATAGGACCGGCCTGTTCCGAGAGGTCCGCCGGGGGCGAAAGGGGGGGAGATGGAGAGGAAACTTTTTTGGAGAGAATCGTCTGGATGGTTGTTATTGTCGAGGGACCCAGAAAGAGATTCAAGAGCGATAAGTTGGGAAAAAGGCAAATAGGTGTTTCCGGGGTGGAAGGGGAGAGGGTGTGGAAGAGGGCGGGTGGGAGCGCCGCCGCGGGTTGTTGTTGGGGGCATTTTCTTTCTTTTCTTTCTTTCTTGGGATGGGTTTTTGGGAGGGTCTTGAAGTTTTTTGTTTCTGTTACTTTTATCTTGATTCGAATGGGTTTTGGTGGATGCTGTAAATATTGATGTGGTTGTTGTTGTTGTTGATGTTTGTTTTGTATTACTTTTTCTTTTCGACTTTTAAATCCGGGCCATGTAAGGATCCGAAGCCAGAGGCCGAGGTGAAGTGTACTACGGTGGGGTGGAAGTCATGTTGGGACAAAACTCCTCACAGCCTCACAGGCCCTGGCCAATTTCATAAACTCTATTCGCTGCGGATACGTCGATATGATCGATATCGGTATATTTCTCGAACATATAACCGAATTTCCTGTATGAATGATGAATCCTTCTCAGCTCGTCAAGGAACTGTCTGTCAACAGACTCTACTGTACCTACTACAACTAAATATACAACAACCTCATCCTCCTCCCTCACATATCCATTCTAGACCTACCTACCCAACCAAAGGTCCCTCCTCCACAGGCAACTGCACCCTAAACAACAACGCCTGATTTTCCAAACTATACCCACTCCCATCCTGATAGCGAAACTCTCCATTTTTCAAATATCCATCCTGCGTAATAAAATCATTATCCGAAAATGATAACACAAAAAATTCCCCTTCGTTATCATCTTCCCCTGTGGTCCTCTTCGTCTCCGTCTTCGCCTCCGTGGTCGTTTCCTTCAAAACAGGAACAACAGCCAAACTCTCCCACTTCTCATTCAACAACCCCTGACTCTGTTCCCCCCCATTCCTCACCCCAAACCGCTCCAACTGCGAATTCACATTATAATCCAACCAAGAACAATATTCCGCCGCCGTCACATTCTCCAAAAGACTACCTCCTGGAGCGATGGATCCCGTCGTATCATCATAAAAAGATCCAGCAATGTTGGTAGCGGAGGAAATATCAAACACATCGACGTGGCGATAAATGCTTGTGGTACTCGTTCCTTGACCTCTTCCTGCTCCGGAGTCGCGGGCGAGGACGAGGAATTGTGTGGGGGAAATATAGTGGATTTCGCTTTGGCGGGCGATTCGGGAGGAAGGGGTTGAGGGGAGGGTGTTGGGTAGATGGATGACGTATTCGGCTTCGAGAAGAGGAGGATGAGAAGAATCAGAAATGTCGTAGACGAGAAAACGAGAATTGGCAGTTGAAGGGTTTTTGGAACCGCTGTCTTGCTGCAAAGCAGATTGGGTAAGGGCATAGAGTTTTGTGCCTTGAGGATTACTGGTGAGGCCTTCGAGACCTTGATTGTTGGCTCGGCCGGTGGTGGGATCGCGAGGCGTGGGACGGAGAGAGGGATTGTAGCTGGGTGCGGAATCTGCGGAGAAGGATTCGTTGGAGTTGCGGTGGGGAATGTAGGCTAATGGGGGCCGGATGGCATTGATCATGTTTCCGGATGGGCTGAAGTTGTAAATGTAGTCGCCGTATTCGTCTGAGACCCAGAAGGTTCCATCGTGCCCGAGAACGAGACCTTCGGAGTCAATTACTAGTCGATTGCCCCCCGTGCCTGCGCCTCCGAATCCATCTCCGGTGTAGTTGGCAGATGGGAACGGGAATTCGTAGCCGGGAAATGTCAAATACGGTCCCGTCAGAGCACCATCGAGGCCGGAAGTGGGGTTTCCAGCGGGATCAGTGAGAAGAATGGTGTCGAGGTACGTGAATTGGAGATTTGGTGGCGATGGATCGGCAACAGTGGCAGAAGCGTTAGGCGTGAATATAATCGAAAACTTCTGAATGCGGTTCTGGTAGTTGAGAGTGCCTTCTGTGTTCCAGCCACGATCGGGCAATGCATACAGCTGGCCAGTATATGAGTTATTCGGAAGACGAACCCATGATCTGTCCACAAATCACTATCGTCAGCGTGTGAGACTCACTCACTCGGGTATGCCACTCACGCCACAGCAATCGAGGAGCCAATGCCCCCAATAGTATCTCCCAGCTTGTCTCGAGCATTGTTGGGAACGAAACCGTAACCAGCAAGCTCGTTATACACATATGTCTTGCCATTACAGGTGGTCGAGTTGACGGATGGAGTCGCTACACCGCCAGCTTGTGGTAGAGCCGAGGCCGAGGTAGACAGAAGGACCAAAGGCACAGTGGCCAGCAGATTCCAGGAGAGGAGCATCTTCTATCAAATCAACGGAAAGATGACTCCTACCGAACACAACAGAAAACGTATACAGGCCAGAAGAAGAAGAAGAAGAAGAGGCGGCAGGATTCCATTGTTACCTTATAGTAGGCCCAAGCCGTGTGCAAGACATTTATTGATTTTTTCCCGCCATCCCCAAATGCGCGAGGGCACGGAACTGAGTAGGGGACCAATAACATTGTGTTCTGCAGCGTTTCTCTCGCAGCAGGCAAAAAAATGAGTTTTGTGCAAATCGTCGTCCAAAGAGGCGTAGTCCTGTCCTGCAGCTCAACCGTTGGAGCTCGTGGCTGAGGTCCCCCGGGGCTTATGTCAGCTCACTCGTGGTCCCTGTAAGGCACATGATTCGATGTTTGCCCTGAGAAGTTTAGTAAACGATGTCGACGAGGCTTGCAGTGATGGCGCTTGGGAACTATGCCATCATCGCTTCCACCATAAGAGCCGTATATCCAGCTTTCTTGATGCTTGATCGGTACCTAGCGAGTATGTCTTGGGCGGGATTCACTCACTGGTTGGTTACACCACGTGCCGTATGCTATGTGTCTGGCATGGTATGGTATGGTATGCGTGTTGCCTCCGACCAGCCACCCATGTTGAAAGGGACGAGAATACGGTGGCAACGAGCGAGGAACGGCGAAGACCGAGCTGCTGAGCATACCTGATATTATTCCTGCTGAGCCTACCTCCCTCCTATATGTGACAGCACACCAACCACATGGTACACACTGCTGCAAGATCCAGCACATTGCCCACACGTGACCACTACTGTACGTGTGCTACCTATTTCGTCTTCCGCGTGGAGCCTGGAGCAGTAGCAGTAGCGGCCATCTCCAGTCCCTGAAGTATCTCTCCCCCAAATACATACATCATATATGAAGGCCCAATCAGCCAGGCGCCGTTGGGAATAATCCACATAGTGATTAATGTAGTCCAGTCGTTGTGACCGATATTTTCAAATCCCGAAAGATATTCCAGTAGCCCTATTAGAAAAAGAGAAGAATTTCCCATGTCAGTCAGTCAGTCCATCAGTCAGTTCATACAATGAACAACCACCAAAGAAATCCCCATTCCCTCCCGAGAATGATGGGAAAAAAAAGGAAAGAAAAACATACAATACATAACAGTCTTATAAAACGTCAAAGAAGCCGCACTAAACCCCACCAAAACCGCCCACGCCGCCCTCCTCCCCTCCAAAGTCCTCCCCTCAAAAATCCCCTTCCCCTTCGCATATCCACCCCCCCAAACCCACCCCAAATAAACCGCATAAGCCAACACCTCTCCCAAATTAAACCACGTCTGCGTCTGTGTCCAAGAATTATTCTCCTGCAAAGCCTTCCAGCCATAGACATAATCAATTTCCGCATACAACGCATACGGCGTCCAGAGCGGCGAGTGATATTTTCCTCCGACCATGCTGTGCGGTCGCAGGAGGACGTAGCCGGCGTCCCAGAGGACGAGCGGAGTGCTGAGTGTGAGCCAGAGGAGCGTGAGGGGGCGGGGGGTGTGGGTCCAGGGTTTGGTTGGGGAGGAGGAGGTGGTGGAGGTGGAGGGTTTGGTGGTGCGCGTTGTTGTTGTTGTTGTTGTTGGGGGCTTTGGAGCGGCGGTGGTGGGTTTGGTGGGACTTTTGGTCGATTCGCCGCCGGAGCGCGTGGTGACCATTTTGGAGGTGGTGGTTTTTGATGCGACGGAGGGGGAGGTTTCTGGTGTGTATGAGAAGAGAGGAGGAGTATAAGATGTATGTAGGAGGTAAGGCACCTCAGGTGAGCTTCTGTCAGAAGACTAGTCGAGTTCTGAGAGAGGTACTAGAGGTATATAAGATAAGTAGGTATCCTGGTTAGTTCTCACTGGAGTAAGATGAGCGGCGAGGGGAAGGGAGCGACGGAAGCCCAAAGTGGCCAGCCGCTATACTTCACCCCCGGCTTTCTTTGGCTTCAACTTCCTACTACTTCTACCTTTCTACCTACTATATACTACTATATATACTCGCTATACGCTCGCTACCTACCTCGCCGTTATCGCCGTATCTATCGCTACCTTACCTATAGTTTAGAAAAGAAAGGTAAGAAGAAGAGAAAGCTTAGGAAGAAGAGAAGGCCTAGAGAGAAGAGGAGGCCTAAGGAGAAGAGAAGGCCTAGGGAGAAGAAGTATAGGAAGAAGAGGCCTAGAGAAAGAGAAGGCCTAGAAAGAAGAGGAAGCCTAGAAAGAGGAGGCCTAGAAAGAAGAGGTCTAGGAAGAGGAGGCCTAGAGAGAAGAGGAAGCCTAAGGAGAAAAGGAAGCTTAAGAAGAAGAGGCCTAGAGAGAAGAGGAGGCCTAGGAAGAGGAAGCCTAGGGAGAAAAGGAAGCCTAAGAAGAAGAGGCCTAGAGAGAAGAGGAGGCCTAGGAAGAAGAAGCCTAGGAAGAAGAAGCCTAGGAAGAAGAGGCCTAGAAAGAAGAGGCCTAGAGAAAAGAGAAAGCCTAGGGAGAAAAGGAAGCCTAAGAAGAGAAGGCCTAGAGAGAAGAGGAAGCCTAGAAAGAGAAGGCCTAGAAAGAAGAGGTCTAGGAAGAGGAGGCCTAGGAAGAGGAGGCCTAGGAAGAGGAGGCCTAGGAAGAGGAGGCCTAGGAAGAAGAAGCCTAGGAAGAAGAGGCCTAGGAAGAAGAGGCCTAGAGAAAAGAGGAAGCCTAGGGAGAAAAGGAAGCCTAAGAAGAGAAGGCCTAGAGAAAAGAGAAGGCCTAGAGAGAAGAGGAAGCCTAGAAAGAGAAGGCCTAGAAAGAGGAGGCCTAAGAAGAGAAGGCCTAGGGAGAAGAGGAGGCCTAGGGAGAAGAAGAGGTCTAAAGAGAAGAGAAGGCCTAGAAAGAGGAGGTCTAGGAAGAAGAGGAAGCCTAGAAATAAGAAAAGGCCTAGAAGGAAGAGGCCTAGGAAGAAAAGGAAGCCTAGGAAGAAGAGGCCTAGAAGGAGGAGGCCTAGGAAGAAAAGGAAGCCTAGGAAGAAGAGGAGGCCTAGGGAGAAGAAGAGGCCTAGAAAGAAGAGGAGGCCTAGGGAGAAGAGGAGGTCTAAAGAGAAGAGAAGGCCTAGAAAGAGAAGGCCTAAAAAGAAGAAGAGGCCTAGAGAGAAGAGAAAGCCTAAGAAGAAGAGGCCTAGAGAAAAGAGAAGGCCTAGAGAGAAGAGGAAGCCTAGAAAGAGAAGGCCTAGAAAAAGGAGGCCTAGAAAGAGGAGGCCTAGGAAGAAAGAGAAGGCCTAGGAAGAGAAGGCCTAGAAAGAAGAGGAGGCCTAGGAAGAAGAGGCCTAGGAAGAAGAGGCCTAAAGAGAAGAGGAGGCCTAGAGAGAAGAGAAGGCCTAGGAAGAGGAGGCCTAGGAAGAAGAGGAAGCCTAGAGATAAGAGAAGGCCTAGGAAGAGGAGGCCTAGGAAGAGGAGGCGTAGGAAGAAGAGGAGGCCTAGGAAAAGGAGGTCTAGAGAAAAGAGAAGGCCTAGAGAGAAGAGGCCTAGGAAGAAGAGATAGAGAGAGATAGAATACAAATATATATATAATATATATAATATATATAGAAAATTAGCTAATTCCGAACTACTACTAGGTAGGCCTATAGAATATCTTCTTATTCCTCTTCTCGTTTCTCTTCTTATTCCTCTTATTATTATTATTATTCTTCTCGTTCCTCTTATTACGAAGTCTTGTTATAAAATAATATAATAAAGTCTCGTTAGAAAGTTTCGTTATTCCTTTTATCTTATCTTTTGTAACCCTAAGCGTAACCCTAAGTCCCTTCTATCTCTCGTCTCTCGTCTCTCGTCTCCCTTATCTTTTTCGTCTCTTCTTTCTATCTCTTCTTCCTAGGCCTCTTCTTCCTAGGATTCCTCTTCTCTTTAGGCCTTTTCTTCTTCCTAGGCCTCTTCTTCCTAGGCCTCTTCTCCCTAGGCCTCCTCTTCTCCTTAGGCTTCCTTCTCTCTTTAGGCTTCCTCTTCTTCCTAGGCTTCTTCTTCCTAAGCCTCTTCTCCCTAGGCCTCCTCTTCTCCTTAGGCTTCCTTCTCTTTCTAGGCTTACTCTTCTTCTTAGGCTTTCTCTTCTTTCTAGGCCTCTTCTTCTTTTTAGGCCTTCTCTTTCTAGGCCTTCTCTTCTCTTTAGACCTCCTCTTCTCCCTAGGCCTCCTCTTCTTTCTAGGCCTCTTCTTCTCCCTAGGCCTCCTCTTCTTCCTAGGCTTCCTTTTCTTCCTAGACCTCCTCCTTCTAGGCCTCTTCTTCCTAGGCTTCCTTTTCTTCCTAGGCCTCTTCCTTCTAGGCCTTTTCTTATTTCTAGGCTTCCTCTTCTTCCTAGACCTTCTCTTTCTAGGCCTTCTCTTCTCTTTAGACCTCTTCTTCTCCCTAGGCCTCCTCTTCTTCCTAGGCCTCTTCTTCCTAGGCCTTCTCTTCTTTCTAGGCCTTCTCTTTCTAGGCCTTCTCTTCTCTCTAGGCCGCTTCTTCTTCCTAGGTCTCTTCTTCCTAGGCCTTTTCTTCCTAGGCGGCCTCTTCTTCCTATTCCTCTTCTTCCTAGGCCTACTCTTCTCCCTAGGCCTCTTCTTCCTATACCTCCTCTTCCTAGGCCTCCTTTTCTCCCTAGGCTTCCTCTTCTTCCTAGGCCTCCTCTTCTTAATTTTAGACAAGGTAGCCTATAGGAATAGGTAGGTAGGTAGGTAGGTAGGTAGGTAGGTAGGTAGGTAGGTAGGTAGGTAGGTAGGTAGGAAGTTAGGAAGGTAGGTAGGTAGGTAGGTAGGTAGGAAGTTAGGAAGGTAGGTTTTATAGGGTAGTAGAAAGGTAGAAGTGGTAGTATAAAGACAAAGCTAAAGAAAGCCGGGGGTGAAGTGTGGCGGCTGGCCACTTTGGGCCTCCGTAGGGAGCCAACATCGTCATTCATCATCGTCATCTCATCTCCCCGGACAATCATACTATACAATGGAAAACAATACTCCCATTCACATGACCGTGTACAGGTATTTTATCTGAATTTAGAGACAAATTTGCAGTGCACGAGGCAGTGAGGTAGAAAAGGAAAAAAAAAGAAAATCAGGTAGAGGTATTGTATTCTACTTTGGTCTCTGGGGCGCCAAATCTCGAGACAGCCCCACAATAATATGTTAGGTACCATACCTATCTCACTAGGTAAGGTATCAGAAGCGCCTCAAAAACAGTTTGAACCTTCGAGCAACTCGCTGTGAGACTCTCGCTATCTAGGTAGCAACCTTCGCAGTAGCCCTCATTCATTCACGCACAACTATCTTCCTCTTCCTTCCTAATTCCCACCAAAACTGTCCATCTGCAAACTTCCATCACTGTACATGAAAGCTACATGTATCTTCCACTGACGCCTATGTACTCCCTTACTTACTTCTTCCCCTCCTTACCAGTCACAAAAAATTCCACATTTTTCAAGAATGCGTCTATCAATAACCAGTATTCGCATGATGCCGCTCTGTCTCGAACTTCCCCTTGACCGCGAAAGCTATCACCAGCACAACCGTGATGACCGCACCGATCGCGACACAGTGCCTCACATTGGAAGTCCCGGCCCTCCTCCTCCTCCTACGCCTCAAAGCAAGAGCAGGCGGAGGATATCGAGAGGCGGCTCCCATTTCTAGTCCCAGCCAGTACGCTTGATATCTCGACTCTTCAGAGTCGTGGGAGCGAAGGCCGGACCTGCTGCCGTGGTAGTGTGGTGGTTTGAGTGTGAACGCGGTGGTGACAAAGACGGGTCGGGAATAATTAGATTCTTCCCAGTAGTTGGGAGGTTGGTCGGGGTCTTCGACGGAATAGAGAGGTGGGGTGGTGGAATGAATGCTTGCGGACTGGGAGCGGATCGTTCTGGCGGGTGAACATGGCGCTGCGAGATGCTCAGCTTCGACGTCTCGACGGGTGAGACCGTTTGTCGTCGTTGGAGAAGGGGGCATGATGGAGGCGGTCTTGTCTTTCTTGTTGGTGTTGGCAGATGGTGATGGTGGAAGTTCCACCAAGATATTTGTGCTTGCTAGAATTCAGGTGCCTGGATACCCGCTCTTTGGGCGAATGATTCATGATTCGTAACGCAATGTCTGCGTTGGGGTGGTGTCAAGATCAATGTATATCGTGATTGGCTCTTGGGGATTTTGGTTCCATGGCGAGCTGTGTGGAAGCCAGAGAGCTGTTCCGGTCAAGCCGGTGAAGAGAACAACAACAATAACAACAACAACAACAACAACACACTATCGCGATGGATTCATTTCATGGCATTCTGCTCGACATATCTACTCATAGAGTCCAGTTGTGTTTTGCCAGTTGACACCAAGTATCGTATATGTCCCTGAGACTGGAGTCAGCGGCACATCATTGCACAATCAAAATAGTAGGTAGTTCAAGCTGGACGAGTGCGGCGGGCATACCAGATCCTCGATATCTCGGTAACGTTCAAACTCATACCGAGCATAGTCTCGCATTTCCTTTCTTGTAGACATGGACGGAGGGATCTCTGCATTCGTATCAGCCGGCCATTCTCAACATCGTCGTCGTCGTCGATATCGAATAGACAGCATACTGTTGATCGTGCGTACGCATTCTCGCCATAGATTCATGACCTTTTGCCGCTGGAGGAAGTGCTCGAGCGTCAGCGTTTTGCTTCCAAATCTGACTGCCTTGTCGGGAGAGACGGTGGCATATCGCCTGATGGCAGCGTGCATCCTGTCCACCAGCACGGATGGTTCCGGTTGTATGATCAGATGTCGGTGAAATCGTCTAATGATGTACTGTACATGGAGGTATCGTCGTCGTCGTCGCCGTCGTCGTCATCGAGAGTCGCAGAGGGAATCCGGGCGGAAGCAAGTCCGTTTCTTGGCGCATTTGAAACGCGTCTCGACTTGCGCGCGCGGCGCGTTCCATCACCACATTCATCATCGTCGTCCTCCCCGCCCTCCCCCTCATCATGAGCAAGCGAAAGGCTACGGACAGCGGAACGAGAGACGCCGCGAACGACGACGACGACGACGGCGATGCCTCGGGCGCCCGCCCTTCTTCCGGCATCATCGAGGCTGCCAACGCTCTGACCGAGGATCAGTTCGTGGACGCCTACTTCGGACCGTTTGCTGCATGGACCAATTATAAGCATGTTGCGTGGGTAAAGGGATTACCATGCAACGCTGTCTTGTGTTACGCTGCGAGCCTGGACGAAGAGCTGCTCCAGAATTGCTTTGACCTGATTGAGAGGACAAGTCGCCATGATTATGCACCAAGCAGCATTGGCTGGCATGCCAAGCGAAAGCTGCGCGAGATGAAGGAGAAGGAAATGCGGTACATCCTACTCTATGGGAATAAGGCGCAAGATTTCGCAGGATTCCTGAGCTTCATGCTCACATATGACTCGGTGCCTGCTGTGCCGGTGCTCTATGTGTATGAAATTCATCTGGAAAAGGCGTATCGAAGCAAAGGAGTCGGGAAAGGACTCATGAGAATAGCGGAAGACATAGCGCGCAAAGTGGGCGTCGAGAAGATCATGTTGACATGCTTCAGGAGCAATGTCAAGGCGCGAGCATTCTACGTGGCTCTGGGATATGTGGCGGATGCCAGCTCACCAGAGGACCGTGAAACGAGGAACAAAGTCGTCAAGACTGACTATGTTATCATGAGCAAGAAGATCTCGCAGCAGTCTAACGGCCCCTCGAGCATGGCTGTCAATGACAACTCTGCATCTGTTGCAGCAGGAGAAATGCAGGACGAGGTAGGTCACAGATCCACCTCCAAAGCCGCAATGCGTATTGCTACACTGAGTGGTAGCTACAAAATGGACCACAAACTCAAGATGTGGATTCAAGCCAATTGCAACCCACAACTCCAGCAGCTTGAGAGCCGCGTCTCGTCTGTCGTGCACAAGGAAGCTGAACGCTTGCTGCCGAAAGCACGCGCCGGCATCGCCAACACGCCGCGCGATCTGGACGATTTACGAGTGCTGAGTGCACTGTATGTAGGTCTGCAAGAACGATTCGATGGTGCCCGGAAGCTTCAGTATGCGATCTGGGATGTATTGGAGCCCATGCACCGAAATCTCCAAGACCTAAGTATCCAGCCGAACGGAGAAGTAGTGCACCAAGTTGAGATTCCCATTGATTCGAGCAACGCCCAATCTTGCGATCAGTCGGCGCCTCTGCCCATTCTGGCCGACTTCATAGATAGCATGCCGTCCACCATGCGTGCCCAGACGCTCAAGCATGTCAAGGCCAGCGATGCAGACCTCGCAGATAGAGAAAGGGCTTTGCATGCGCGAGAGCTGGAGTTCAATAAACGCGAAAACGCTTTGGATGCGCGAGAGATGCAGCTCGATCAACGCGAAGACGATTTGTTCGCTCGCGAGACTGCCTTGCAAGAACACAACGCTCGTCACGATCGCGCCCGCAACAACATCCGAGCACGGGCGCAGGCGTTGAAGCAGCGCGAGGATCGGTTGAATGTGCGAGAGCAGCGCTTTCGCGACGAAACAGGCAAGATGAAGGAGAAACAAATCCCCACGGAAACGCGTACGAAGAGTACTACTGTCGACCATGATGAGGATGGTGCCGAAGAGCTTCGCCCCTTTCGGCCTGGTAGTGAACCGGATTCCGAGTATGATCGTGAGCTTCGCGAGGCAGAAGAGCGCTGGGGGGAGGAATTTGCCCGATCCGTTCGAAACCAATACATGCAGGCTGAGGAAGTCGATGAAAGCGAGGTGGTCCCCGTAGATGACGATCACGATGCGAGCCAGCCGGGTGCAGCAGCAGCAGCACGCAGCAAGCACAACAATCAGCCTTCAATTGAAGCAAATGTAGCAGCAAATGCCGCCAGGAAATCGACTGGGCACGACTTCGAATTGCCCAGACCTGAAGCCTTGCGAGGAGTGGAAGTGGTGGGAGACAAGGTCGACACGTGGCTACGAAGAAGTGGAAGCGTACGAGATAGCTTTGGGAGTGGACGGGCTTTGTGATTGATGCAGCTTGAAGTGGATTGTATGTATATTTTTCCGCTGTCGCTGTTGTTTTTTGTTCAATCAATCGATCTGACTTCGTCGTTCATTCGTTTCTTCGTTCGACATGATGGCTGTTGTTGTTCATTCAATCAAACCCTCGTCATTCGTTCACTCGTTCATTCATTCATTCATTCAACATGCCAGCAAAGAACTTTTCTTCTTGTCCTCGTCATTACCATCTGCCATCTCTCATCCAAACTCACACCCTCCTCCCCCCAAAATCTATCACCGAATCCTGAATCACCTTGCAACAATTCCTCAACCCCACAATCCAATGCTGCTGCTGCTGCGTCTGCTGCTGCTGCTGCTGCTGATCATGTTGTTGTTGAAGAATAAACTCCCTCTGTGGACTTTTCGACGCCAAAGTCCAAGCCACAATACCCAATCTCAACGCCGTCAAATCCTCGCAAAACTGTCCATCACCTCGTCGACGAATTTTCTCGTACGCCAACGCTCTCCAGACTTCTCTGCGAGAGGTTGCGAACTGAGAAAGTTCGGCGAGGTTGGAACTGGGTGCTTGGAGGGCGGTGCGAGTGGTGGAGAAGAGGTGGGAGAGGGTACCTTCTGCTGAAGGATTGGTGGTGGTGGTTTTGGTGTTGGCGGCAACGAGTTTCGCTTCTGGGAGGTGGTATTGTAATGCTCCTGCGCTCCAGTGGAGCAATGTGGCGAGTTCGAGAGCTGCTGCGGTTTCGAGAGGCGTGGTTCTCTTGATTTCGTCGTTGCCGCGAGAGAAGTCGAAGTGTGGCCCGTTTTTGAGGGCGAGGCAGAGGAGAAGTGTGGTATTCTTCTCCGGGGCTGCGATCTGGTGAGCTGCCAGAGTCTGACGGACCAGCGACTCGATCTCGTGGCAGTAGATTTGAGCCAATGCTGGGGCGGAGTCGTCGAGGGGGAGATTGCCGTCGGGGCCCGGCGTGGTGTAGTATGTGTGCGCGTCCACCAGGCATTGGTGGACGTCGCTACGTCCGAGTTCCCCGGGCGTCATCTGGGTGTAGGCGAAGAGACGCTGCCGGATTTCTCTGACAGCGTCTGTTTTGCTCAAGCGGGAGAAACCCGTTGCCTCGGGGACGGGCTCTGGTCGTCTCTCTTGCGGTGGGGGTTGTATCACCGGACGGGGGTTGTTCGTCGTTGCGAGAGGACGGATCTCGACGGCTGGCTGTGGAAGGGCGATGGCCGCAGTGCGCTGGACATCGTCCATCTGCTCATCCACCCGGTGTTCTGCGATTGCCGCGATTTGTTGAACACCGACCATTTCCTGGTCTTCCACAGGGCTGTCGAATCCCTGGACTGCTGTGCCACGCAGTCCAAACGTATTCATCGTCAACTGCTTGGCCGGCAGTCTGCGTTGCTTGGTGTCCCTCGCCAGGGGCTTGCTTCGCATGACGGGAGCCTTTCGCTCCGGCTTGTTCCTGAACCTCGTGCGCAGGGAGCGGTTTGAATATGCTGATGGCTCGGGGATCTCCACCGGCAAATTCTCCTGCTCTCTGCGCTCGCCCACCTCTCCGACTGCAAGAACTTCCTGATTGCGTGCCGCTGGGCCATTAACTGGCTCAGTCGTTGCCGCGGAAGGCGCAGGACCGTCGTCGATCAGGCTTGCACTCCGAGCCTCTGTTGGCTCCTGACTGTAGGCCTCCCGCGCACTTGACGGCGCGGTCGAACCCTTGGCAAGAGACACAGAAGCTCGGGCTTGACGCTCGCTCTGATCTTCGAGCAGGTCGCGACGGATCGTCGCCCGGACGGGTGGCGGCCTCGTTGGTGCTTGAACAGGCGGAGCGAGGCGCCGGTAACGAGGGTCCCTCCTCCAGTCTTGAATCTCTGCCCAATAGGGCTTGAACTTCTTTGGAGCAGCGGGAGGGGACAAGTCTGGCGTGGCTGGAGCTGGCTGGACTGGCGCCACCAACTCGGCTTCTGGCTCGGCTGGGGCGACTTCGGGGGGCGGGAGGAGAAGGTCGTCGCTCTGTGAAGGAGTCAGTGTCGTGGTGAGGAACGGGTGTCAGGGAAGGGCGTGAGTGGCATCAGCGGGTGCGACTTACGAAGAGGTACAAGAACCCCGAGATGGTGAAGAGACACAACCACCTCGAGGTGATTTGTGTTGCGATGGCAACGAGGACGGCGACACAGGCGAGGACGACGTAGGCGTTCGCCATGTTCGCGGGAGGGGGAGGGGACAGAAGGGCAAAGTCGAAAATTGCGGGAGAGGGAGGGGACAGAAGAGCAAAGTCGGAAATTGCGGGAGGAGGAGGGAGCAACAAAGCGCAGTCAAAAATCGCGACGGGGAGGGAAAAGAACAGCGCAGTCGAAAATCGCGGTAGCGGTGGTGATTGTGATGGTGTGATCTTGTCGTCGGTGGTGATGGTGATGGTACTGGCGATGTGGTCGATGGTGGTGGTGATGCTACGGGCGATTTTTCGATTTTGCGATGTCGTGGAAGAAGAGAGAAAGAGTGCGAGGAGCAAGAATTGAGAAGTAGTGGGAGGAATTTCGCTAATGCAGCTAGTTGCCAGGTGCGAAACGCGATAAAGCTTGGCAGCTAAGTGAATGAGCTCTTCTTCCACCTGCCCTCGCCTGGGACTCAGCCAATATCGTCGACATCGTGCACTTCCACGACCCTTGCTGCTGCTGGCGCCTCCGCATGACCGGCTCCAGGACCTCGTGCGCCTTGGTTGCCGCGCGCACGATTCGCAGCTCCTCGACCTCGTGCGCCTTGGTTGCCCCGCGCACGATTCGCAGCTCCTCGAGGTTGCGCTTGACCGGCGTTATGATTGCCGGCTCTGCCACCTCGACCAGGACCATCAAAACCAGCGCCACGCTGGGCCCCGAAACCTGAAGCATGATCAGCGCCATAGTTGCGGTCTCGTTCACCACCTCTGCGGCCACCACCTCCACCCGCAGTGCCCCATGTCCCACCTCGACCAGGACCATCAAAACCAGCGCCACGCTGGGCTCCGAAACCTGAGGCACGATCAGCGCCATAGTTACCGTCTCGTTTACCACCTCTGCGGCCACGACCTCCACCCGCAATACCCCCTCTGCCACCTCGGCCACGACCTCCACCCGCAATGCCCCCTCTGCCACCTCGACCACGACCATCAAAACCAGCGCTACGCTGGGCTCCAAAATCTGAAGCACGATCAGCGCTATAGTTGCCGTCTCGTTCACTACGTCTGCGCCCACGACCTCCACCCACAGTTCCCCCTCTGCCTTCACGTTCGCGGCCTGGGCCTCGCACTTCTCCTTGCGCTCGACCAAGGCCACCACGACCTACTCGAGGCTGAATAAGCGCCACACGATGTACTGTTTGTCGAACGTGTGCTCCGCCTCGCGCTCGAATTCCATCTGAAGCCCGACCGCGGCCGCCACGATCCCCTCGAGACTGACTACCGACTGAGGGGTTCTGACCTCCTCGAGCCCGCGCCTCGCCTCTCTCACGCCCGAGACCGCCACGACCACCTCGACTCGGTCCGTCTTCTGCACCATTACGATGTGGACCTCCCCAGAAGCGCGCGGAAAGTAAGTCATTGCTTCCTCTGATCCGATCGATAAATCGATTCAATCTGACTTCTATGTCACGAAGGTCGCCAAGATCTATGTCTGGACCTACGTTTCCTGACAGATGCTGCTGCACGTCTCTGAGTAGATCAGTCAATAGCAGATGCCAGGTATCGAGTTTATCGATCTCAACTCGAATAGCTTGCCTCCCATTGGCATGGATGTTGAGTGTACGCCATAATCTGGAGACTTCGCCGAGTCGGGAATGGAGTACGGCGATGGGGTTGTCCTCGTTGGCCGCTTGGATATTACTATGCGCTTGCACAGGCTGGAATCGTGGGAGTGTGCTACCTTCGAACCACGATCTGACAATGGCTTGCGCATCTGCAGACGGTTCTTCCATCGCTGACAGTCCTTGCCACTGCGATGGTACGCCCGGGTAGAGGTTTGCTGCATTATCGTTGTACACCCAGACGATGATGGTCGACTCCTGGTCCACCGGGTTGGTTCCTAGCACTTCCACAGTTGCTTTGGCGTTGAAACCAGCATCATCTACATTTCTGGTGACTATGCCCAGTCGGAAATCTGTTGACGGCACTTGACCACTGTGTTGTAACCATTTCAGCATCACATAGAGTCCTCGTGTCGTGTTCCAACTTTCCACCATTTGAGCTTCACGCCACTGTTCTCGGTACGTTTCCGATTCTTGTCCAAATCGCTGTCCCGAGGAGTATAGATGCTGGCGTAAAAACATCTCATACGCCAATGTCACATCCAAGAATTCTTCTCCTAGAGGATCTGTCAGGCGTAGATCTCTCGCCATCATCTTGTCGTCAAAGTCAAGGTACATTCCTCGCAGAACTTGTTCCGCACCTTCACCTCCTAAAATCCTCTCATCAATCATCAGCTCATCGTGAACTTCCACGACCGTTTTAAGAGACGTCAACAAGGCTCGAGCTCCGCTCAGGCGATCCGCAGGGTCAACAGGAAAAGGCAATTTGCCACGTTCTGCCCAGATGCGAAGATCTGCGATGGCATAGGATGGGCCTTCGAGATACCAGTTGTGCGTGCGTCGCTCGTCTAGCAAGCTCCATAGTTTACAAGTTTCCACTGCGATATCTGATACTTGACGACGTATGTTGTCGATTTTCCACGTATCAGAGAAAAATCTTGGATCCTCGAACATTCTGTTGGTGCCAACACGAAGGAATTCTAGCTCCTCCATCGCAGTCACAGTCTGGAATAACTCGTGTTCTATCTGCTCTCCACATACTTTGCGATTGACATCGGCAATGTGAACCGCAGCCCGATCTACGGCTTCCTCCAGTTGAGCAATAGTGTTGTATCGGCCATGAAAGCCGCCTTTTCTGATGTGAATGAAACACATCAAATTTGCACGAAGTCGTACGTCTTGAAGCGTAGTGTGATCTTTGGGTGTTGTTAGTAACCGCATGCCGATGGCTTCCAAGCACTGGACTACGAAGTTGAGTATACCCTCGCTGTCGCTTTCGATGTCTGTCAGCGGCTTGAGATGTTCTGGATCTAAACCTTCTTGGACGATTTGACGTCGCTCCAGGCGCATTTTATAAGCTAGACTTTCGACTTCTTGACGAGCGGTATTGACTGTGATCAGGTCCCTCGATAGCTCATCCGCAGTCGGAGCGTGCTGTGTCGGGACATCTCTTTCAGCAAGAGGATCAAGTTCTTCTTCTTCAACGACCACTTCGGCCTCTTTGAGTGCATCTCCGCGCTCAATTACCCAGTCAGTCAGTTGTGCTTTGATTCTGGTCAGGCCCGCTTCGATATCTTTCACTCTCAGAGTCAAAGCACTAGCCTTATGCGTCTGTGAGAGCGGTGGCAGTGCACTCCTCTTCTGAGGCCGTGGCGCAAAGTGCACATGTCGGACGGGCTTCTCAGCTGGTGCCATATCGGGGATCCTAGGCTTCTTCCTTACCGGACCAGGAGTTGTCGGCGTGGGCGGTGCATCCCATTGTGGGCGAGGACCAATGGTGCTGTCGATCGGTGACTCTATGGGCACAGCATCATCATCACCGAGATCCATATCTGAAGGTAAGGTCTCTGACAAATCAAAAATGGTTCTCCTCAGCGTGAGTAGCTGAGCATGGGCTGTATCAAAGAACTCGTCGATCACTGCTCTCATGCTGACTTCGTTGTAGTTCAAGCCAGTCAGGATGCTACTGATCAGGTAGTCGATTTCGGTCTTGACTAGCTCTGCCGCATGAGCTCGATCGACTCCCTCCAGGAGACTTAAGTGCTGGACTTGAGTTGCAGTTCGAGCAAGGCCGTTCCTCAGAGTGACAATGTCTCGCTCGGATGCCCGTGCGACGCCAAAGATGGGTGTTGGTGTAGCAGGCGAGAGACCATTCATGTCGGTATCCTGAAGCATATCCTTAGCCAGTTCATGAGCAGACTCATTCAGAGACATGGTAAAATCCGCTTGAAGGATGGTTTGCGAAATGGCTGCGATCTCGGTCAATACTGCGGCTTCAATGTCTCTGATCTCGCGCCGCACGCGAAAACTATCTGTGCCCAGACTAATCATCTTCGCTTGTGCTACCAGCGACATCAATTGCATCCTTGCTTTATCAAGTTCGCTCGACAGCCTCTGCGTGGTATAAGCCCGACCCAGGAGGTAAAGTGAGTCTGTTATAATCTGCCGTCGCTCCACCAGTTGCGTGACTTCTCTACGCATAACTTGCAGTTTGCCTAGAATCCATCCATCTGTCATGGGCCTCATCGCGGCTCTTCTCCTTGACTTTGGGTGCTTGCATGCTTTCTTGAGATGCTTGAGTAAAGTCTTGGCGATGGACTTGACCTCCTCAAGAATTTTCAAATGTCCCTCAGAAGAAGCGTTTCGAAGCAACAGCTCGTCCAGTTGATGCAGGCTGACGAGAAGATCCAGCTCGCAGAGTCCGATGATACACTCGTTCTCATTGTGGCCAGCTATGGCCCAATCAACTCGACTGTTCAGATCTGATACAGCGGTAGCCTCTCTGTGCAGGAATTGCAGTTTCTGCACATGCAGGAGACTACTTTTATTGTCATCGTACTTCCAAAGGTCATCACAAGCTTGACATAAATCAGAGATCCCAGTGGACCAGTGATTTAACATCGCAATTTGGCCGAGGTCGATGGGGTTCGTGTCATTTCTGGGCGTGACTGATGGAGCCGCTGTACTTGAGTTGTCCTGATCAGCAGGCTGCGCGATAGGTACACTGCCACGATTTATCGAGCTCGCATCAAGTGTATTGCGTGTCGGCTTATCAAGGTTCACGCTCCAGTAGGGCTTCCATTTACTACGGTCAGGCGCCACCTTACTAGGATCACCTCTTGGGCCCGCATCTTTCTGCACTGGCGATGGAGCTGCCATACCTGGTTGCTCGGCGCCAGCCGAAGATTTATCGTGACGAGATCCTTGAGCGCCCCGAGTTGGGGGGCTGGAGGTGTTTTCCTTGGCCTTTTTAAATGAGCCGGAACTTGATTCTGATTCTGATTCGGTGGGTGAAGACACAGTCGCCCTCTTGCTGGATGTCGTGTGTATGACCCGTGGGATTTGGACAGTCTCTGCAAGCTTCGGGGGTGGCGATGGAGCTGCCATACCTGGTTGCTCGGCGCCAGCCGAAGATTTATCGTAACGAGATCCTTGGGCGCCCCGAGCTGGGGGGCTGGAGGTGTTTTTCTTGGCCTTTTTAAATGAGCCGGACCTGGATTCTGATTCTGATTCGGTGGGTGAAGACACAGTCGCCCTCTTGCTAGATTTTGTGTGTATGACTCGTGGGATTTGGACAGTCTGTGCAAGCTCCGGGGGTGTAGTATAGTTGAGAGAGCATTTGAAGACGCTTTCAAAGAAGCCTCGGATCCAAGTGATGCAGCGAGCTCCTGCATCTATGATACTAATAATTGGTCTCACCAGCACGACACAAAGCCATGTCAACTGACTGGCAAGACCAAGGAAACTTGCTGCAATCTGTACTGGAATCCTCAAATTTTTCCAAGCCAGCATCCTCACCATCCACCAGAATACATCTCGTGCCAGAAGCTCTAACTTGCCAGGGGAGACAACTCGCTGCGACCCGCCTTCATACAGCCACTCATTGACTTCCAACACCAGGTAGATGAACTGCACAAACAGTATAGGCAAGATTGGAAAAAATCGACTGGCAAGTGCACAGAGCACGAGGGATATAGTGAAAAACCCGACGCGTGGGCTTACTTTATCTTTCAGCCAGAGTCCCATTATGAGGCCAATCGATTGCAGGGCCAGCATAGACCATATCCCAATATATCGATTTCCCAGTGCGCCGATTGCCACGAGGCTGTAGGTCAAGAAAGCGACACTTGACGGCAGCCTTTCCTTCTCCTTTCCTTCTGCCGGCCTTTTGGCTCCCAGTCTCCATTGGTTATCCTTCCGTCTCCACTGAGACTGCTTAAAATTGTCTAGCTCACGTTGCTGGTCTCTTTCGAGCTTCTGGCGCATAGATGCCATTCTGGTCGCGCTAGGCTACATTTAGCACCGCTGGATGTAGGAAGTCTTCGTATGCATGTGCTATGCTGGTATCTTAGCCCCTATCCTCATTGTGGCAGGTCAGCTCTGTCTCACGTTTGTCGTGAGGGCACAGCTTGTAGGAAATTATGAGTTTACCGGAGAATTTGAGGATCTGGGTGCTCGAGGCGACTTTCATTGTTCGGACATCTGGACGCACTGGGATGGGGCAAAATAGACAAAGGCTGAATTCAGTTCCTGCTAACAAAGGATTTATGCCTCGTGCACTCGTATGAGTGATTCGTCCGAAGAAGCCGGCGGGTCGTTCTTACATACCGCTCGAGTTCCCCGTGCCGAGGAGCATTAAACTTCGCCATGCGCCAGCCCAGATGCGCACGAAGGGCGGACGAGAGTTGCAAACACATTGCGGGGCCTATGTAGCTGCGTTATTGCAGTGAGTTTCGCCCTTTCCGCCGCTTTGAGTTGATGAAAGCACGAATAATTTTCGCGTCGCAGGGACCGAGATGACTATGATCTGCACCCATTTTCCATTATTCATTCTCGCTTCCAGCCCCTATCGCCGTTCGGTCTAACCCATCTCTGACCATTGCAGTCCTCTTCGGCCTTTCACGTTCCATCACCAGCAGCAGCAGCAGCAGTGCCATTCTTCGACTTCAGCAGACAAGTAGCCTAGCTGAAGCGTACAGTTTTGGCCATGCATGTATTGCAGGCCAGTACATGACCTTGGCCGCCACAGCTGACTCTCTTACGAGGAGATCAACAGTCTGGACGTGCTCATCGTGATTGATGACCTAATGTAAGGGTAGTGGTCATCCGTTGTCGTGTTGAAGAGCGAGTATGAGGGTGGTATGGTTGAAAGAAGGGAGGTTGTTGATTTTGACTCTGGGAACTAAATCACGGGAGCGGGCGAAGCCGTCGTCTTGGCATTCGCAACGTCGCTCCCCGTCCCGCCTACAGACGTCCATGGAAGGGACAACGTTACTCCCGAGCCCCGATCGGACGAGACGTGGAATTGCAGAGATGGGAGCATTGTTGGGGACACTTGGGCGACAGCAGCACTGAAGAGGCACCATATCCCACTATATCCCACCTTATTCGAATGGGCGACAATATGGCATAACGTGGAAGGTATAGAAGAACGAGGACAGTCCCGTCACACAATATAACACCACATATCCCTATCGAGTCCCAAACAGCATAACTCTCGTTAAGGGGAGAGAATCAGGATACCTCACTGCGCCAGGCGCGCGCAAGACCACAGGGATGCGCCTCTGCTATCTGCTCCCGTCGCTCCTCCGCGCGTGGACTCTCGCCTACACTCCGCTGTCCGACTCCACCCTCCGCCTCCTCCCCGCCCCCGGCGACGACTTCGACATCCACACCGGCGACCTCCTCGCGCCCATCCTCGTCCCTCGTGTCCCAGGCACACCCGGCTCCACCGCAGTCCTCAACCACTTCGTTGACTTCTTCTCCACTAACCTGCCCAAGTGGAAGCTTTCGTACCAGAACAGCAGCCAGGTGACGCCCACCTCCGATGGCAAACCCGTCCCCTTTGTCAACCTCATCGCCACGCGAGATCCGCCCTGGGCAGACGGAGATGGCGATGTAGGCCGACTAGCCCTTGTTGCCCACTATGATAGCAAACTGACTCCCACTGGCTTCATCGGAGCCACGGATTCCGCCGCTCCATGCGCTATGCTGTTGCACACAGCTCGCTCCTTGGATGCTGCTTTGACTGCAAAATGGGCTGCAGAGGAAGCGTCGGGAGAGTATAAGAACTTTGGCTCGTTAGAAGCTCATCGTGGCATTCAAATTCTGCTCTTGGACGGAGAAGAAGCTTTCCATCAATGGACAGACACAGATTCTCTTTACGGCGCAAGGAGCTTAGCGGAGGAGTGGGAGAAGACTTCATACGGAGCTTTGAGCGACTATCGCAGCCCGCTGAGGACAATCGACTTGTTCGTTTTGTTGGATCTTCTCGGTTCCGCGAATCCAAAGGTTCCGTCGTATTTCAAAACTACGCATTGGGCGTATCAGCTGATGGCGGATCTGGAATCCCGTTTGAGAAAGACCAAAGTATTCAAATCGAATTCGAAACCGTTCCTTTTCGAAGGGCACAAGAGTGACAAGGATCGCTGGACTGGAGGCTATGTGGAAGATGATCATGTGCCATTCATGGCGAGGGGCGTCGAGATTCTACACATCATAACCAGTCCCTTCCCAGCTGTGTGGCATAAAATCGAAGATGACGGGGAACATTTGGACATGGATACGGTGGCGGATTGGGCCATGTTGACGCTGGGTTTTGCGGCCGAGTGGTTGGAGTTGGAAGGCTGGTTTGGTGATTCCGGCAGCAAAACGGGAGAGGAAACGACGAGAGATGAATTGTGAGTTCTTCTGCGTGTTCATCGTGCCTGGATACCCGGTTGTTGCATAGGACACTTGTGGTATCGATCTCTTGCAATGTGATGGAATGCCATACTGATAAAGACATTTATAGAGATAGTCGTACCACGATATGATAGCAAACCTTTTGCGAGCAAAACAACGTCCATCAGTGTACTTGTTCTACATCTTGAGGCTTGAGGTCCGAGGTGGAAGAAGTCTTGGCAGGAATGTAAGTTCCAAGTTACCTACCAGGTACCTTACATTTGATCACTTCACAAATCACGACTTAAAAATATGGCACGACTGCCGCGCTGCCGCGCTGCAACACTGACACCCAGATGACTCGTCGTGGAATTCTACGTTCAATCCTTACATCACGTGTAGCATGGACATATTGCACGATAGCGCGGCTCATCATCTCCCGGACGGCTTCCCGACTCTTTTGCTAGGCTCCCGTTGCAACCACATAGGTGCCTACAACCCGTCCCAGGATATGCGGATCGCGACTAAGCCGAATTCTTCTGCATGTATGCTAGGAATTCGAACAAAAGACAATGGCCGAAGAAAGCATCAAGATTGCATACCACGATGCCACTTCCGGATCCGGCGATTTTGAACAAAAGGACATCAGCTTCCTTGATATTGGTAGAATGGAGGCCCCCGCCGGCGGCAGAGGTGGATGCGGAGGCACAGGTAACGGTGACGAGGGCTATCCACCGATTTGCTGTAGAAAAGGTTCGCAAAGGAGTGCGAGTGACTGAGATGACAAGTAGCCCTAGATCGTGGACTGGCTTGTGGGACAATGTGTCGAAAAATAAGCCCTGCCTGAATGCGTAATACGATAGCTTCTCAATCCGGCGATTTCTGTCAAAGAAGGTCAGGCCCTTTGATAGACTTTGAAAAGATGAGCATCGCAGCTCAAGAAGCGTCTTAAAATCATTGCACTATCACACAGCTGCGAAGAGCAGGAGAAGGCATCAAAGATGGCGCCCAAACGCAAGACACCTCCAGGCAAGGATCGGGGCTCGGGATCATCTGCCAAGCTAGCACTCACGGATTATATGCTCGCTGCACAGGCTGTGCACAAGCAAGCGGCCGACACCACTAGAGAGAGTTCCATACGATCCTATCATCCCACGTGGGATCCTTATACCCCACCTGATCTCCGCAGAGATCTGGATCCTTCCCAACTCCGCGCGTTGAGATTTTATCGATACGGTCTCACGAATGCTTCAACTGAGTATCCAGGACTTGTCAAGCCGCGCGTGGGCAGCCGGCGATTTCCTGCTGGATGGGAGGCTTACTATCCATTTGCAAGGGACCGGCCGAACGATGCTGCCAACGCCACTGCCCAGGCCAGAGCGTTTGTCAAAGCCAGAAGACACCACAAGAGTCTGTATTCGAGAAGCCCGGAAACCTGGAAGCGAGCGTCGAGGGGATTCGAGAGTACATGGAAAAAGGGCAGGGGAAAGACCGTAAGTAGAGGAAAGGCGAGTGATGGTCTGTACTATGGGCAGCAGAATGGTAAGAGCAAATTGAACAAATTTGTGGAGAATGAGGTTGCCACCTTCCAGAAGAACAAGAGGATTGTCGACGGAGAAATATACGAAGATGCGACATCTGACTATGACTCTGATGAAGTCTATTATGAGGGCGCCGATGACAGCTATTGGCAGAACTACAACAAGCCTCAGTCCAGACCCTCTGATCGGAGAAGCACAGTTTCTTCGGAGTATGTAGCCGATGAAGAGGCCACTCCACGCAGCGTACACTTTGATGAAGCCAACGAACCACGGCGTCACGAAAGATTGCCTCCCGGTCCCAATGGATCAACGAAGAAAGTTCCAGCAACGTCAGCAACGACAACAACAAAGTCAAATACTCAGCCAACTGTATTCCCTCCTCATCCGCACAATAAATACAACCGCCACTCTAAGCTCTCCATTCCGCGCTCTCCGCCCATCCTCTCCCAAGCCGAACGGGCCGCCCGCAGAAAATGGGCTGCCAGGCTCTCCGAAGACGACTACGCTCGAGCTGTCGCAGACGGCATGATCATCCCCCTTGCCCCTCCAACTGTCACTGTCAAGTCCTCTTCTCGAGCCAAATGGGAGACCTCAAATTCTAGCGATCAACCACGGCAAAATGATGTTGGGGATGAGGCCATGGACGAATCTGGCGATGTTGAGATGGGAGACAATAACACCAACGAAGAGAATTCCGATCCTAATCGGAACTGGTCTGAAGGACCGAGCGATAGTGACTCCCTTGAAGGTCTTGGGCGCGAACTGGCTGAAGTCAACATTAGGCAACCTGCCGCCCCACAAGTTCTCCGGGGTCTCCGTCTTCCACGAGACTGGACTCCAGTATGGCGAAATGTCGACGGCGAAGATCGTTGGCTCTTCTACGACCAAGCAGCAGGCGTCCACCGACCAAATCTCCCAGATCCTCCTCTCGAAATGGGTTCCATCGACCCCAATCGAGTCTATGACATCTTCGATCGGGATATGCTCCCATATCCCATGCCCATGCCAACTCCCCCTTGGCACCTCGATTGCCTCTCCGCAGAACCTCATGTCGCGAGAGGCTATCAAGCTGTCAGAGACGACGCGGGGCTTTGGTACTACATCCAACCCAATGGCGACACTCTCTGGCACGCTCCACCAGGCATCCCAGCTTTTCCAGACCTCGATAGGACGCATTTCTACGCGCATGATGGACTGCTTCATCCCGTAAATGAAAGTTCTCGCAGTATAGCTCCAGAGCACGCGCCTTTGCTGCATGAGAATGAACGCTTCGGGGCCCCGGATGAAGGGACTCGAGAGGATCCCCTTGGGGATGAAGATGATGACCTGATTGTCACCGAGGCAGACTTGGCTCGCTTGGACGCTCAAGAGCGCGATGCAGATGGACGTGATGCGACAGGTGAAGACGAGGATCTTTTGCCGGAGCACGAAGAAGGTTACGGTGGCTCCGACCCCACAATTATGGAGGAGGACGAGGGTGAATATTCTCAACCGCGATCCAGCCTGTCTTTGCCAAGTTATGAAGCCTACGAGCCAGGAGGACGTCTAGCGGAGCAAGGCGATCAGGAGGATCAGGGCGCAGGATACCAACCTCACGAGAACCTACGTCGTCGCTCTGATTCTCTGCGTCCTACCCTGGGTCAACCAATTGTCCCGCCGATGGCTCCCATGGGTGGACTACCATACGCAAGGGACAAGTTCATCCCACCGGTCCCACAGATGGCACGATTTGGTGAAGTACCCTTCCCGAGAAACGGCTTTGTCCCACAGATTCCTGATTTTGGGGGACTTGCCTTACCGAGAAGCGACCTCATCGCACCGACGCTCGACTTTGATGGACTTCCTTTGCCAAGGGGGGGCTTCGTGCCACCAGTACCTCCACCACACGTCACTGGATCTGCCACTGACGGTACACGGAATTCGCCTTCTCGGAATTGGAGACATGAAGAATCGTTCACGATCTCTCCGGGAGGTACAGTGAGCGATCCGAAAATCACTTCGTCGCGGCCATATTTTCCAAATTCGCCACAGTACCATCCTATCAGTGTTTCGTCCGAGTCAGATGATTATGATGCTCAACAGGAAGCCCAAGATCGGACATGGGAAACGAATCAGGCCCCAGACGGGCGATCGAATTTGATCAACAACGTGGGAGAGCTGGGCAATGAAGTTGCGAGGCAGCTCACTGAAGCGACACGGAGGATTCTAGAGCTTGAAGAGTCTGCGAGGGGACACGAACAGACCATTCAGGAGTTGCTGGACGAGAACGACACTGGGCATGATGCTCTTTTGGAAGCACAAGATGATGCATTGATTGCACAAAACGAAGCTGCTCGTTTGCAGACTTTGCTCGAGGCTCGGGATGGAATTGCAAATACAACAACACAAGCCACTTCTCAGCAGGAACAGAATCTTCTACAACAGGCAAATGACAAGATCAAGGCTTTGCAAAAAGAGCTGGACGACTGCCACAAACATGGCGAGCAGTTGCAAGCGCACATGAATCAGATGGAAAAGGAGTTGGATGACTGTCATGAAGATGGCAATAAATTCAAAGATCAGGCCGAGTCTGCAGCATTAAAACTGCACGACTGTGAAGCGGTCAACCAGAGACTGCATCAGCAGGTCGCTGACCTCGAGAACAGACTGAAGGTCTGCGAGCAGGATCGTAACGGCGAAGAATTGCTGCAGAACCAAATCACCGAGCTCAAGGAGAGGCTGCAAAGCGCTCGTGGTGATGGAGATCTCGCGACTCAGCTGGAGCAGTGTGAGAGGGCACGCGACGATGCGAGAAAAGACCTCCACGATATGTATGGTGAGATCCCCAATCTGAGGTTGAAGCTCAAGGATGCTTTGGCCAAATCCGCCGAAGGCTCGACAGAGTGCCAAGAGAAGCTCCAGGCCGCAGAGAAGAGGATCGCCCAGCTTGAGACGGAGTTGAAGGATGCAGAAGACACGACTGCCGAGCTCTTGGGGGCCGCTGATGAAGAAAGCCGTGGTGGCTCGAACGATTGCTGCAAACACTGTATGGACGCGAAAGTGCAGAATGAACACCTGCAAGACAAGATCGCAGAGCTGGAGAATGATTTAGAAGCAGCCATTCAAAACCAGCCCGCCGATGACGACCTTCGAGCTGCCCAAGCCCTGATTGCCAAATTGAAGAAACTCGCCAGAGACAAGACAGATGAGGCCTTGGATCTGCAGAAGAGCCTCGATGAGTGCTACCGACATGGCCGGAGACTGCAAAATAAATTGAATGCTACGGAAAAGGCGCCAGCAGCCCCCGAGAAGAGTAGTGAGAAAGTTGTGAAATTAGTTCCTGTCATCTCGAGAAGCGAAGGCGCTAAAGCCAAAGCTGCTTTACGGGCTCAAGATGTCACGCCACAGCCACCTAACCATGAGAGGAGAATGGTGCGAGGCAGCGACGGCAAATGGACCCGTTCCACGACTGCAACGTCGCCCGTGGCTGCAGTCGAGCCAGTAGCTGAGGAGATGGAGGAGGAGGAGGAAGATGACCAAGACACTCTCATGAACGACATCAACAGCTCCGACGGCGACTACGACGACGAAGCCAGCTCAGCCGGACCCAGCAGAGCTCGCATCTTCGGCATCCCCGGCCCCGATACAGATAATAACGACAGCAACAACGACAACCCACACGACTTCGACCTTACAGAAGATCAACACTTCTCCTCTCCTCCCTTCCACAGCCCCACCGACATTCTCAAAACTCTCCGCCGCCTCCGCGAAGCCAACCGTCGCCTGACGCGCAACCTCTCCAACGTCCGCGAAACCAACAAACGCCTCATGGAACGCATCCGAACCGAGGAAGTGCGCAAACATACCATTGTGGAATCTAGCGCGAGAGAATATGGGGAAAGAGTACAGTTGCGAAAAGACTTTGATGCGTTGGTGGAGAGAAATGCAGTGTTGCAAAGGTGTAGAGATGCGTTGTTGAGGCAGTTGAGGGGGGAAACGGAAAGGTTGAGGTCGAGGGGAAGAGAAGGGTTATCGATTTTTGGTGGAGATGGGTTTTTGGATCAGGGAGAGGAGGGGCGGAGGATGAAGAGGAAGCGTTCGGAGGTGTTTTAGATGCTTCTCTGAGTGTCTCGATCGGGGGAATAGGGGTGTATATGTGTCCTGGGGATGGGAGAAAACTTATGATAATGATGTTCGGTATATCTCGTTTTATGTTTGTCGGGGATTGGATACAATAATTTTGGAGGTTAGCATTTTGAAGGGATACCTAGGTAGATTGCTAGCTATTATTACGACCCATAATAATACTCTTTCTGCATACTATCCTCTTGCTTTAGGAGGTTACCTTGCATTTTTCGCGATCAAGAGTGATGATGTTTATTGACTTACTACCCTTTCCATCTCTTATGTTCACGTCGATGCAGTATATCGTGAAATCAGCTATCTTGAAACCTCCAGACTCAGTTTCTCACTCAGAATTCCGATTTCCACGACTGAGGAGTTGATGCATTTCTCGTTCAAGTCTTGTACACTCTTTTCCCCGTAGTCGTCGCCCCCAAAACGCCCTAGCAATATTTGCAGAATGTTCTCTGATCAGTCCACACGGGTAGGTTGACCTTCATCTAATTTCCTCAAGCCAAAATCCGCCGCGCGCCTGATCTCTCCACCGCCTCTGAAAAAGTCATTCACACACTCACACAAACAAAAAAACAGACTCTTTTTCTATCATTTCCCCTTCCCATCAATCACAATACCATGTGCCAGGAAAACAACCCCGGTGTCCAATCCCTCTATTCCCCATCCAAGTTATATTTTTTCACGCCAAAATCCCACCTCATCCCTCCCCCCCTCATCCCTCACCGGTCCCTTCACTCCTCACTCCTCACTCTCCTCCTCCCCCCCTCCAACCGCCCCACCCCACCACCCCCACCTCTAAGATCCCCATGCCCCAATTCCAATTCAATTTTCGGTTTCAAATCACTTTCCAACTCTTCATCACTCCAACTCTCCACTTCACCATAACCATAACCAGCACCACCATTATTATTACCGCTATAACTACTTGTCAATCCCCACTGCGACCACCACCACGAAGATTTCGAGTGAGGGTGGTTGGAAGAGGTGTTTTGAGAATGGTAGTATACGGCGGATAGGATGATGATGATGATGATGGTGGTGATGAGGAGGATGGATGGGAGTAGGAAGAAGGGTTTTGATGGAGGTTTTGGGGGATGAGAGGATTCGGTTGGGTTGGTGGGATTGGGGTTATCAAGTGGCGGAGGAATTTCGTCTTTTCTTTCGTCGTCGTTGTTGTTGTTGTCGCTCATTTCTCCTTTCGGTGGTTTGATCTAGGTCGAGTGTGAACTTGGTATCCTATCGTATCGGCCGTGGCGAGGCGTTTTATTGAACAAATTCGTTGTGGAATGGGTAACCTTTTTCGAAACGATCTACTAAACAGCGAAAGTACCTAGTGATAAAGCTCGAGGTACCTACTGCTGGATCAATTGAGCAACAGCTTACTGGTTTCATGATCTGCATGCTATGATCAATTAGCTCAGACTATGAGCTGCTATTGGCGTGTATGGAAAGAAAGCAAGCTCAACAAAGATGCCGTTTGTGGGGAGCCGTGCTGGAGGTATCACAACAGGATACATAAAGAATCTATCATACTTACATGACTAGGCTTACGAAAACTGTGCGAAGTATAAGATGTGACACAACAGTGGGAGCAGCAGCAGCAGCAGGGGAGGTGGAGCTTGTGAATGATATGCAATGCAATGCAGTACAGCGGAGTGCACCGCGGTCCCATGCCATGCGACTTGGATCGATTTGATGCTATGCCAAGGTGGCTGTTTAAAGGGAAAAGCCACGAAAGACGTGTTGAGCAACGGTATAGTAAGGAAGCCGGGCGATGTATTGTCAGCTTCATGCCTAGGGAGCATCATAGCGAACTCATGAGTCACAGGTACCCGGGTTGTTATTGTGAGATTCTGGATGTTGGCACTGACATTGACGGGTACACGAGAACCTCTTGCATGCGGCCAACAACAACGTGACCACATCAATGATCAGTCTGTTTTTCAAGCTCGTTCCCCTTACTTCCCAGCCCTGTCCGTCCTTTTGTTCTTTTCGTACTAATATCACACTCTGCTCACCAACGTGTACAACAGCAATAGTGATCCCTACTACCAATCATCATCGTCTTTCTCGTCATCTATCACAAGGTTAGTCAAAGTGCTTCCGGTTGTATGCGAAATAGGGCACATGTAACTTACCAGAATGACTAACTTTACTCTTCCTCGCCGCTAAAGCCGAAGCCAGAGCTCCAGCCAAGCCCCCTTGCGCAGCATCTCCGCCTCCACCTCCACCCCCTGAGCTCGTCGAAGCAGGAGCTTCAGCACCAGGAACCATGGCTTGACTTCGATCCTTCTTCTCCGCCTCCGAGACTTTCTTGAGTCGTGCGCCACCACGGATATCCGCAAGAAGACCATCTCGTCCCGGGGCCACCACTTTGGGCAAAGCGGCTGCGCTGTCCTCTGGGACGCCAGGTGCGCGTCCTGGCATTGGTGGCGGGGGTGGAGGCGCCGAAGGGCCGCTGCTCGACGTTGGAGGCAAAGGAGGCGGTGGCGGTGGTCCAGCGCTGTTGTTTGAAGGCGGCAATGGAGGCGGAGGAGGGGGAATATTTGCAGCATTTGAAGGCGGCAATGGCGGCGGAGGAGGTGGCACATTGGCAGTGTTCGGAGGGGGCAAAGGAGGGGCCGAAGGAGGTCCCGGAACAGGTCGCGAAGTTGGGGGAGGAAGTGGTGGAGGAGGTGGTGGCATCATGTGCACATCGTTGCCGAATGAGCTTTGTGCGGGCGAGTCTCGAGGAGGTGGTGGGGGCGGTACGCCTGAAGGAGCTGGGCTGTCTCTCGGAGGGGGTGGAGGAGGGACGCCGCCTGATCTAGGGGGTGGCGGAGGTACAGGATTGGCTATCACACGCTTGCCTTCGAAAGGAGGCGGGACACCGAATCGTGCTGAGGATGGAGGCGTGTCTTCCATGGCTTCTTTTGGAGGTCGAGGTGGAGGCGGCGGACCGGGATTGCTCTGGCTCACGGCTCTGTTGCGCCCAGGCATCGAAGAGGCATTGATGAACTTCGCGCCAGCATCCGCAAGAGGAGGTGGCACCTTGAAAGTCCTTCGCACAGGCGACGAGCCCCTCTCCGGACTTGAAGATGGCGAGGGAGGTCTCTGCGCAGCTGAAGCTCCCCCAGCCTTCCTCCTAGATGGCGGGGGTGCAGGAGGTGGTCCTCTTCCAGTGCTTCCAGTGTTCTGTGGACTGACTCGCGCGGCGTCAGGTGGCGGCGGCGGAGGTGCACGTGAAGCCCTTTCCTGCTTCTCAGCCTGAGCGGCTGCCGTAGCCTTATTCTGCTCAAGGTAGCTCTTGATGAAGGCCGAGTGCTCGTGAATCTGATCTTGTGTAATGCCCATCTGCAGCAGGTCATCCAACACGGCCTGAACAGCCGGATCGCTCAGATCGATATCGTTGGACTGTGAAGTATTCGCTCTGCTCCTGCTTGGCGTACTCTGTGACGAGTCGCTGATCTGCACTCCTCGAGGTGGGATGATGCTTTGTGCCGGGCCTTGCAGCTGTGTGTGACTCTTGTGTCCAAAGAGCCCACCCAGTCCCAGCTTGCTCTTCAGACCACCTTGCTGTTCCGGTGCAGCGTAGGCCTGCTGTCCACCTCCATATGCTCCTGCGCTCTGTGCCGGCCCACTCGCAAACGGTCTGTTCCTCGTATTTTTATGCGCGTTCCTCTCTCTCTCGTCCATCTTCTTCTTGAACTGCTTCGCCTCTTTCTCGTCCGCGAAGCTCAAGCCTGCGAGACAGTCCTCCAACTCGAAGGTGTGAAAGAAGGTCCGATCTTGATTGTAGCTCCACGAATCGTATATCTCTTGATCCCATATCACGCCGCGATTCGCCGGAGAGACATCGACCAGCTTGATCCAGAAGGTGTTACCAACGAGATCATTTGCCAGGACGGCGGCTCCTTGTAATCCTGTATATGTCCATCGAGTACGGGTAGGGTGCGCAACGTATAGCTTCGCGACTGCAACAGCATGGATCTTGTTGCTCGCCTTGGGCACTGTCCGTTTCACCGTCTGCTTGTCCTCTTCCGATAATATTGAAGGCATGTTTGTTGCCTGTCTCCCCTCCGCCTCCTCTAGGTGATGTACTGGTTTTGTAGAATGGGTCTGCAGCTGGAGTGCCTATTCAAAGGTGCCAGCAAAGCAGCCGAAGTTAGTAGAGTCAAGGGTGATGGCAATATGGAAGCCCAATCGCAGGATCCACAGCGGAGGCCTGGAACGAGACAACGCAGCCTTTCCTGCAACCAGCAACTGGCTGCGAAGTTCAGGCGGTATGGTGATGTGGTTGACAGCGCGCGGAGGAGACAATGGCTGATGAATGGCTGCCTGTCGCAGGTTGCCCAACTGAACTGAACCCGGGCGTTACGTAGTTGTTCGCGGATCTGTAATGCCAAGAACGCCAAGTCTCACGTGGTGGAGCGAAGCATAGGTCGATATTCGTGAAACCGCGAAGTGGACAGGATTATACGATTATTGAGTGATTAATGCTGGTCATGGGTGGATAGTGAGTGGGTAGCAGTCTAGACAGAGCCACGTTTCACAGCGCGGTGAACATTTGCCGCTTGATCACGATGTCAAAATGGCCGCAGCGAACGCACAAGAATGATTAGGGCGAAATTGGAAAGAAGGTGCAGCATACGTAGCGGTTACTGGCTACGGGCAAATCTCAAGTAGCAGCATCGATCAGCTTGGTTTAGCGGTATCTAGTGGTAAGGTATTCCGCTAAGGGACAAGAACCGCAGGTTTGTGGCCATGCAATTCAATCATGGCGTGGTACCTCTGCCAAACACGCAGTCGCTCTAGGCGTAAGACGCGTCTATGATCACCTTCATCTGCCTGCACTCTCCCAGAAAGCATCTAGATGTCATCAATGTCGACATCCTCTCCGGACTCGCTGTCGTCATCCTCTCCGAAATCGAATCCGATTCCACCTTCCTCATCACCACCATAAGTATCCGTCTCGTTGATCTTGGCAGAGTCGGGCAGCTCTCCATATGCCTTCAAGGAACGTGCCTCGTCGGCAGAGTATTTGAGAATAACATCACCCTTCTCATCTTGGTAGTCACGCAACGAGAGCAGGATGATGTCTCCCTGGTTGATCCAGACCTTCTTGCGGAGCTTTCCACGGATGTGAGCGAGACGCTTGGATCCGTCGAAGCAGTAGGCTTCGAGACGGCCGTTGCCCAGCATTTTGAGAACTTGAGCGTATTCTGTGCGACAAGAAACGGTTTGGTCAGCGTATCGATCGAGTGTCTGACAGCGGTATTGTGCGTGTATCCGCCGCGCGTTATTGCGCCTCATCTGGCGAAGAGAGAGGAGAGAGACATACCCTGACCTTCCTCCTTGAAGGTCAACTCGCGCTTTTCATTGTCATTCTCGTTCTTTCCACGACGCCTGTTCTTTCCTCCCTTTCCCTTGTTCTTAGGCATGTTGGTGCTGCACTTTCCCCCTTAGCTTGGCGTTGATGTATTCGTGCAGTGCGGCTTCGTTGCCTGGGATAAGTGGTGGTGGACGGAGATGTCGGTGTGAGTTGTTGTAGTGGCGGCGGTCAAAGGAAGAGGGTCGAGGTTTATATTTGGCTGGGCACGAACGAGGGGCACATTGTGACGCATTGTTGAGTTTTGAGAGATTTGATTGGTTCACCTACAGGGTCGTGGTGCACGTGCTCCGTCTTCTCCACTGTAGCTTCCGGGCAGCTCACTCCCAATTTTTGCATGTGCAAGTGTGGTTGGCGATTCCATCCGCACAAAGTGAAAGAGTACCTGGTACCTTAGTGTCCCATGCTCCAGCATGTAGTCCTTCTGCGAACAGTGGCTGTCGATACCGCACGCATCTCGCTCACCGCCCTCAGGAGCTATGTCTCCCCTGCGACCGGACGACAAGTTGGATCTGGCCAACCCACCCAATCGACATCGCAACAAGCTGCTGACAAAGGGCCTCCCTTGATCAATTTCTCGTACGAGCCGAACCCTCAGCCCTTCAACTGCACAACTCAACACACGACGCGTATCTTCGCCGCAGACCCATTTCATCCGTTCTTCCCCAAAATTCAACGCAGGGTCGCGGCGCACGACCCCAAAGACTTCATATGGGTCGTGCGCTGTGCAACGGACATCTGCAAGAAACCAACCTACCGCCACAGTGTTCAGAAGAAGCTGCGTAGAGCCTTCAAGGAAGCTCTAAGACAGAAAGGGTATGATGAAAAGGGCCTTCCATTGCAGCAGGCAAACGTGGCCAAGGTCGATGGGACGAGGACATCAGCCGCTGCAGCCACTGGCCGACTCAGCGGGGCGCTAGCCTTGTTCTTCGTCGGGAACCAGAAGAGCGTGCTGACGGCGAAAGGTGGAGAGATGAAAGCTGAGGCGGAGAGAATTTTGAGAAAAGTGTTGCAGATTAGGTATGCGGCGAAGAAAGGACAAGAGCAGGGTAGAGCGAATAGTCCGTCCTTGCTGAGGGGATCGTCGCCGCAATATAAACGGCAGACTGCGCAGGGATGGAAGCTAGGTCTTCAGAAGGCAAAACGTGCTACTCAGGCTGCGAACGACCGTTCTGCGAGACCTGATTGGCAGAGATAGATACTCGTTGCCCTGGTCTTCTGGCTATGGGACGCATCAACAACTAACTTTCACTTCCTTCAATACTGGCTTCTCACAACGACGTGATGTTCGCGATGGCCGACTGGCGCTCCGCGCAATGCCGAAGAGAAAGGCCGTTGCTGACATCCGTGCTATTGCATTGGCCATACCGCATCAGAAGCCTTGGCCGCTTGGTCTACTAACTGAGCAGCATTTCACAATGGAGAAGCAGAGCTGATGTACTAGCACCGCACCCTATTTCTCTCGATGTCGCGATATCTAAGCAATCAGTAATGAATTGTGCACCGGCGACGGCCGTCTTCCTCTAGCCTCGACAGAATGCCGCGCTGGTAAAGCTGCATCCGACAGTGTAACGATCTGGGAGCTGGCATACGACGTGATTTGCTTCAATATTTTTCACCTCGCTACCCATACTTAGTCTCTGGTAGTTGCTCTGGCGGGCATCAATTCTGTGCTATCCCTGCACCAGGGCAAGGAGAAACTGCGACGCGCTTCCTGGGACGCGGCAGACTTGCTCGAGCGGTCCCGGTGAGGTGCGGATCGCGAGGGCAGCGGCAAAATGGATCAAGTGTCTCGTCAACTTCGCCACCACTATGACTGTCGGTACCATGAGACCAGAAAGACTGCGGGGGAATTGCACTAGCACCAAGATGGCGAGTGGCAGCATTGCTACTTGCTACCGTATCAGATGCAATTATAATCCAGATCATTCAGCGCGCATCTACGGTGCCTCTAGAACAGAGCAGCGATGCACAATCGGGGCGGCAATGGGAACAAGAGTGCTTGCAACCCCAAGTGAAGTCGTTCACCTGAACCCCTGTGTCTCCACTTGACGGAAGCCCAAAGTGGCCAGCCGCCACACGTCACCCCCGGCTTTCTTTGGCTTCATCTTCCTACTACTTCTACCCTTCTACCTACTATACACCACTACACACACTCGCTACACACTCGCCGCCTACCTCGCCGTAACCGCCGCATCCGTCGCTACCTTACCTCTCTCTTTGTCGCCGGATCCGTCGTCTTAATAATAAGTTACCTATATAACAAAGCCGTCGCTATAGCAACTCGAAGAAAGAATCTACTACTATAATACGTCTACTCTCTCTCCTCTACTACCGTAGACGTAGATAACTATATTATTCGAACCTTAGTACGTTGTTACGTAGCGCGTAAACTCGTATATTACTAATATACCGTAGATTCCTCGTATCTACTACTTTAGTAGCGCTCGGTAGGAATATATCTGCGATAAATAACGGCGACGCTATAGACGAGGACACCGATACCGAGGATACCTCGGAGGATAAGGAGGAGGATAAGGAGGACGATACTAGGTAGGCTAGCCTTGCTCGCTACTAAATCTCTGCTAGAATCTCTACTAACTCGCTATATACAGGGCCGTATATACCCCCGATCTATACCCGCGCCGGCCTACTACTACAGACTCTAGTAACTTCTAGTTCTGCTTAGTCGAAAGATAGTAGGGCTAGTTAGACGAGGCCGCGGGCGACGACGCGACGAAGAAGAAGGTCGCGAAAAATAACCTATAGAAGTTCGACCAAGCTAGCCGAATTATAGAGACTATAGAGGGTATTAATACACTAGATCCGTATTACTAGTATACTCGCGGTCCGCGCGACGCGCTGTATAAGGTAGACGCAAAGAATAGTATTATCTACGCCTACTGTAAGCGATATACTAAGTTAGGCTATTAGGCCGGGATACCTATTAACGATTCCCCTAGCGATTCGTAGCGAATCGCCTAGCTAGAGGCTACTATTAAAGCGCTATAGGCTACGGTCGATAGCCTATAGGCTACGGTAGGGACCGTTTAAGATAGGATAGGCAAATTAGAGAATTAGGTAGAGTAGCTTATACCGTACGTCGACGAGCTCCGGCGTATAGTCTACAATATAGCTATAGCGGTATAGCTGTAGGGTAGAGTATCGATACCGGAATCGACTACGATTCCGCGTACGAATAATTAGTAGATAGGCATATATATACCTACCTATCTATTTATATATATAGCAGCGACGTACCGTAGCGAGTATAGCGAGTTAGGTAGGCTACGCGCGATCTATAGCGTTTCTATAGCGAGTTAGCGAATATAAGCTAGCGCCGGGTATACCCGACCAATCGGATCGTCCGCCGACCCTACGCAAACTCTGCAATATAGGTATACCGTTATAGATATAAGTCGATAGTAGTAGATAGCTATAAAAATCAGTCTTTTCTACTCGTATCTACGCTCTATATAAGTAATACCGGGCGGCGCCGGCGGTAGCAATAGCAACCGCTATAGCGTTAGGCCCCGGAGGCCCTATAGGCTTATATCTATCGATACTAATAGCGAGCGTAGCGATTCATTTCTTGCTTAGCGCTCTAGTTATTGCCCTCTCTCCGATTGGAACCGCTAGCTTGTATCGCTTAGCCGTAGGTATAGCGGTAGTACTACTCGTCGCGCTCGCTACTAGTATCGCCGTACCGGTAGTACTACTCGTCGCGCTCGCTACTAGCGTCGCTTCCAAGTCGACGAACTTAGGTAGCTTGCGGGCGTTAGTTACGCTCTCTGTCTATAATGCCTTCTCTTTCTTAATATAAGCGTTGTCTATATCGGTATTACCGTCGATTTCGACAAACTTAGGTAGCTTGCGGGCGTTAGTTACGCTCTCTATCTATAATGCCTTCTCTTTCTTAATAATTAGTACGCTATCGTCGTCGTCGGCCTCGCTAAGCTCGTCGTTATCCTCGCCGTCGTCGTCGTACTTATCGGCGTAGAGCTGTTCGATACTCTCGAGGACTTCTGATACTACGGGCGTTATACGGCTACTCGCTGCGCTCGCTACTAGTATCGCGCGTAATAGTATCGTACGTAATACTGCAGTGCCCTCCCTATCCTTATACTTTTGCCTTAGTTGTTTGTACTACTAAACGACGATAATAGCTTCGTAGGTACGTATAGTAGATCTGCTAGGTAGTAGTATTTTGAATACCTCTATAGACTCGAGGACGTCGGTACTCGCGATACTCGTAGATAATATACGGTTCGGCTTATTAGTCTCTAGATAGAATAATCGTACGAAGAATACGTTGTAGAAGTCTTTAATAGCTGTAATAGGCTACGTAGGTAACTTAGTTAGCTCGAATCGCGTAAGTATAAATTCTATTAATAGCTTCTTAGCGCTATTAGCTACTCGATCGCAATCCGTCCAATAGTTATAGAGGTCGGTATAGGTAACCGGATCGTAGTACTTCTACTCGTCGTTATTCTTTAGAGCTCGCGTAGTAACTCGCTACGTATATACCGTAACGCTAATACTAAACGAGATAGCCGGAGGTAGCGGATTCAACCGCGACGACGGTAGGGCCGGCGTATACTGCTAATATATAGTCGGCGGTAGCGTACCGGCGTATAGTACGACGGCTATAGCGGCCTTAGCCCTAAACGCGATATTAGCCTCGTTACGTACGGCATTCGTATACTACGGAATCCTCGCGAATGTCTAGAAACCCTATTAACCGTCGCTAAGTACTTGCTATATAGATCGTTTCAAGGCGACTAACCTTTACTTAGTATACGGGCACTAGCTACTACGATCGCGACGGCTACGGCTACGGCGGCGGCGGCGGCGGCGGCGGCGGCTATCTAGTAACCGGACGGCTACTTTCTAGTATACGTAATAGTTCGCGTACGAATTTAGTACGTAGAGGGTTTAGATTAAGCTAATAGCACTAAGAGCAGAAATTAAACTTGTAGAATATAACGCTATATCTAATCGACGGTACGACTAGATAGTATTTAGCCTAGAGGCTAGGTAGGTTGTCGGCTATAGTAAATAGGTCGGTAGAGAGAGAGTATATATATATATATAGAAAAGAATTCAAATAATAGTACGTACCGTAATATATACCCCGGAGGGCTTAGCTCGCTTAGCTCGTAGTTATACTCGTAGGGGAGATACTAGCCCTATAGCCTACGGATTATTATAGAACTCGATAATACCTAAATCCTCGTTCGCGATTAGCGCGTTGCTAGTATCTCTGAATACTTCTACTGTCTAGCGCGTAGGTATCTAATCTCTTACTACTAATAGCTTTAGAAGCATACCGAGTATTAGCTATTGTTCTAAGCTAATATAGTTATTTACTAGGCTACGTAGGGTAATATAGGCCGTACGGTACGTACAGTCGCCGGTCGCTACGTTATACGACGTACTACTAATAGGTAGCGCGAAGCTATAGAGGAGGAGGCTCGCTTTGTACTATTCGTAGGTATCGGCGGGAAGAAAGGCCTCGAGGTCTATAGTATTAAGTTAGCGAGCAGGCTACGAGTAGAGCGAGTATATATACTAAACCCTTCTAGTATCCCTTCGAGCGTCTGTAGAACCTCCTTAGGTATACGTATACCTTACTACGTAGCGCTATAGAGCTCTAGATAATACTATAATACGTAAGGAATACCTAGAATCGAGTATAGCCGATTGTTTTGCCTCCGAATCTTATAGTAATTCTATACCTTTACGAATCCTACTACTATTTCGCGGAGAATCGTAGTATAGATCGCTAGGAAGGCAATACGATCGCCTAATAACTCTAGGTCAAATTCGTTCGTAGTATTTAAGCTATAGAAGTACGTACGCTATCTATTTAGCGCCTTAGCCTACTGATTCTACTATGCCTCGATACGCTGATTTATCTTACTTATACTATATCGGAAGTATTTACCGAATCGTAGTAGTAGTAACGAGGCCTCGCTACGAGTACTACGCTTAGTATTCTCAACGTTATAAGCGGTATAATATACTATATAGTACGCGTCGGCAGCTAGAATAGTCTTACCTCTACGATCCGAGCGTATAATCACCGGCGCGTATCTACTATAGCGTAGTATCGCGATATACTAAGCGAGTACCGAAACGGCCGATCTGCTAGTAATTCTAACGTAAATCTACTCTATATACCGCGCGTACACGTCGATTACGCTATATATCTAAATACTCTAGTACTCGAACTTATAGTACGTATCTATTAAAATTACCGCTAACGGCCTAGGTATAATAATAGCACTATAGTGCTCTCTAGCCTTCTCGTATTACCGCTAAACACTATCGGGATTAAGCAATTTGACAATACGGTAGATATAGTCCCTAAGTAGGTTAGCCGACAGCGATTTAGCAAGCGAGCAGATAGCGAGCGAGTAGATAGCAAGCGCCTACGTACCTCCTAATTATATTTATCTCTAAACGCAGATATATATATAGGTTCCTCCTACTATATACCTCTACCTCTAACTTAGCGAGCTCGTCTACGAGTGCTATAGCGATTAACTCTTTAGTATATACTTACTCTACTACTAGTATCTGCTTCCTAAACCCTAGCTCTTTATATATACGCCGATATGTCCTCGTACTAATTTTCTAGCTATTAATCGCTAGAATCGTAACTGCCTCGCTATCTATAAGTTGCAGCTTAGTATAGGTATACGCTATACGTATACGCAAGCTATCGTCTTCGTCGAAGATATCGTACTATCGACGATATAAAGGTACGGCGGCTATAGTAAGGCCCTAGGCTTATAGCCGTCGTTCGAATATACGCTCTATAATAGAAATACCGAACTACTAGTATAGATTAGCGATAATCTACCTCTACGAGACACCTTCCGCGAGCTGTATAGCGATATAGACCTAATAGTTATTATAGTCTATAGCGCGTAGTCCTCTAGGTACGTACGTCCGAGGCATATTAGTAGGTAGCGACGGATGCGGCGGTTACGGCGAGGTAGGCGGCGAGTATATAGCGAGTATATGTAGTGGTGTATGGTAGGTAGAAGGGTAGAAGTAGTAGGAAAATGAAGCCAAAGAAAGCCGGGGGTGACGTGTGGCGGCTGGCCACTTTGGGCCTCCGTACCACTTCCCCACTAACGACCCGCGTCTGTGCACTTAAGCTAGCGCATAGGAGGCACCCTAAGTCGTTCATGCGCGTCTCGAACTCCTCCTGTTCACATACATGTATTCCCTATAGCCGTACCTCAACACTGTTCCAAAATGGATGTTGCCTACGATCACATCCAGGAGGAAGCTCTCACTCCTGCCGAACGGCAGAAAGTCCGTGACGCGGCATCATCGTCCGCTACAACCGCCGACAACGCCGAACAGCCCGCCCAGACTCTCAATACCGAGTTTCAACAGGCCTTCCAGGCCGTGTCCGCTTCACCATGGGGCGCCAAACTTGGAGGCTGGTTCTCTCAAGCCAAAAAGCAGAGCGAGACGTTCTATCAAGATCTGTCCAAGGAGGCCGCTGGGGCAAGTGAGCAAGCTACGAAGAGCTTCTCGAGTCTACGGGAACAAGTAGCACAGCGGACCAGAGGCATGAGCGACCTTCAGATCAGGAGAGGCGACGTGGATGGACCAATACCTGGGCAGGAAGATATTCCTGGCGTGACTTTAGCAGATCAAAAGGCTGAACAGACAGAAGCTGGTGCTGCGAAAGACGGGGAACCAATGAAGGGGGAGGGGAAGACACCAGAAAGTCTACCTGCAGATATAGTCAAGGAGGCAGCGTCTCTCGTGACCATGTTCCGGAGCACGGCCGCCCAAAAGCTCAAAGACCTCCAAAAAGCCGAAGATGCGGCAGACGAAGCTCTCGTTCGTTATGGTACCAACCTACGAAACTTCCTGCGAGACGCTGTGACGATATCTGCTCCTGATGAAGAAGATGGTACCAAGTCCTCGTCCGAAGTACTGTTCTCGACAGAAGACGCTGGAACGGGCAAGAAAGTCTTCCATACGACACGACTTGACGCACAATTACATGCCATTCATGCTAACGCTGCATCCTTCGCAGAGGAGCCGCAAGGTGTAGAATGGGAGTCGTGGAGAGCTGGGTTTAATGTCGATAGTAAGACGGAGTCTATTGCTACGGATTTGAACAAGTATGAAGAGCTGAGGAGAGCGATGGAGAAGCTAGTACCGGAGAAGGTTGGCTATAGGGACTTCTGGATGCGATACTACTACCTCAGGAAAGCTGTGGAAACCGAGGAGGCTCGACGAAAAGAGGTATTGAAAGGTGAGTTAACATCCTTTCATGTGATCACGCACTCGTGCTCCAATGGCCCGGCCAGTCAAACTTACGAAGCTATCCTCGTATAGGCGCGACTGCCGATACCGAAGAAGAGGTCAGATGGGATGATGATGATGATGAAGACGAGGAAACCGATAAAGCGAGTACCCCCAACGCGGGCGCCGGAGCTAACAAGCTGGCCGCTGCATCAACTACCACTCTTCACGCGACCAACACGACTACCAGCAGAGATGATTCAGGTCTTCTCAATCCCACAGATGCTCGACGAAGTGAAGATGGCAACAAATCCGTGGCCGACTCCGATGCCAGCTATGATCTGGTCTCTGGAGCTACGAGCCGTGCACCAGGAAGCCCTAAAGATCAGAAGAAGAATGGTGAAGAAAGCGACGATGACTGGGAATAAATTGGTTATACGCCGCGGAACTTCTGCTCATGAGTGTGTTGCATTGCATTATACTTGCGGGATGATGCGTTTCACGAAGAGGTGACAGTAGCAATAACAGGCGCTTGCAAGGATTGATTGACCAGGTAGCGTTCTGATTTCTGTTTCATTATGATACCAATGCTCTTTCTGGCTTTCGACGACCTTACTGTTGATTTCTCTATTTAGGCTCAATCATACGCGTGTTCAATCATACGCGTGTTTCTTCTCGTTAAGTACCTCTCCTCCAGGCACAACAATTAGCTTCGAGTTCCTTCGTCACTCGCAAATCTTCGGATCATCGGTTCCACCATGATACTGGAATGCCAAAGACTACCTTACGACGGGCCCTTCTTCACGATGCGCATGGCTACCCTCTTATTGGCAAGTCGCGTCAACGATGTTGTAGATCAACGTTCCAAGTGTTGCTGCGAATGCGGCGATGCGCGGTCCGTTGACTTGGAGAAGTTGTTTGGCTCTGTCGCGTCGGCGCCGGATGGCTGGTAGGGCAGCAGCTGGAATCGGAGCATTTGGCGTTGGAGCTGCTGGCATCGGAGCTGCTGAGATTCGGTTGTTTCTGCATGGAGAAAAGATATTAGCCGATCCATCTGGCCCGGTGTGACTGGACACTGCCGCTTACTGGAAGTTCGAAGGACCTCGGGGTGAGGCTGGTTCAGGATACAGCCCATCGATTGCTGTTGTGGGAGTGGGGTCTGGGACCGCTCTGTCGAATCTGTTGGTCAGCCACTAGAGCAGACGTGAGTTGTGGAATCGACTTACTGAACTCCGGATGCCAAAATCGTCTGAAGATGGGCCTGCACAGGGCGAATTGGCATGCTAGTCATGTTGCTAATCGGTAGCTTCTCGTCTGGATGATGCTGGCAGTCGAGTGCGTGAGCAGGCTTTCTGGGTTTGGCGTCTCGTCCCTGAAGAAATGACCTTGGGCTGCTTCTTTTTATGTAGCGCAGCCATCCTGTGCCCTGTCATCCTGATCGGCTGGAGATTTAGTCTGTCACCAGCGACATCTGGGGAAGAGGTTACATGTATGTGAATTCTCGCCCGAAAAGGTCCAGTCTGACGACATTGATGTCTTCAAAAAGCGCGGCCCGGGTGTTCCCGCAGGCAATGGACATGGTGTCCCGTCGCTTATACACCCAATTGAAGAGTGCAGTGACGCACAAGTTGAACATGCGTGTTTTCAGCATCGATGTTCACCGTCGCGAGGATCTGAATGTCGCTTATATACCCAATTGAAGAGTGCAGTGGCGCACAGCACGATCATACCGCGGAACATGAAGTCATGGCATGGTACAGACCATAGGCCAAGGTGCTTTCGGCTGCTTCTGCTACCCATGAGGCGCGACAGGCCACAGGCTACAGACTACAGGCGCTACCGTACCCAGCGTACCGTCGCTCTCAGTGGTCCGTGCAGCTGAACACACCTTGGGGTGTTCAGCTGCTTCTGCGACCCAGGAGAGGCTACAGGCTACAGGTAGAATGTAAAAGGTATAAGAGGGAATCTACGTCCTGGCACGTATACCCATCTTTGCATCCTGCACGCGAAATTTCCTCAACTCCTGAGTTCCTCGAGCCAAAACCTGCCTACACCCAGAGTAGCATACAACCTCACCATAATGCAGTCTTCATCTTTCCTCCCGTCAGATCACCACCTGCCTCCCACCTGGACTTGCGACCAGTGCCAGACATCTTTCTCCAAGTCGAAGCTATTAGAACAGCACACCAAGGAAATGAAACACGCAGGCTATCGCTGCGCGGCTTTGGGCTGCGGCAAAACGTTCACAGCCAGAACATCATGGCTATCCCATAAAAAGGGCCACACTGCTGCACGAACTGCATGCTCGAAATGCTCAAAGCCTTTCAAGCGCAAGGATCACTGCCGAGAACACGACTTCATCTGTGGAAAACATAAGAGGGCCACCTCCTTGCACGACAACGACAGCAGTACTTTGTCGGAGGTTCATGACAGCGGGTCCCTTGCGGCACAGTCTAGCGAGGCATTTAGGGTAGCTCGAACTTTGTCGAGTCTGCGAGATCAAGGGAAGGACAATACACCACCCGGATGGAATACACCGTATCCTATACCTCCAGAGCACATGACTGTTCATTGTGAAGTTTGCAGGAAGTTTGTGCCTGCCCACTTGCTCCAGGAGCATTACGCTAGCGAGACTCTCGCGCTGCAGTCACTGTTTGGTTCCCGTGAACCCCGTGAGACGCTTGCATCGCATCATCTCAGCTGTGTGATTTCCGGGGCCTGTCAGTGTATACGACTCTCCTCGGCTTACTTCAGCCGCGAAAATCGCCGAAAGAATAGGACAGAACAGAGCCCATTTTTTGGTTTCTGAGTTGGCATTGGCGTAGACAGGTGCTATTAGTAGGACATCGATATAACGCCCTTTCTTGGTGGACTTGATCGTGCAGCGAGTGGGCACGCATGGGTGTGCGCGGTATGTCTGGCGCTGTGCCGTACCTGGTGTTCTTTTATCTTCTGGCTATGTCGCATTTCCAGAAAGCGCGTTCTGAAGAATTGACTGGTGAATATGTCTAGCGAGAACCGGATTTTGCTGGGCTGGCTAACTGGGCCCGTTGTAGCGATCCTGGAGACTCAGCAATCCTGGAGACTCAGGTTCAGCGAGCAACTGCCTGAGAAGAGATTGTGATCAAGATATGCTGTGAAGAAGAGATAAATTTATTTATACGTTAGAAACAGTTCGTCTGCCTCTCTCTTCCGCAACTCGGCGGCTCTCACCTCTTATGACATGTGGAAGAGCGAGGTCGGAGCCAAGACTTTTCGTCTGTGAGGATTCGACGCCACAATCGGATCTTTGCCTTCGCCGACAACTGCTGCGCGTCCGCAGGCCTGAAGCGGTGCGACGTCGCTAAGCTGAGAGGATGAAGAACGCCCCGCAGCATGTTCGCTGTTTGTCGGGGGTGTGAGTTCATGTACCACCACATATGCGTCAGTCAGACTCCAATGCGCAGCTCGCACGAGTCTGATACCTCCTAATAGTGATGTTCATTCACTTGCCAAGCGGATCGCGGATCAGATAACCTTAGATCAACGCTAGGATGTAGCAATCAATTGGGTCGAAAACTCTCCTTTCTGTTCCTCGGCTTGCTTGTTCGACTTCAGCCAGCTCCCTGGAAAACACTTGGCAGTCCCCGCGCGAAAAATCATCGATACCTGGGGACGACCGCAAAGGGTATGCTCTCATGGTAGCTGCGTGTCAGAATGTTCAAACTTGCCTATGCTGCTGCTGAAGTCTTCAATCTACTCGGGTATGTTTGTGATTGTGGCTCTTTTTTTTTCCTTTCACAAAGAAAGATTGGAATCATCAAAAAGGGGGCAAAGTATTGCGTGTGCGTGTTTGTATGCAATGACACTCTGTTATTCTCAATATCATCAGAGGCAACGGACGATCCTTCCCAGGAGGATTCTGATAGTAGCAGGGCATGGACGATGCGCCGTTCGGATGGCCCCTTTTCTTTCCCCATAAACAAGTGATTGACCTTTATCTAGCTATGAACTCCATTCCCATTTGACATTCTGAATCTTCTCCGTTCGTTCTCATTCTGATTTCATGTCTGACAGCAGAATCCCACGTCAGTCTGTCAACGCCGTATTTTCCTCGATCCCCTTCCAGCGAGGACCTCATCAAAACAACTTGTTTTTCTTTTCTTTCTCGTTCTTTTTCTCTGAGCACATACTCTGATACACTGCTCACGTTCTCATTCTCACTCACTCAACCCATTCTTACTCTCCTTCACAACAAATCGATCAACTCGTCAACCGATCGATCATCAATTCTCTCCTGAAGAGTTCTCACCAAACTATCAGTTTTGACTCCATGGTCCTTGATAGCCTCCGCAAGAACATCTCGATGTTTTCTGCATTTGCCACCTAAGTCTTCAGCACACGCGCTGCAAAGCGCAGTGCGACAATTCAGTGTCTTGCAAACGACTCCATGCTCGTGACAACAGACCACTCCACAGTCCGAACACTTGATATGAGCATCATACTTTTCCACTCCACTAGGAAACGCCTTTCGCAATTCCTGCTCGTGCGCTCGGGCTTTGGCCACGGCGGCTTGGATGGCTGAGCTGCGGGTGAAGCCGAGTTTCATGATTTCGAGTTGCTCGGCGTAGTAGCAACAAGTCTTGTTGCAATGGTGGCAGCTCTTACCTTTGTAGTTGAAATTGATACTGGAGAAGGTATTGTAACTCTCCACTCGGATGGATTGGCTGATGTTGGGGTCTCCGTGTCCGCGCAGTGGGCTCGGCGCTCCAACGCTGACTTGCGAGGGAGACGCGTTCATGGGCTCGTAGGCTCCTCGATGGATTCCCATGCACATCAGATTGATGGTATCCCAGGCGTATTTGTGATTCGGGTGTGGTGGGTCGCTAGCCCGCTTGTGTTCGAGAAGTGGGATCCCGAGACGTTCGCGCAGGTTCTGGGCTTCGGACATCGAAGGTGAGTCGTCGTAGCTGGGTATGGTCGACATGCTAGGGGTGCGAGGACCACGCCATGCGTTGACCACATTGTCCATGTGTTCTTCGACCGGCGAAACGGTGTTTTGATGATCGTCTTCGTCTCGCAAAGCAGTAGTTGAACGGTGGTTCAAGAGAACAGTCTCTGTGCTAGAGGCGTCACGATCTGGCAGTGGTAGAGGAGCCGCACTGTTGAGGTTGGCGGATTCGTCGAGAGTCTTGCCGGGACTGATACGCTGACCGTACTTTGGTGGTCGCGGTATATGCGACGTGACTCCAGGCGGTGACGGTTCCTCCTGAACCTTGCGTAGGGCTAGTGAAGCACCAAGACCTGGTGGTTTGGCGGGCTTGATCGGCTTGGCCCTTGTGGGTGTTGGTAGTTCGGATCCGCGTAGCTTCGGGACATGTAGAGGCAAAGAGATTGAGCGCTTATCGGAATTGTGGTAGGTGTTGTCGCGAAGTGCTGGATGTCCAGCGATCACTGGGACCTTTGATATCTTGTCGGTTCGTCGTTGAGCCGCTGCCTGAATGGCACGATCGAAGTCTGCCTGTTGTGCCTCGCTGCTGAGTTTTGGCGAGAAGTTCGAGCGGCTCGAGTCGCGGCGTACTATGAGTGCGCTGCGGCGGTATGACGCTGATGGTGGCGCCGGTGGTGCCTCATTCTCGTATTTTGCTCGCATCTCAGGAGATAGATGCGGGACCGGAGGAAGCGCCTGGTCCTGTGAGCTGTGGCACTCTGGTTTCACGACATTGCGCCGCAGATCTGGCGTGCTCCCAGAAGAGTTCGCAGCTTCAATGAGGTCGTCGTCGATGTCGACTTCATCGTCATCATTCACTGTCTCCCATCCAGACCTGTCATCGCGAGTAAGCGAGTCAAGGGGCGATGCCAGAGGTGACGCGGGCAAGGTGGTGCAGGTCTGCAAAGTGGTCGCTGCACTTGGTGTCGCTGGTGAAGCGAGCCTTGGAGAATTCTTAAAAAATGACAGTTGTGCCGTTGAGAGGGCACGAGGAGTCGATTCGACAACATCCCGTGACGAAGTGCTGATACCAAGGCCTTGCGCCTGATAGTGGTCTTGGTCGGGAGTCGAAGCCAATGGCCTGTCTGAGGCATCATCATACGAAAGATTGCCGGTGCTGTCCTCTGCGGAGCCAAGTGAGGAGAGTGTTGGTGTGCGATCTAAATCCGGTGTCCACAGGGGCACATATGTGGGTGTCGAACTGGATGAAGTCGCCTTCGCCCTCTTGAACAGTCGCTCGAGCACAGTCTTCTTCATGTAGGGGTCCTGATTTACGTGATTCTTCTCCCACTCCGCAATGGTTTCGTATACTGAAAGCTCTGGCGGAAAGCCTTCTTGCCAACCATCCTTCAGGACAAATCCGCATTTGCTGGTTCGGTGAAGAAACTGAGTGGCAAGCTTTAATTTTCGTTCATTCCGCTCTCGTTTTCTCAAAGCGTACTCGTCCATCTCCTTGGATGTGCCATCTTCAGGCAGTGCGCCAAGAGGTTCTGTGATGTCGCGTTGCTCTTGCTTTCTGACTTCCCGCTTCACAGCCTCCACATATTTTGACCATTCTTCTGGGTTCGTGTCCGCTAGCGTGGCGGAAGGTAAACCAAGCTGGCCATGAGGGGACTTGGTAGGAGCGTACTCGTACTGTCGTCCAGCCGCATCAACACGGTAGCGCTGGGTCAGGTTCGACTCACTGCGCTTCTTGCGAATTCCGGGTGTCGCAGGAAGAGGTGAAATGAGGCTGCGTCCGTCGCCGTCTTCCTTACGCGGCGTGACTCGCGGCGCGGGTAGACGGCCCTGACCAGGTTGGCTGCCGTAAAATGGGCTCTTCAGGCCCTGCGACGAAGATGACCGAGCATCAGGAAAACTCGAGTAGCGTAGTGGTGTAGGTGGAACCGGTGATCGACCAACCGGAGATACTGTGGCTATGGTGTTGACCGAGTCCGTGGACATCATGCTGGACATGCTCTTTGGACTAGCAAGAATGCGATCGCTGGGGGTTTTCGGAGAACTCTTCGTACGATCCCGACTGAACAAGCCAGCAGCATTCAAACGCGAGGCCGGTACACGCTGGTCAAAGCTGCTCGAAGGAGTGAAACTGGGTCCGCGCGCTGTCGTTTGCCATGTCTCTGCGCTGCTATCGGCGGGAGAGAGTGCTGTCATCGATTTCTTCGTGCCAAAGCCGAACGTACCCATAAAACTCTTTTTCTTCTTCACTGCTTTTCCCTGCTGCTGCTGCGCCGAAGACGGAGACTTTGTGCTGCGGATGCTTACCTGCGGGCTAGAAACCGGCGTCAAAGATCCAACGCCCTCACGAGCTCGGCTGCTGCTGCTGTCGCCGCAGGAGCTGCTGATGAGACCAGAGCTGACATATGTGTCGCCGGATGGCCTCGTTTGCGGCGTCGATGGGATACTGTCGGTACTTGTCGCGGACGCTTCTTGTCGCATGTCAGCATAACGCGCGCAGAGCAGGGTGCAGAAAGGACTTACTGCTGCCACTACCGAGAACGCTCGATTTATGGCCATCGACCTTGTCCGATGTTCTCTTGTCTCGGGCTGAGAAGAGTGTCACGAGAAATGAGCGAAAACGAACTGTCGACCGGCGGTGACGGTGGACGTGGCACATACCTTTCGCGCCCACGGCACTGGTGGTGGCCTGTGGTAACGCGAACATGCTCGCTGGCGCCGCTCCTGCTGGCGGTAATGGTACTTGATGTGATATGCTCGGGTGGGGAATATCGCTGTGGAAACGATAGTGCGTGTTCGAAGTGAGGTTTAGTCAAGCCAACTTGAACGCGAGATCCACGCTCAGGCAGATTCAGCCACAGTGGTGGACGCGAATCTTGCCCTTCACTCACTCATTCACTCACTCACCCGCCCAGTCGCTCACTGCTGTCAAGCAGCTATCGCATAGCATCTTAATGACCTGACAGGGTGTCTACGGCGCTGCTGGACGCAATCTACATGCCGCTCGTGGTGAAGCGAGCATATCTGATCCCCATCAGCATGCAGACAGACGGCCCTGTGAACGGCAAGGAGAATACTGTTTACTTACCTACTTCACAAACGCGTACATTTCCCAGGTTCCCAAATAACTACAGGTAACGCAATGAGGTGCTTTCCAAGTGACCCTGGCGTCCACAACGAAAACCTGTTTTACCAACAGTGTGATCGCTCTACCACCGGATCAGAGGTCCAATGTCTAGAGAGAAAACGTATTTGGTCTCGAATTGCTAGTTTTTCTGCACTAACTGGAGCCGAACCACGCTTAAACGCATGTCACGCGTTCTGAAGCCATCTATCTCGACCGAAAACATGGCAGTCATTGCTCATCTCATGCCTCGTAAGTAAGTTCATTTCGTCGGACCTGGAAATCGACGTGGCACTTGTGCCACGCGGTAGACTCCGAAGACTCTTCATCGCTGCTGTCCACGTTGATAGGAGCATCGCGGGTTCCAGCATCCTATGCCTCTGCCTGTGCGTACTGCTTCGTCCACTCCCGCGCCGTCTTGATGGCGAGTGCTGGGTCCTCCTGCGCCATCTGTTAACAGCGCTTCTCGTAGGTGACGGTATGCCTATCCTGTATCTTACCTTCCACTGCTTCGCCACAGCCTCATTCAGGGGATCTTCTGGGTTGGGAGCTCCTAGAAGAGCCTGTATACTCAGCAGTATTGTCCTAATTTGCAGCGCAGGACTCCAGTTGTTCTTTAGCACATCGAGACAGATGCGGCCGAGGCGATCGATGTTGGGGTGATAGATGCGAGTGAGGAATCGGATTTTGGGCGCACACATCGGGTAGTCGTCTGGAAGGAAAAGCTCGAGCTGGAAGACTCCACCTGGGAGAGCATCAGTCTTGTTGTTCGTATACTTTGTAGATCGAATGACGCCTATCCTCACCTTCGTAGCAGCTTCCCCCAGGACCTTCTACCATGACATCGAAGTGGCGGGCGTTGTCGTCGCGAGGCGTCGCTGAAATGCCGGGCACAGGCTCATTCTGCAGACGTTCGGTCTCTTTCATGATACGTTTGGGAAGCGGGGCAGACATGATTGCGGTCGAGATGTGCTGGTGCGGGTGTTCGGGCGGTATTGGCGTCTTCCACGTTCTTCGCGAGAGAATACGGCGGTAATCAAGCTCCAAGCGTAGTAGTGAGATGTTGTATGCGCTGTTGTTGGAGAAGCGCGCGGAAAGCAAACAAAAGTGCAGCAGTTGCATACAGGTACCTCCTACATGTTTGTCCCTCCAGTCCCGATGATGTCTGATGTCAGCCTTTCCGTTTCAGGGTTCGTTCTTGGCACGACGAGGTGATGCCAGTCGCGTCGGGTATCACGCGCCTTTCTGCCGTCTCGTCTGCGATGGAGATCACCTTCATACCTACATGTACATAGGAGGTACCTACACATGATCATCATCATACACACCCCAGTGGAGACTTCCAATCCAGCGCAATGAAGCACCAGCTAGACTCACCGTAGATCAGCTCTATGGAGTTTGCCAGTCCACGATGGGGCGCCTACGAGGATACGAGATCACTGCGAGATGCGACTACTCCTAGTGCCACATACGCTGTGAGCGCGCAATATGCTGCCTATGCCGACCGTCGGGGCGTGTTTGCTAGAAAGCTCGCGACCGGTGAGCACTACAAGCGGTTATTTCGCTACGAAGATGAAAGACCTTGGTTTCAGCCTGTCTTGGCCTTTTCCACCATCCGCGGACGGCTTCTCGCTATTGCCACGGGCGTTCAGATCCTGGTCTTCGACGTGGACACGAAGATTGTGAAGTATGCGTTGAAGGGGAATGGCAGGATCATCACTTCTCTGGCCTGGTCAGAGTCCAAAGCTGGCATTCTGGCTACGGGAGCCGTGGACGGCAGCATTTGCGTTTGGTCTATCAAACATCCCGCTCGACCACTCTATCACGTTCGAGCCTTTCACGGCGCATGCAATCGCGTCGCCTTTCACCCCAAGGACCAGGAATTATTGGCCGGCTGCCACAATGACTGCATTTCAGTTTGGGCGCTTCCTTCTACCAAGCCTTTCCTAGTCACCAAAGCCAAGGACTCGGATTTCACAACCTTGCGCTGGTTTGCGACCGATCCTCTGCGTGTGCTGGGAATCTCGTCAACCGGCTCAGTGTGCATATATGATGTGCATTCCGCATTGGAGACGTTTCGGCAGACTCCATCTCGTAGGCTGGAAGATAACGATGATGAGGAGACCATGTTTGGCAGGCTTGAAGACATCGGCTATATGCCAGCCTCTGAATTCAGTATTGGTATGAACATCAGCCAAGCTTTGTTGATAGGCCGCAATGGCTTGATTGTCCTCCCTCGAGACGGGCATATACTGTTCTTTATCACATTTTTCGCGGACAGAGATGAAGCTACTGAGTTATGGCGACTTCGCCTGGATGACTTAATCGACTGCTTTTCTTTGCGCGTGCGGGATCGAGCCGTGCAGGTTGTCGCCTGTATGGGAGCAGAGACGCAAGCTTATGAGGTACCCGGAACCGTTTTAGATGGCATGGGCTGGAAAATCGCCACGAGCACGAGTGGCCAGTACGGAGACGATGCTAGCCAGGATCGCACAGAACCTGTGGCCCACACTATGAGGCCAGAGTTACACGTCTACAGTCGCCTGATCCAATCGCCGCCGACGTCCAGGAAACCTCCTGTTGCCGATCGCCTCGCAAAGCCAGATGTCGAATTCAAGAAGAAACCTCGATTGCTTTTGGCAAGCAAGTCAAAAGCCGCCGTGCCTGCTGACATACCATCCTCGATAACATCTAGTCTCGAACTATCTACATCTAAAGGCGGATACGATGAGCAAGAGTCCCCCATCACCGCTCTATCTCCGAGCATTCCTGCTAGACATACGTCGCTGGAGCACGCGATCTCACCTCTAGATGAGTCGATGCACTTGCCCGCACGCGCGTCATTCGACTCCATCACGTCAACTGCCGGCCACGACAGTGACTCTGATGATGAGACATTTGCCGAACAGCTACAGGGGAGCGGATCCTTTCTGCCTGGTGGTGTGAATGTGCCACTACCGCGGACATGCGGCGCCAGTTTTGGCGCTAACGGTCAGCTGATTATGTTTTTCCCAACGCGCGCCCAGCCCGCATCCATGAACAACAGTATCACGGTAGAAGCACCTGCAACGCGGGAGCGACATAACTCGACAGTGACGAGGCTCTTTCCACACTTTGGAAACTTGGGATCTCGTGTTGGCGCGCTGTGGTCCACGACTGACAGTGTTGGTTCTCCCGAGAAGTACCGTCATGTTGCATATCGCTCTTCCATGCCAATCTCGTCGTTCGGAAACAATCCACAGTGGTCTACAAGGACTTCGCCCACCAAACCGACCAACACCGGTCTTACATATCAAAAGAACGTCAAGGTTGCCATACACGAGGTCAAGTCCCTCCAGGCTATGCAACGACTTGCATACGAGTATCGTGTCCTACCCGAAAAGGATGAGTCAATGGCCGATTTGTGCTCCGAGAATGCGACGTCCGCGGCAAATGCAAGCATGAAAGAGGCTGCCAGGATGTGGCGCATGCTAGCTGTGCTGCTGGAACAGAGGACTTGCGATACATCTAAGCTGACGCCGGAACAGGCCGATGGTGTTGCCTCTTCAAGAACGCAGCGACCAGCCTTGTCACGAAACATATCAGCTGCTTCCGCCCACGATGATCGTGCAGGCCGCCATAATACGGTCCGGCTGGAATGGCTGCATCATCCGATGGGAAGAAATTGGGCAATGGAGAAAATCCTCAGCTGGGCCGAGCTGCAAGCCGATGTCCAGATGCTGGCGTGCGTGACCTCCATCTTGATCCGGCTCTCAGAGGACTTGCGCCTTGACAATTCGAGACAGCCTCTGCAAGACTGCTATGGCGATGGTCCACAAAGTCCACTTGGCAGGAAGCCCCCACCCAGCATCCCACTCGTTCGTACTGATACCAACATTACTGATGTTAGCTTGTCAGACTACTCTCCAGTCAAACCATACAGTTCGCGGACATCGTCAAGGGATCCGTCGTTGCCGACCACCCCTTACATCGACTCATCAACAAACACTCCGCCATTGGCCTTACCACCTCTCAACAGGCACACATCACGATTATCTGCCTCGGGCTCGGCAAGCCCCGAAACTCATCGCGGTAGCTTCAGCGCAGCGGCTAAGTACTATGCGCAGACTATATCCGACAAGCTGGGCGGCTATAGCACGTCTCCACCCATAAGAAAGCTTGGTGGCAGTCCCGCCAACGAACTGTCGACAAGCCTTCCCACGGCAATAGGTAGCTGGAGCAAGTCGGTGACTTTTGCTGCAGGCTCTGATCCGACACGTGATGGCCGCAGAAGTCTGAGCCTAGCACACGATGACGATAGCTACGACAGCGATCGTACCATTGACGAGATGAGTCTTCCCCGGACGCCCAACTCCAATCATGGAATCACAGTGCGCACACTAAACGGCCAAAGTTTTGGCGATTATGGTCTTGTAACTCGGCCTCTCGGCTTGTCTCTGCTCCCACAACACCTCGCTACAAAGTCCAGCATCTGGCGCGATACTTATGCCGAACAGCTCAGATCATGGGACTTGATCATTGAAGCAGCGGAGTATGAGAACATTTCCGATCTCGCGGGCGCGAAATGTTTTATTGCCTTCAAGGGAATGTCACGCAGTCATGTCGTTCCGCATATTGACCCGCAACGTCGAGGCGTAACATGCTGCATTTGTTTCTGCATCATCAAAGCTGCGAAGCAGGTGTGTCCAGCTTGTTTACATACAACTCATAAGCATTGCTTGGAAGAACTTGTGGCCGACTTTGACGGGGTTGATGCAGCTTTCACGTGCCCCACCGGCTGCGGTTGCGAGTGTGCTGCGGTGGGAGATGTTTCGTATCACGCGGTAGAGGAGGATAGGCACGCGGAATTGGAAGCTGCTGAGTCTGCGCCTGCGATACATGCTCAGTATCCAAAAAATAGGAGCCTGACTGATCCGAGACTCCTTAGGCAGAGGTCAGAGGGAAATTCGTGGTAAGGAAACTCTGCGAACCCAGCTGGAACATTGGCCTATTAAGCATGCCAACCTTGGTTGTCGCAGAAGTCCCCACAGCGTTCCTGGTCCAGGCGACAGCGATCACTACTCTCAAGGCGATCATCCTGCATGATATGTACGATTCACAATGGCTGAGACTTTGGGTACCGCGTGACTAGAGTCGACTTTTTCCCCATCACCAGATCACCACATAAATCAACGGGGAGTCCGCTCTTCACCTGCTCAAGCTTATGCAGTGATCAATCTCCATTGATGTGCTCGTGAGTCGTGCGCCCTGGCTTGGACCATGGGACGACCTGAGTGGTGTGTATAAACTGGGACGGATCTTGTGACCTGCGAAATGATCAGCCGGTCTCCAGGACGAGAGCTGTTGACATGCAGGACAATGCTGGATATTTTTCTGCAGACGGGACGCTCGGCCACGGTCACGTTCTGCGCATTCACATGGACTGAAATTAGTTTTACATGAACATGGTGAGAATTACAGCCATACTGCCCAGCCTATCCATGACCAGTTGGTATTGAGGCACAGGGGGTCCCATTTCTGAGACTGGCATATCCTTGCTGCACTGTGGTAGGGCTACTGGACGGGCGGGGCGGCTTTGGTACTACAGTACTAGTGTACGAGACGCATTGAACCGTTCGCAGATCTCCACACCAAGCTAACATCAAGTCTAAGTGCTATTACATGCAGGCACTGCGCCAGTATCTCATTCGAATGTGGAACAGTATGCGGAACATCTGTCTCCTCGCATCACAAGACATGTAGAACTACCCAAGGATTAAGAAGCTACGGGCTTGCGCGCAGATGTTTCCAGAAAGCTCATCCTCCATTCTGCCGTGGAGCGAGTTGTCCAATGATCAGCATCGGTTTATGGGTCGAGCCCCTTTATGCTCCTAGATGTGAAGATACTCCGCACGCTGCGCATGCTCGACCCTAGTTCAAGATGCGCCGTGAAGCCGTGAAGCGGGGAATTAGCCTCACTATAACGCTCGCAAAGCATGCGACTTTGACAAATGGCCTTCGAGGGATGGGCGTGTTTAGAAGACCCAACCGAGGCAGAAGGGCCTGGGAGTAAATATGTCAGGGGCTGATGATGCTGGATCGTGGGCATGCTCGATCACGCCTCTTCCTATATCATGCGCAAGGACCTGCTCCGACATGCTTCTTTTTCATCACGTCGACTGACCCTGGGAACACACGCTCGTCGTTACTCACCCACACGCTCGTTTATACTCAACCAACATCATCATGAAGTTCACTGTGGCGCTGTTTGCCATTGGCGCCCTCGCCGCCGTGCGTCGCCAGACCGGCGATTTGGCATCCAACGTTCAGGCAATCACAGATGCAAGTAAGTCGTCGACATGTTGCACCATAACACGCTCACGTCCTTTGGCAAGCAGACTAACACCCTCCTCCAGCAAAGAAGGTCACCACCGCCATCGAAGGTTACAACGGAGATGTTCAACAAGCAGCGGCCGTGGAATCTGCTTCTAGCGATGTCCTGGCAGCCATCAAATCTGCCCAAAGCACCGTGGATGGCATGTCCACCATCGACCAAAGTGCCGCAATCACGCTTGCAATCCCCATCAAAGACCTCTCCTCGGCTGTCGACGCCTCCATCACCGCACTCATTGGCAAAAAAGATGCTTTCGACAAAGCAGGTCTCTCCTCACTTGTTCTCTCCTCTCTCCAAGACCAGAAGAAGGCTTCCGACGCCTTGACCAGCGCTCTCCTCGGCAAACTCCCTGAGGCACTGCAAGATACCGGTAAACAACTCGCCAAGCCCGCTCAGGATTCTCTCGACAAAGGTATCGCTGCTTTCTCGTCTGGCGGTGGCGGTGGTGGTGACATGAAGCCTGCCGGTGACATGAAGCCTTCCGGTGACATGAAACCTGCCGGTGCTGTTCCTCCGCCACCCATGGACATGGGTGCGCCCGCCAGTCCTCCGGAAGCCGCTCCGCCAGCTCCTTCTTCCGCCGCCGAGTACCCGTCGCCAACGATGCCCCCGGCCGGCATGACTCCTCCAGCTGAAGCTCCTTCCTCCACCTCATCTTGCCCTGAGACTACCACCATGATGCCTTCCATGCCCATGATGCCTTCCATGTCTACGATGATGTCTATGGAGACTACTACCTCGATGCCAATGATGTCCACCATGCCCACCATGCATCCTACTATGTCTACGAGCATGAATGCTTCTACGACTACTATGCCTGTGAGTTACACTGGTGCTGCTCATCAACAGGCTGTGGGATTGGGTGCTTTGGCTGTGGGTGCACTTGTTGCTGTTTTGTAGGTTGGGGGTGTGGTGTGTGGGGGATGTTGATGTGGGTGGAGTGGAGTTGAGGTGATGAGTTGAAGTGATGTTGAGTTGAGGTGAAGTGGAAGTGGAAGTCCACAGATTGCGGGGATGGGGGCAAGATGAGTGGAGCTTCATTAAGATATTGAGTCTGCGCCGAAAAACAGGTCAGAGTCTCAGAGAGAGAGAAAGGCAGTGAAACTGGAAGCGCGATTATGTATGCTTAATGTCCATTTACGTCAATATACACCCGATTCGTGCGATTTGAGACCTTCACTGTTCACAATAATCATTACTGTAGGTAATCTTCAATTCTACCTAAAATCCTTACGTGCAGCCGGCACAGCTCAGAGGTAGTGACATGTCCGTCGCAAATGCCACCTCAAATACATGTAATTATCATTATCATACATGATGGGAGAGGACAGACAAAACACCCAACAGCATCACCGCGTCTTCTCACTCAGCATCGCCTCCTCAGCCATTTCCCTTCTCCCCACACTCACCACAATCCTCTCCGCCACCCAAATCGGCATCAACTCAAACAAATAACTCTGCACCCGATGGCCCCAATACGGATACACCACACTTTTCCCACATCCCACAGCCCCCAACGCCACCTTTGCAAATTTCTTCGCATCGGGGACAAATACGCCTTGCGGTTTCACATAATTATCTGTCGCCACGGCACTCACCACTAAGGCAATCACTTCCACATCGACGCCCTCGGCTCGCATTTCAGAGGCTAGACAGCGCGACCAGGATTGATTGTATGCTTTGGCGCCCGAGTAGATGGAGAGGTATGGAAGGCCGAAATCGGCCGAGGCGGAGGAGACGTTGATGATGAGGGCGGGCGTGTGGTTGCGTAACTGGGGCAGGAGGATCCGAGTGATTTCTGTCGGGAAGCGGAGGTTGATATTGATGAACATTTGCGAGTCGGAGGGGTTGCGTTCATGCAGGGGGTAGAAGGCCGGTTTTCCGGCTGTTCCGCCGACGTTGTTGATGAGGATGCGGAGGTTGAGCGAGGTGAGTTCGGAGGCGGCTTGGGAGAGAAGGTCTTGCGAGTTGGGGGAGGAGGCGTCGATGCATAAGGTGCGGATGGATCGTTGGGGCCATTGGGAGAGGAGTTTTTCGCGTTCTGCTTCGAGTTTGGAGGGATTGCGGCCGTGGAGGATGATGTTGAAGCCTGTGGCACAGAGTTCTTCTGCGAAGCTTCGCCCGATGCCATCGGTGGCGCCGGTCACCAGCGCCCAGGCTGCTTCATGTTCGGCTGCATTGGGCTTTGTGTGCAGATAGCGCTGCAACGTGCTTCGATGAAGGAAGTGCAGATGTATGAAGGATGCGAGCTTGTATGCTTGGTGTGCTGCCCAGACGGTTCCGATGACTTTGGCAGCCGACATGAGGCGGTCTGGTATCATTGCGACCGAAAACATGGTCCACTGAGGGAACGGGCGCAATTGAAGGTGTTGAGCCCTAAGCTGATGTTATATGTGTGATTGTTGTGATTGTTGTTATTATTCATGCCACCCAAGAATCCAGGATGCAAGGTCATGTTGCCAGCGCCGCTTACCGTGGGCCTCTCGGCACTTGGTCTAGTATTTCTAGCCATCGGTGTGAGATGGCCAGAGTTCTCGCCGGGCAGTAGAGGCTTACAGAGAAGTATCGAAGTATCGAATTGCATCAGGCGGGTCAGGCTTAACTGTATGCTCTGGAACTCTATCTGATACATACTTCTGCCCTATGCCGCCCCTATCCAATGCGAACCATGAGCACTTCTGTCCGAGTCACGTGAATTCGCGGAATGATGGTGAGGTCAACATCACAGCCCGCGCCCGCAACACCGGCCCGCATACCGCCGCATACCCATCAAAACGGTCGAAACGATCCTCTTCACCTCGAACTTCCATCGGTATCCGTCTTCACCACCACCGCTATCAGGCCTCACAGCAACGTGCAATCGCCATGAGGCATTACGGGAGGCGCCATCATCAAGTTGCTCCGTGCACTTCCCGCGTCTGGACCTCAGGCAGCTGCAGACACACGAGCACCACCAGACTCGACACTCATATTGCCGCTCATCATCAGCTGAAGGACTGAGGGCCCCATCAATCACATGACTCCAGCAACATGTCGCAGCAGACATCCGACCAGCTGTCACGCTATCGCTGGGCGGGCTTCCTCGTGGCCACCGCCGCAGGACTCTACGTCTCGAGACGACTATACCACTCGTACACACAGCTGCCTGCCACCACTCTTCGAAGAAGCAACGCCGTGCACAGAAACCGCAACAACGGACTGGGACCAGTCGATTTCGAACCGCCGACGTCCGAGGCGCCCTTTGGATTCGTCTTGATCCGTAAGCACAACAACGAAACGATGGCCATCAATCTGGCAACGACGCGACTGCCCTCCGCCCAGGTGTTGAGGGAACTATTTGGCAACGGCAGTGAGGCCATCCGACGCAATGCGCAGACCTTGGCGCTGCAATGTGTTCTCGCCCTGGCTTGGGTCAAGGCGCAGGATGCAGAGGGTAGGTTGGTGCTGCGCAGCCATGGCTTCGATGAGCTCGCCACAGCCATGCTCAGCCAGCAGATGGACGCCATCTTGCAAGCGAGCTACGCTCTTCTGACCTCCATGGATCTTGACACGGTGGATCCCCAGTACGTGCGTGAGGCCGTCGAATCTTTGAGCAGGGACAATCCTTGGCACAGTGGCAACGCATCAAGTTCAGGTGACGAGGATCCGGATCCTGCAGACACAGAAGAAGTCTGGGACGCTGAGAGAGCTGAGCCAAGTCAAGGGTTGCGAGGTCTCCTATACTACATTGCCGAAGATGACGCGAAGCGCAAAGCCTACGAGCATCGAGGCATTCGGTGCGAGGAGTGCGGCGATTTCCCTATCCATGGTGTACGCTGGCATTGTCTGAATTGTCCCGACTTTGACCTGTGTTCGGCCTGCGAGGCCCATACTCGACACCCCAAGACTCACGTGTTTGCAAAGATCAAGATACCAGTCCCCGTTCTGTCCCAGCCCACGGAGAAGATGAAACCGTGGTATCCTGGTGATTCTAGAAAGATTCACGCTTCTCTATTCATACAACTGAAGAAACAGTTGTGCCTCGAGTATGATTACGAGGAACCTCAGCTCGACGCAATGTACGATCAATTCACGTGCTTAGCTAATGTTCCCTGGGAGCAGGACCCAACCAAGATCAAGTGCGCAATCGACAGACGAGCATTCAACAGAGCAATGACTTCGGACCGCTGGCCAGCTGGGCTGGCTACGAATGCCATGTACGACCGCATGTTTGCATTCTATGACACAGATACGAATGGTCTGATTGGTTTCACCGAGTTCGTGAACGGCATGGCGTACCTACGAGGTCCCAAGCGCTTCGCGTCGTTGAGAAGAACCATACAAGGGTATGATCTCGATGGAGATGGATATGTTAGCAGGGCAGACTTTCTACGAATCCTTCGTGCCAAGCACATCATTCAAACACAACTCATCAGCGACCAAGTGGAGTTCCAAGAGGACGAGCGGGTACAGGCCAGCATGGATGTATTACGATCCAGTCAGCCCATTAGCTCCATCTTTGCGGAAGAGCAGATACCTCCGGGAGAAAGGCGGCACCCACGTGGCAAGTATCCTGACGAGTTTGGCGACTTGCAACCTTTGCCTACCACAAAAGCCGTTCTCAGTGATGAAGACCCCTATGTTCGGCGGTTACCTGCTCGTGATCGTCTTCGGACAACATTGTCGCGATTTGAAGAGCATATTGGGCGTTCCACAATGCAAGGCGACGACAGTCCCCGCGACGAGGATGTGGAACAGCAAGTGGCATTGTCCGTGCTTGCGCCAGTCGAGGAGGAGACCATAGACCCATACGTGCAAGACATTCTGTGGCAGGTGGAGGAGAATGGCTTCAACGAGCTCCTGGATCCCCTGTTCAAGGATCGAGAAGAAGAGGACTCCGATGTTATGAGGACTCGCGTGGAAAGAATGTTGTGGGCTTCGGAAATTGAAGATGCTCTTGCCGCTAGAGAAGCGGGTTTGCTACCTCAGCCAGGTGCTGCGGCGGCGGCGGCGGCGGTCAAACAGTCCACTCCCACGAGCAAGCCAAGTGGCTTGGCGAGCACTGCCGTGGAGGTCCCACAGCGTACCGACGAAATCATTGCAGACCTAGCCAATGCGATAGACGGCATCAGATCTGGTTCTCAGGGCCCAACCACCGCTGCAGACAGCATTGTACCAACAGACTGGCTCAGCCTCGAGAGACGAGAAGCCCAGATTGCCGAGGCACCGCTGGAGGATCTGTTGAACAGCCAAGGCTACGGGCTACGCGACAATGCACACGAAGGAGCAGCGGCATCAGAACCTCGGGTTGCATCCTCTGACAGCTCGAGCATCTGGAACGGAATTCCCGCAGATCGAGCAACATCACCACTCAAGACGACAACCATTAGTGATAATGACGATCATAATCATGACAACTCCATGGAACCACCCCCATTACCGCAGCGCCAAACACCACCATCACCACCACCACCCCAACAAGAGAAGAAGACGACCGCTTCGGAACCCTCGCGCCTTTCCCAGCTACGACTCGAGCAACTCGTGCGCCTGCATGACCTGGACGCGGAAATCACTCGCCGTGGTGGACCGGGACGGCTGACGTATGACGAAATCGAAAATTTGGTCGTCAAGAGTGGAAATTCCGAGTTGAGGGGTTTGGTGAAGAGTTGGTTGGAGTGGGCTTGTTTTTGATGATGATGAGATACAATGAGGAATGAGATGATGCATGGAGGATGAGGAAATTGAGAAACTTGAGGAACTTGAGAATGGTGGTGGGATGGATGACGAAGCATGGTGATGGGCGGTATTGTGGCAATTGAAAAATCACTGACTGCATGGTTTTGAGGTTGTTGGGTCTTTTCTTATCCAGTGACTTACTTACTTACCCTACCTTACTTACCTGGAGTAGAGTGAGGTAGTTGGATATGATGGATGCACTCATCATCGTCGTCGTTGTGGTCGTGGTCGATTGATACCTACCTTACTTACCTCTGGGTACCCTTTGGAGAAAGGTTAGGTAGTTAGCTGTGATTAATCAATCAATCAATCAATCCATCCATCCATCAAAAAAGATCATCAATAGAAGTTCTTACGCAGGGAGAGGGAGAGAAAGAGATAGCAAAGCCCAAAAAAAGTACTCTGTATAATCTGATATGGGTAGGTAGTAGGGAACTTAGGTGCAAGTGTTTATGTATATCGTGAATCAGAAACTCTTCTATCGTATAATAGTTATGTTATCAATTCCTTTCGGCAATATTACATCCTTCTTGCCTTCAAAAATTTCCCCGCCCACCATTCCGAGATTTCCCAGGACCTAATCCAGATATCCGCCCCCCTCCCGGGTCCCGATATTGCCCCATCCAGGATATTCGTCTCTGATTCCCAATTTTTCATCAATTCATCACATCATCATCGCCTTGATAATTGGTTTCTTCTTTCCTGTCCCATCCCTATATCCCTATCCCTATCCCTCATCCTCGCATTCCCAACATATCATATCATATCAACCCATATTCCGCATCCACATATTGAGAGAAATACTCATCTTACCCCGGCCTCCAATAGTCCTTCCGCCCTTCTTGTTCCAACATGAAACTATCATCATCTTCATCATCACCATCCCTTCTTCTCTCGCCAATATACGAGAATTCCTGATCGACACAACTACTCTTCATGATTTCGAGGGTGGGTTTTCTTCCTCCTCCTCCTCCTGTAGTAGTGGGGGTCGGGACGGCAGGAGCAGGGGTAGAAACTGTAGTAGTAGCAGGTGAATGATGATGAGGATGTGGAGACAAGAGAATCGCTTCGTCGGGTTCGGGGATCGGCCAGGTAGGACTTCGAGAGGCGGGGTGGGTGGAGATGATGACTCTGCTTTTGCTGCTGCTGTTGCTGTTGCTACTTGTGTGGGTCTTCTCGACGAGACGAGAGGGTGGAAGCATGCCGTATTCTTCGTCGCCGTCCCAGATGCTGTCTTGGGTGGTGTTGGTGATGGTGGAGGGGAGGAGTCCGTGGCGGGTGAAGAAGGGCATTTTGAATAGGGAAGAAGAGGAGGAGGGTTTGCTGGAGGATTTGGCGTGGTGGGAAGGAGAAGATCCTTGGTGGGAGGGATTCGTGTGATTTTGAGATGCCATGGGAGATTCGTGTGCGGAGGAGGCGCGGGAGAATTTGGAAGAGACTTTGGATGTAAAGGTCAAGATGGGTTGGTGGAGTAATGGTTTCAAGGAAGGTGCGCATGCACAGATCTTTATCCTCGGTCGTCAGCACCTGCACAATGATTCTTCAAGTATGATGATAATTCTTTAGGGCTTTGTGGAAACTCACCACTGCGAGGTCAATCTCAATCGCTGCACAAATCCAGAGCGGATACGAATACCATGTTTCATCCCAGCTGTTGATCAACGACTGCCAGATAAAGTATGTTCTGATAATTCCCGCAATGGTGACGATGAAGCCCAGGCCTAGGAGAATGCATACTCCCGTGCGGTGCTTCGCGGGCATCTTGAGCTTCCACACTAGAGGGATGGGCAGCAAGGTGCACAGCAAATCCGCGATGCAATTGAAGATTCCAATGATGAGCGTGGAAGTGCCTTCGTTCATGCACTTGTGTCCTTCAATCAGTGGAAAGACCCAATATGCCTCGACGGGATCGCACAGCCAGATTCCCACACACGTAAAGGCAATGCCCAGGCCGACCACGAAGAACATGCTGGCATGCAAGACTTTGTTGAACCAGGTGATGCCACTGTTTTTGACGAGGCGATAGTAGAAGCAGATGAGCGATATTCTCGTAAAGGATGCAGCGCCGACGAATAAGAGCTTCGCAGTGAAAGCAGCAATGTTGGCATCTTGTAGAGCAGTGAGACGTACGTCCCAGATGTGTCGGTCCCACGAGTATCGTCGATTGGCGAGGATGACCACGACATTCATTGCTATCGTCTGGATGAGGAGGAGAATGATGGTTAGAAGTCACTCATATGGTGGCAGAGGGAGAAGTGAGGAGCAGGAGGAGCTTACGAAGAGCTAGAGAGAAAGAGAGAGGGTTAGCATGAACGATGTGTTATCATTGGGTGGACATGGAATAAGAAGAGTCGGCAGGCAGTAATGTGCTGTAGACTTACCAGAGCAATAATGATGAAACCATCATCCCAGCCGAACCAACGCTTCACAATAATGCGACTGTAGAAGCGGCCCAGACAGGAAAGCAGCACGAGCACGGTGAAGATGACCATCAGGATCAGAAGGGTCAATCCTCGGGTCTCGGGATGATCATAATTGGGAGTCGGCCAGGACAGGATGACATCTACGGGTGGTATCTGCATCTTGTTTTTTATCGGGATTCGTGCACGGGGAGGAGGGGCGGGTGTCGCTCGAAGGATGTGATAATAATGAACATGGCCGACGGGAGACTCGAATGGGGAGGATGGTCTGGGCAGCAGAGGAGAGAAGAAGGAGAGGGAGGAGAAAGGAGGGAAGAGAAGAGAAGGGGAGGGAGAGGGAGAGGGAGGAGAGAGAATGAAGAGAGCGAGAGAGAAACAGAGATGCGGTCGAGAGTACGCAGAACCGCAAGACTGGATGGTCACAGAACACGAGATCCGCTTTATGTGACAGGTGCGTGCAGAGCCGTGGTGGTGGAAGGGGAAGCTAGGACAGGACGAGACAGGACCAGACGGGACCGGACCAGACAGAAGCAGACAAGATTAGACAGCAGCCAAGAAGAGAGGACAGGTTCATGGTAGGACGAGCAGGAAAGTGAGCGAGCAAAGAAGGAAGAGGAAACAGAGAGAGAGATCTTGTGATGAGGGAGGTTTGGCCTTCCCTGGGTTGATGCCGGCACCGCGGACTCACTCGCACATTTCCCAGCCCCGGACTGGAAGAGGAAATACGGGAACTGAAGTGGAGGAGATACAGAGAGACAGACGGCGCGAGAGATGGATGCCCAGCCTAGCCCAGTCCAGTGTACAGGACCACGAGAAAGCAGAGAAAAATACGGTACGCAAAGAGCGCACAAAACGGACAGTCCTCTTTTGGTGCCACCCACCCTCGCGTCGATTAAAGCAGACACGAGGGAAAAATGAGTCGGTGGGTGTAAAATGCGCCAATGGGTGCGGAAGAGACGTTGTGTAAGGGTAACACGACATATGCTTGCCGAGAGAGAGAGAGAGAGCCAGAGAGAAAGAGAGAGAGCGAGAGGAGAGGTGTGGATGTTGTTATTATTACCTATTCGTTTTGGAACCTAAAGCAAGGAAACTCTATTTCTTGCTAGCCACAATCCATTGCCGGAGCATACTTGCTACCTACTTACAGTATCGTCGACCCGAATCTCTTTTCCGATTGCCGCGTGTCCCTAAGGTAACTACAGTCTACTCACATATATCCATCCCCTCCACAGCTCATCATCATCATCACTCCCATCAGATGTGATAATGAGAAACAACAGTAAATGTAGTACAAACGACGTCGTCAAGTCTAGTCGGAAACACGTACCTGGGCCAATCAAAATCCCCGCGGAAGCACAAACGTCAAGGTCGAAAAGGTAAGCGCCATCTCACAAGAAAATCTGCACATGCATCGGATCAACCGGTGTCCCTCACCCGGACACCGGATGTCGATCCAGTTGAGACGGCGCTTGCAGGAGGCAGACCCTGGGAACGTGTTTCGTTCATGTGGGCTGGTGGGAATCTACAGTACCTACCCTGAAGAAGATGAGAAGAAGATGAGACGAAGAATGGCTGATACATGATATGTTACCTGACCTTACACTTTCCTTGGCATCATGTAGTCAGGTACATGTAGATATACAGTATAATTTTCTCCACGAGAAAACAAACAGAAAAAACCCCTTTACCCGAAAACATTGCACACGTGGAGAGCTTTTGCTGTCGTGGATGATTACATACATGTACATTACATTACCTTAGGTACATGACATTACATACAGTATCACACATTACATTGAAAATGCGACGTCCTGCCTGCTGTGCCTCTGTTGTTGGGAAATTTGGATCCGGACGGAGTATGCAGACCTACCTACATGTACCTAGGTACGGTACCTAGATGTTCGAGGGTACCAGGTACTGTGTATGTAGTATACTGTAGCGTACGTACCTAGATACATACCTATAATGGAAAAAAAAAGAACGAAAAAGAATGAAACGCAACGCAACGCAACGCAACACCAAGGTACCAGGTAAGGTATATAGGTAGTTGTACCTCCTAGTAGGAATGAAACGGTTCACAAACATCAAAAGTCGGGCGGGCAAGCAAGTACATAACTACCTCCTACCTAGGTAGGTAGGTAGGTAGAAGTTTTCTAGGGTTCCCAGACATATAATTGCGCATCAACACTCTTATTACAACTCCATGACTCTTTTAAGATAACCCCCCTCATGTTCCTCATCCTTCTAGTACCTCTACCAGTTCGACTCTACAGGTGTATACCCAGTAGCGAATCTCGTGTTCTTTTATTTTTCTGTCTCCCTCCGGCTACCTCCACGACAATTCTCTTCCACTCAACCTACCAGGTAGGTATAATACCTCTTATATTCAATTTCTTACATATCTATATACCTACTACATACAGAGGCGTACATACAAAAGAACAAACAACCTACACCTCAGGTAGGTAAGGTAAGGTACCTTAGGTAAGGTAGGCAATCCACACTGCCCACTGCCTGTTTCCCATCGTGTCCTGTCCTATCCTGTCCTATCCTGTTGTTTTCCCATCTAGGTATCCAGCGAATCAGTCCAATCCAGCAATCCAATCCATCCCAATCCAATCCAGCTTCATTTCAAGTCCAGCCCCCTTCCACAACGAGAACGAGAAACGAGTCACAATACGCCAAGACCAACTCCAAGACCAACTCCAAGACCAACCCACCCATCAATCAATCAATCAGCTACCTGTACGTATTTGGTGCCACGGTAGAAACCGATCATCTAAGATCCCTCTCGACGTGATCACTTCGGGGGAGTAGACTGCGGTGGTTGCCGATTTACCCTAACTACCTGTACCTAATCCTCTTCCATGCGCTGTTCCCCCACAGATTTTCTCTTGTCCTCTTTTCTGTTTCTGTTCGTCTTTCCTTTTTCAATGAAACATACATACAAGTGATCTTCATCAGGAACTTGTGACGAGGGAGGGAGGGGGGGCTTAGCTTGGTGTAACACTACCTACCTAAGGTAAGTTACCCATTCTAGGTAACTCTAGTGCGACGAGAAAGAGAGAAAGAGACAGAAAGAGAGAAAGAGAGAAAGACATAGTGTCTATGCTATAAGTATAGGTAAGTATACTACATACTGTATCTTCCTACGGGCTCCACGTGAGCGACAAACAGCGGCCCACAATACTTTACACGCCCATAGTACACCCTCGATGCAGGAAATGCTGCTCCTCACTGCTGCTCAACACGCCCATGTGCTTGCTACTCCTTTGAGAACTACCTAATTAGTATCGGTATCGTCTTCGGTGCTGTCAAAGTACTCCCTGTCCGCAGGATCATCCCCCAGAAACTCGGCAAGCCGTTCTTCAGGATCCGCCAACGCCTCTCTTCTCCTTCGCTCCATGTCCTCCATGGTAAGATTGTCAAACTCGCGTGAAACTCCACCCGAGCTTGGTATCGTCGCACTGTCGGATCCTACCGGGGTTTGCATCGTCTCGGGCGCCACCGGTCTGCGGAGGCTGGGATGCAAATGACGGTTGGGAAGCAGAACCTATTCCTCTTCGGCCTCGTCCTCATCCACCTCAAAGGCGTCTGGCACAGGTGCTTCCTGCCCATCGTCGTCTTCATCAACAGCTGTCAAAACGCCAGCTCCCGCGGCTGCCCCCGAAAGCCCAGCGCTCGCGAGTGCAGCTTCGAAGCCGCCCATGTCAGTGTCGCGAGTTCCCGACGTCGCGTTGCCACCAGCACCAGGTGCGGGCGCAGCCGCAGCAGTCTTCTTCTTGGCTTTCAGTTCGAGAAGAGATCTCGGCTCATTGGGCCGAGTATCATTCAGCAAAATCACTCCACCAGTGGGCTAAAATCTCGCATTAGTACACAGACAGAGTTGGCAATCATCGCAACAGACTTACCTTTTTGACGGGCTGATACCGCCCCTCGGGAGAAAAGCTGATGTACCGGATCTGTGCAGGGAGGACACGGCTCATGTTCTCGAGCTCATACCCGACCTTTTCTTTTTCCATCTTCTTCCTGCCGTCCTTTTCGCCATCCTCGCCCAGCTTGCTGGTATCGATGACGTTGTCATCCGTGTCCATCTTGTCGCCATCAGCATCGGGCTTGGGTGTCTCAGGCGTGTGATCAACATCCATGCTCTCACGCCGGTTCTGCTTGTCCTTGGCAGCCTTTCGGCGCTTGGCTTGCACGGTCGTGGAAAGGACAGCCGTCTTAACCTTCTCCGGAGCTTCTTCCGTCTTCACCTCAACCTCAGGTGGGTAATCAAACTGGCTGGGCCGGGTGTTGCTGTGGAACTTGAAGCTGGGGATCTCGAGGTTGGAGTCGACGCCAATGATGGCCGTCGGGGTGAACGACAATGCCAGGAAGTGGGTCAGTGGAAACCAATACCAGTATTGTAAGAACACGGCCATTCCCACGATGCCAGTCATGTTGAGGTTGCCAGTCTGTGTCTGCAGGCCGATGGTACAGTTGCGACCGCCAGCATCGATGATGCCGAGAGCGAGTGCACATCCAAACTTCGCCATAGCATCCTCGTGTCTGTCGGCAATGGCCTTTTGCAACTGCTTCCGTAGTGCTGTGACTTTAGGGTTCATAATCTCGTTCTGTTGTACCAAAATCATGGCCATTGAAATGTATGCGCCTTGTCGCACGAAATCAACCGAGTCCTTCATCATTGGCTCGAGCAAGTCGATAGCCTCGTCCAGGCCAGTGCCGGCACATGCGATACCCAGCGCCATTGTGGCACCGTAACGCACGTGTGGGTTGTAGCTCTCTGACAGCAGCTCAACCATTCTCGGCACACTCCCAGGCTTGCGGAATAGCACGAAGCCCAAGCTCATCACTGCGACTCGTCGGACATCATCACTGACGTCCGAAACAGCAACATGCAGAAGCTTGCGTACCGCCTTGTTGCTGCCGCTGCCAGCATACGCAAGCGCAATCGTCATGATACCGCCGTAGCGGAGAGCCGGATCAGCATCCTCGAGAAGTCCTTGGATGAGCTCGTCGGCACCTTCCTGTCTGTTGTACATAATCAGAGCAACACCCAATGCAAGACCGCGGACAATCTTCTCGTGCTGCGTGTCGTGAGCGTATTGAATCATGTCATCGAGAGCGCGGACATTGCCCGTGCCAAGCATGACAAGCCCCATGGCAAGGCCGACTGCCTCGCCGTTGATTGCGGAGTCGGCGTAAAGGACGTTCTTGAGCTCGTCATAAATTTCTTCCGATCCAGTCGCCATACCGGCAGTACCAAGACCAAGAGCACCTCCGTGTTGCACGACCTCTTCTTGTGTGTTCTTGAACTGACGACGCAGGTAGTCGAGAACGTCTGTACCGTGGTTGGTGTAGATGAGTCCCAAGGCATACAAAGAGCCTCCTTGACTATAAGTGCTACCGGAGCTGGCCTGGGCATTGTCCTTGGGCAGATATGGGTCGAGCAACTTCTGGCCATTGTTGATGTTGCCGCGGTGAATGACTCCAAGGGCAGCAGTTGCAGTAAACTTACTCCAATTGACAGCTTTACCCAGCCACTCTAGATTGTCGCGGAAAAAGCTGTCCACGGTGGTGCCTGCGTTCATGAACGCGTTGGTGAAGGTGACAGACGTATGGAAGATGCTGTTTCGCGCCTCCAAGGAGTCTCTGACCTTGTTCAGGATGGCACGATCTGTGTGTGCTTGGCGGAACAAGAACTCCATGTTCAGCTCAATGCTTGTCGTGCCGCGCAAAATGTTTCGGATTGACTTGTACGCTTTGTCCTGCTTTTCGTCATCAGGCTTTGGTCTCGTTCTCGATGTTACGACCGTCGAAGTCGGGGGTGCGCCAGCAGAGTCGTTGAGCTCGGACAAGAGCTGATCAGATTCGCTGGCTTCTTCGTTCTGGTTAGGATGAGGAGTGGAGGGCCGCACAGCGCTGCCATTCATATGGCTTCCATCGGTCTCTTCTTCTGGCAGTTCATCCATAATCTTCTGCAAAAACTCTTGCGTGCCATTTTCATATAGATCAAAGGACAGCTGGTACGCAATCGCCAGAGATTTGCCATCGCCCTTTTGCACGAGTGTGCGCAGCATGTCGGAGGCCATGGATTGCTGGTTCAAGTATACCACGCATCGCGCAATGGCAAAATAGTCAGGGCTGGGGATCTCGTTCAGAAGATCCAGTATCAGCTTCAGGATCTCATTCCGTAACCCGCGCTCTTGTACCACATTCATGCAGATGTCCAGCACGTACTCCATCAGGTCCTGGGTCTGACCTCCTACTGCCGGTTTCTTGCCCTTGCTAGAATCTGCCCTGCTAGAACGCAAGATAGCTTCCCTCAATACGTCCATGTTGCGGGCTTCCACTGCAATACCAATGACCTGCTTGTAGGCGCCAACCTCGTAGCAGCTCTCGAAGATGCGTTTGACCACGTTCTGCAGTGCCTTCTTCGTTTGGTTTTGCAAGGTCAAAGGATGTGGATGAGCTCCCGCAACACCTGCGTTTCCTCCTCCTGGGGCAGACGAGTCCCAGGCCTGCTCGTCCTGGCGCGCCAAAAGTGACTTTGACGGAATGGCAGCCTGCGAAAAGGGCGTAGTGGGGGAAGCTGTAGCGGCATTATCGATGTCGGCGGAACCATGGCGACCAGTGGCAGACGCAGGCGTTGGAGGGTTGTGCAGGGCACAAAGAGAGATATAGGTGTCGACGCATTTTGCGAGGATGGTCTCTTCGTATTCGCCAGCGTCCTCGGACTTCCAGTCGAACAGCTTGCCGGCGCCGAGGGCAAAGACCATGGATTCGTCATATTCCTGCAGCTGGTAGTAGACCTTGGACAGGACCAGAGCGGCCAATTCGCGGTGGCTGAAGTTGTCGTCCTCGTAGAGTGCTTCTCTGTGATCACCTCATGTCAGCACTGAAGCGCCACCTTCGTAGCCAGGACTCATCAGGGTCGCGTGATATGCATCTCCAGAAGGCCGCGAACAGCTTCGAGTAGGGCAAGAGCACTCACATTGTACCGATGGAGCCCGAGACCTCTGTCCAGACCGTGTCCACCTCATCGTTGAGGCGTTCGAGCGCAAACGCCTGCAGTTGCGGGTCCTTTTCAGTCAGGAACCCGACAAGACCGGCAGCAGATGTCAAGCCGACCATCATGCGTCGCACGTGCTGTGGAGAGTGGGATGGCGCGTGCTCGAGTGGTGATGGCGATGGCGATGGTGATGGCGATGGATGATGATGGTGATGGTGATGGTGATGGTGATGGGGAGTGGTGGGTGTTGATGTCCGGAGGAGATGACAGCAGCCGCGGCGGGAAACGAGCTCGATGACGGAGTTGCGATGCGAGTTCGGTCGGGAGAGAGGGTCGTGAAGGACAGTGCAAATGGAGTGGAGCAGAGCAGAGCAGCTAGTAACACAACAGGCACACTAGAAGGGAAGGCGATTGTGTGAAAGACAGAGAGAGGGAGAGAGAGAGAGAGAGCGGTGGTCGAGATGTGGATGATGGAGGTACCTCTACATGAGTCTGGCTTGTGATGAAAGAGAGCTCTCAGGCATCGAAGTCTGCGTCAGCTGCATCCCATCACCATCTGCATGCTCCGTTCGCGCTGTCTCTTGGTGACGTGGAGCTAGAACCGTTCCAATCTAGCGAACTCCAGCTACGGTACCTACCTGACCTTACATTACAGTACAATACATGTACACGGGCACGCACAGTACATGTACATTATAAGAATCATAATATCCAGCACCAACTCTACCTACCTCCCTTTCCTGACCTATAGTAATACCTACCTGCAAGTGATTCCCCCTACGTAGAATACCATACCTGCGTCTGCTGCGCGTCGGTGGTCCATTGTTACGCCAAGTCGTCTGCTAAAGCATTGTGACGATCAGAATTGCCCTTCGCTCCTCCATCAATCCACGCCTGTGGCTGCCACGATATCGCTGTTGACGCTGCCACCACACTCGCAGCCAGGTTTAAGTTAACCGTTGGCTTCTCGAGCACCCTGTCGTCCTTCCCAGCGTATTCCGGACGACGGTCCGACATCGATCTACCCAGACTGAGAGTACCCTTATCGAACGAGCGGTCCTGCGCGTAGCAAAAACGGTATCGGCGAATTGGCCTGTATCACTACACATGGCCACAGGAGTTGCTCAGGCAGTGTACCGTGCTGCCGGCAGCGCGCTATAGCTTGGACACCCTCAGGAGAAGATTTAGACTCGCATATTGTGGTATACACGTGCGCGCGCGCGCTCGGTGCGGCACATCAAGAGCTAGAGCAGGAGCAGGAGCAGGATAGGAGCAATATGGACCTACGCTCGCTGATGAACGACGGGCCTGCGCCGGAGAAGAAGCCGTCGCAGAGCTCACCATCCTCAATGGGACACGCGTCAGCTGCGCGAGCAAACGGGTCGCACGCATCGCCGTCTCCAGCTCTGAGCAATGGCGCGCCTGGACAATCGGCTGTCTTTCCAGCTGCTGGCTATCCTCCACCAGGCCGCAACGAAATCAGACAGAATGCACCCATCTATGGACCACCATCCGGCTCCGTGGCAGCGCAGGGCCAGCCGCAGACCAGAGGCCTGACCCCGCTACGCACACCAGGCCGTAGCTCGGGCCCGTCTAGCGGCTCATATCCCTTTCCTCAGCAACAGCAGCAGCAGTCCCAGCATCAGCCATTGCAGAGTCCTGCCACCGCTGGACCTCTGCCGCCATCGCACAGAACGTACGAGACTTATCCTTCCGGGACGCCCGGCGCTAGACCTTCGAGCTATGGTAACCCATATGGCGCGCAGCCGTCACCATCGCAGTACGGGCCAGGTGCACATCCGCCGGAGTCTCCTTCAAGTTCATCGCATCACAGTCAGACTCCGCACTCAGTGCATCAGAGCCCACACGCCGTGATGGGCCATCCTCCGCCTCCGCACCCACCTTCCTATCAACACTCCCAGCCGAGCACGCCACTAGGCCCTCCTACACACGTGCCTCGACAGCACTCGAACCAAATTCTGGGTGGCGAAAGCCCTTTTCGGCAGCGAACAGTCTCGGGAGCATCCAACGGCTATCCGGCACACTCGCCTGCACTGCACCAGAGTAGCATTGGCAGTTTAATTGAATCCCCCACTGCACATCCTCGACCTTCACCACGAAGAAGTGCGAGCGAGTACGCAAGTGTCATTGATGATCGTGGACGTAGTGAGTCCGTGAGCCCAAAGACGAAGCTTCCGCCACGGCCGCCGTCACTCGGATCGCGTCACAGTAGTCAGCAGGAACTGCACAGTGCTAGGAGCTCATTACAACCCTCAACAAGTGTGGCGTCCTTCTCGGAAGTACCAGGCCACGTGCAACAATCATCCGTGGACTCCCATCAAGCTCATTCGGCAAGCGCAGTTCCACAAGACTCTTCGAAAGTGTATGGTCAGACCGGTACCAGTAACCCTTTATCGGTAGCTTCGAACAAACAAATTCCGCCGGCGCTTCCGCCGGTACTCCCGTCCGCACTTCAGCACCAACAACGACCGATGGGTATGAGCCATCTTCTTGCACCTACACAGCACGAATCGAGTGTACCACCTGCACAGAATCATTCTCTCGCTCCAACGCCATCGCAGCCGCCACCGACACCTCAGCGCGCAGCACCACATCCGATCGAGGCATCATCAAACGGTGCGATGCATTCATCACCGAACATGAGCAGCCAGGGTCTCAAGCGCTCTGCGACAGACTCGGAGATTTCACAACCACCTGCCAAGCGAGAACGACGGCGAAAGTACACTGAGCGGCCTACATGGGCACGTTTACATCCATCTAATCCGCGACTGCGAGTTCCAGGAGTAATGCCGAACGGCCCAGACATTCGCGCTCAACCTCACCAGCTTCCAAACAACCGGGTGGGCACAAATGGTGCACCTCAAGTTCAATCCGCGCAGCAAGTGAATGGGCAGCAGCCACAGCCACCTGTGCAAGGTGCTCCAGCTGTCAATAACATTGCCCCTTGGCTTGAGAACCCTCCCATTGACCACGACATGCTACGCATGCGGAGACTTCTCGGTGCTTGGGAGAAGACGATCAAATGGACCACGCCTCTCCCTTCGCTCACAAAAGCTGTGACCGATTGGCTAGTGCAGCAACTCCTAAATTGCCAAGACGTTGCGCAAGATCCAAAGGAAGGTCAAATCGAGATCGAAGCCAAAGTTGGACGACTATACAATCAGCAGACTGGCCAGAGATTCACGCTACCAGTTATGAACATGGTCGTGGTATCACCAGCTTATGCCGATGTAAATTGCACGTTCCAGAGCGAAATGCAAGAGGTACCTTTTCCCTCCTTTTGCCCTCTAATCTCCTTCTATCATCGTGGTACTAACTTTTCTTTTCTAGCACGAGCACAAAGCGATGAACGAATTCCTTAATAGAGAAGTGCGGGAAACACACGAGAAGCCTGGCCGCCAGAAGCTATTGTACGAACGCCTCGAAGAAACCGACACTTTCGCAAGACTGTCCAAGATTGGAATCGGCGCTTTGCCGGAACCTGTCCAAAGACGTCAGACTCAACGCGATCCCAAATTACGCACAACAACAGAGGCCAACCCGAAGACAAATCGAGTGGGCCAGGTCAAAGCGCGAATCATCAAAGTCAAGTTGGCAGACCTACATATCTATAACCCCAGTGCAGATTATGATCTCCGCATAACGATGAACGTGGAATGCAATCTCATGCGGTCTGACCTGGATCCAAGTGCTTTGGTGGAAGAAGCTACACCTGACAAGCCCACTCAACCTGCAAGAAACAAGAATCGATTGTCGTACAAGCATCTCAATGGCCTTTACCAAATTGACCTGACGAGGGTCGATCAGGTTGGGATGGCTCCGAAATATGAGTTGGAGCTGGAAGTCGACGCTGGGTCTTTAAGGAAGCAGCTGGGGCCGCTTTTACAAGGCGGAGAGTCTGGATTTACTCAGATTGTTGATGGCTTCATCGACAATGCTACATTATTAATGGAGCATCGGCGGGCGGGTCCCTAGGTAGATCGCTCGGGCATGCAAACAACCTCTCAGCATCACCAGACAGGGTCTGTAAGCACAGTCGGAGGCAAAGAAGCTGATGTCGACTGCTTCGCGAACCTCACTTTGGAGCACGCTCGGGTGATCCTCCATCATCCCAGGATCAAGGAAGACGCGAGGAGGGTAGCCGATGCTCTGGGCCTGATATAAGCCAATATCTCGTCTTGCGCGGGAAAGACGGAGAGCGTTTTTGTAAAAGTCGATTCAGCAAAGCTTTCAAACAATTGGGAAAGGTGCAAAGATACCAGAGAGACGAGGACTACATTTGGCAAGAGTACGAAATAGGGATTTCTCTTCTTCCACACAACTTTGGTCTATCGTGTACTATTACTTACTACTTACTACTATTACTCGTCACCGCTGCCATGCAAATGAGCCAAATTCACCGTCTTTCCACTTGTACTTCCACTTCCATTTCCACTTGCACTTGCACTCCCACTTCCACTTCGAGACTGATGACCACTCCTCCTCCGCCAATCCACATCCTTCAAAACCGGCGCTCCGCTCCTCCTCTTCCTCCTCCCACTACTACCACTACCACCACCACTATAACCCGTACTCTCCCTCTTATGAGGAACTCTACTAACTCTCTTCTCACCCGCCTCCGCATCCTGTTGTTGTTGTTGTTCTCCTTCTTCTCCCATCCACTCCCCTCCACTCAACAAATTCGCCAAAGCCCCTCCACCTTTCTTCTTCATCAACCCTTCAAAACTCCCCTCTTCCACAATTCTCCCATCATCCAACACGACCACTCTCTCTGCAATTTCCATCATTGATTGATGATGTGTAATAATTATCACTGTCATTGCTGTTGCTTGTTCCCCTCCTGTATGTTCTTTCGAGCTGGAAATTAAAGTCGCAATCGTCTGACGAATCAAATTCGCAGTTTCGACATCTAATGCAGAAGTCGCTTCGTCGAGAATTAAAACACTGGGTTTACGAACTAGAGCGCGAGCGATGGCGATACGTTGGGCTTGGCCGCCTGAGAGACCGAGACCGCCTTCGCCGATAAATGTAGAGTAGCCTTGTGGGAGAGAAAGAATAAAATCGTCAACGCCAGCGGCGTGAGCGGCTGCAGAGATGGATTCGGGGGAAGCGAAAGGGTGGGTGGAAGGGAGGGCGTAGGCGATATTTTGGGCGACGGTGGCGGCGAAGACGGTGGGAGTTTGTTGGACGGGGACGATTAATGTGCGGAGGGAAGGGGTGGAAATGTGTTTCATGTCGCGGCCGCCGAAGGTGAGGTCGCCGATGTGGGAGTTGGGGACGCTGGCTGTGGAGTATAAATCGAGAAGGAGGTTGGCGATGGTGGATTTTCCGGAGCCTGAGGAGCCGACGATTGCGGTTGCTGTGCCGGGTTTGAGGCGGAGAGAGATGTTTTTGAGGATGGTTTGGTCTGGGCGCGATGGGTAGCAGAATCGAAGGCGGTCGAAGACAATGTCTCCTACGGTTGTGATTCGCGTGTCTCCGAGGTGCTCGTGGGAGTTTTTGGGGAGTTGGGCGAGACGGAGGAGTCGAGCTGCGGTGTCTTTGGAAGAACCAATTTGGGGGATGAATTCCAAGACGGCGCTGACATTTGTGATGGTGAAGATTAACATTGTGAAGACGGTGATGATATCTGTGACTGGCGCTCCTGAGACGGCGATTTTCGTTCCTGCGAAGAAGATCAAGGCGATTGCGAAATTGCCGGCAGAATCGGAGAGACCGTAGAAGAAGCCTGCGAAGAAGGACCGCTTGAAGCCCACAACCAGGGTCTCGTTTGTGGCGATGGTATACTTGTCCAAAAAATGAGTTTCCAGAGTGAGGGCTCGTACCGTCTTGATGTTGATAAAGGTCTCTGTGAAGATGGCCGATGCTCGGTCTGAAGCATCATTACTGCGGCCTTCCCATTTCTCCGCGACCATCGCATAGACCTTGGTGACACCAAAGACGTACGGTGCTATGGCAAATGCGATGAGGGTCACTTTCCACTGCGTCGCCAAAGCCCAGATCAAGGCCACGATGCTCATCAGCAGAGCCACATAGCCCAGGGATAAGAATCGTCCCAGCAGATTGCGCATCTCTTCAGCATTACGGTCCAGACTTTCCGTGAGGATGGCCATGCCATTTTCTTCTTTGGAAAAGAATTCTCTGTCCTGGTCCAGGATTCTTTCATAAGCGCGAGTACGGACTGAGTCGACCCATCTCTCTCCTGCGACCTCCAGCATGAACCTCATCAGGTACGTGTGGGTCGCGTCGAGGAATGCTACACCGAGAATGACCATGGCGTAGATCAGTGCTTTTGTCTTCTGGCCACCAGCCACGGCATAGGTCGCAAGCAGTTTCGATAGGATGTAAGAAAAGACAGGACTAGCAACAGCATGCACCGTGGCGCCCCAGGCTCCGCACAGGAGGTAAGTCTTGCCTTGTGCATCCAGATTGGGCCAGATAGTGCTGAAAATGACCTTGAGAGTCTTATTGTCTGCAGTGCGTTGTGTCGAGGTCTCTCCCTCCAGCGTAGCAAGAGCCTCGTTTGGCCCAGTGAGAGGAATCTCTTCAATGTCTTCAAGTGGCCGACGTGTCCGAGTGACTCCAGGCCGTGCACGTCGCATGTCGGCAGCATACTTTCCAGCCTGGTCGACAAGATTCTCCCATCCTAGCGATGATCGCTTGTTGGGTGGAGTGGCCTTGCTCGAGCTCTGAAGTGGAGAGTCTCCGTCCCAGATGACACTCGATGTTTCTTGAGGCGAAAAATTGTTTATGCGCATCCATGGAGATGCAAGGGCGGAGGTTGGTCCAGGTTGAGCCAACCCCCTCATGAGTGGCATTGGAGACCCTTCTTGAAAGAGTTTCGGCAGCTTGGACTCTCGCTTCTTCTCTGTGGCTGTCAGCTCTGCATCAAGAGGGTCGAAATAGGAGGCTGTGTTTTGTGGCAAAGGCCGTGGCGAATTTTCTGACGAGTCTGACCCCCATGAATCTCTGTTGCCCAGGTCAAGATCTCGTATCTCGAGTGGATGTATAGAAGCCTTTTGATCGTCGGAAAGGAAAGCCTGGAAGGGTGTGTTTTTCTGCTTCTCCAATTGCTTGCGATAACCCTCCTGCACGAGTCGACCGTTTCCAAGCAAGTAGATGTAGTCGTCAGGCATGATTTGGGTGATATCGTGCGTGATGATTATTGTCGTCTTGCCTTTTCGCCATGCGCGAAGAGCATCCATGACCAGAGTTCTGCTGATGTGGTCAAGCGCACTGGTCGACTCATCCAATATCAATATGGGGGTATCTCTCAGTCTTGCTCGTGCCAACGCCATTCGTTGTCGCTGACCTCCAGACATCGCACCTCCTCTGAAACCAACCTTAGTGTCCAGTCCATCCGGCATATCTGAAATCATAAGCTGCAGCAGCGCGAACTGTACAGCGCCCATCACTTCTTCCTTTGTTACATTCTGATAGTCCTTGCGACCAAAAGCAATGTTGTTGAAGATGGTGTCGCTGAACAACAGACTGGTCTGCTCCACCAACGTGACGTTCGATCGAAGCCAGGTGGTATCGAGCTGTTCCAGGGGCACACTATCGACGGTGATTGTACCGGCGGGGGAGTTGTAAAATCGCATGAGCAGCTGACTGATTGTACTCTTACCAGACCCACTCTTTCCAATCAGAAATGACATGTCGCCCCCTTTGATATGCATCGTGATATCCTGTACAGCCGGCACATCTGGTCGTGAAGGGTATGCAAAGGTCAGATTCTTCACCTTGATATTGCCCAGACACGTTTCCGGTGCGATTTGATCTTGAGGCGCTCCATCCTTGGTCTTGCTCTCAACCTGCGCCATGATGGCACGCAGAGTAGCGCCAGCAGAACGGCCTTTCTCCAGCACGATCATCTGTGGTAGAATCGCTTGTATGGCCTGGAAAGCGCCAATGGCAGAAAAGAATGTTGTGACTACATCGCCGGAAGTAATCTCCCCCTTGGCGATGAGTATGCCTCCGTAGTAGAATCCTTGAACGAACATCGAGACAGACAACATGACGATGAGGGCCATTTGGAGCGCACTGCCATGTGCGACCCAGGCGTAGAATATCCCTGCTTGCTCGATGGTCCTGCTGTACTTCTCGGCTTCGATCTCTTGACCATTGAAACACTTCACGGTCTCAATGGCACTGAACGCGCTGGTGGTGTACTTTTGCGCTTCCGTCAACTTGTGCATCATCTTATCAATGTTTTTGTACATAGGACGACCCGCCCAGACTGCAAGACCGAGGATCACGGGCGACGACGCAAGAGTGACCAGTGTCAGCTTGGGCGAAGTGATGAGGGCCTGTAACAGTGACAAGATCGCAGTCGAAGCCAGCGCAAAGAGGGACCCAAGTGGCTGAGCCGTGGCAAGCTGGAGTTCACGGATCTGAGCCTGCATTCTGGGCAGTTGTGCGCCGATTCCATTCTTGCGCAAGTCGTACCACTCGGTCTCTTTCGCCATCAAGCCATGGAACAAGCGATCACGAGCGCTCGCGGCTTGTAATTCCCCAAACGCGAGCCAGATCATGAACTCGAGCGAGTGCAGCACCCAGCTGGCGGCAGCGATTGCGACCACATACAGGATGTATTTCGTTTCTTTTTTGAGGAACTCTTCCTTGCTCAGGGTGCCGCCCGAAAAGCCAGTGAAACCTTCGAATAGATCACCAACGAACAGGTTCTGTGCTGGAGCTGTAGCACCTGCTGCGATGGAAACGATGATTCCTGCGACCAGCAACGGCACCATGCGCGGAATGGTGAATGCGAAGAGGACTCGCCATGGCGGCGGCTTCGTGGGCGTCTCCTCAATCGCATCGGGATCTGAAATATCGCTCTCTGCAATGGACTTGGCATTGCTCTCTGTCGACGGCCTTCGTCGGCGCCAGCCGCGCTTCTTTGGTTCTTCGGAGGCCATGGACCTTTGCAACGCAGATGCGATGCCATGTGGCTAAATGGTCATCTATATCTCGAATTAAATGGCGCAACTTCTATGATTGTTCGAGGTGGCGCTCGGTGTGCACGGCCCTTTCAAGTCTTTTCGAAGTGCTTTCGGTGAAGGTCACGGATTCGGGAGAAAGAATGTGTGCTTACGATTGTTCTTCGCCCACGCACCAGAACAATGCAATGTTCCCTATCTATGGAGCACTTACTCGCACCGCTCGGGTAGTTTCATCTACACATCTCATGCACGTAATGATTTGGCTCGTCGCTACTCTCAGAATGTGCCCACCTGCAGTGAAGGTCTACAAGGACGTCCTCGAAATTCTTCGAGATTCCCTTTGAGTCGCGAGGATAGCGACGACCGTTTTCCGTCGTAAGTGCACATTCAGTAATCGTATGTCGTGAGCGAGGCTGACCGGCACAGGTTCTGGCCCGCCACATCCACTAAAGGCGTATACAGGCAGCTCCATGACCTTTGCCTCACGACTTGTTGGCGCTGGCCTTTTCACAGATCCAGTCGTTCAGGCCGGCACGGTTCCTCGCAATCTCAATAGCATAGAATTGCATGCGCACAGCTAGACTTGATTAGTAACAAGTTCCAATGAAATCTCCTCTGCCACATACCGAAAATGGTTTCCTTCTCTCCATACTCGACCGCTGGACTGTTCCGCACCATGGCGCCAAAGTTGTAGTCCTCAATCTTCGTCTCGTATGCATTGATGAAGTTCCGCCACCGTTCTTTGCCCGCCTTGCTCTTCATCTCGTCCTCGTTGATGGTGGCCTTGGGGTCGAAATCGGGGAACTCCTGTTTGAAGTGTTCGAGGATCTCGTCGTCCATTTTGGTCAGACGCAATTTTGAGCCGGGCACCTTTTCGAGGATGGACCAGTAGGTAGACATGTGCTCGACGACTATGGTATGCCGGTCAGAGATCATACACTCTATATGCTGCTGCTGTCTTCATGCCCCACCTTTGACAGCAAACTGCTTCTCAATCTCCTCGAAGTTGTCGGCATCCTCGGCGTTGATGGGGCCTGCAGCTGTTTGGAGCGACATGGCGAAGGTATAGGAGAAGGTGGTGGATGCAAGAGGGAGCGATGATTCTTCTTCTGTGGCAGGTCTGGAAGATGTTTTACAGCATAGACGGAGCTTATCCACGAGGATGACATAACAAGGTTCATAGATAGCGACAGGGTTCTTTTTGCGCTAAAACTTTTTATTATTCGCAGTGTGGAGGGAAAGGTAGAAGCAGCTCTGGTTCTGGTGCTGGAACATATCAACCATGTCGTCGCTGCACGAGAGTACGACGTCGGCGGTGTCTCTCCAGGACAGGCTGGACAAGATCCGCTCGTCGCCCAAGCTGCAGAACCAGCAGCAGACGGGCGTCGTGCTCAACGCCATCGAAGATACGCTCCGCTCGCAGAAATCCGAAGCGACGCCCACCGCCTACTTCGCCGCCTTGCTGTCGCTCCTCCAACAGTACATCACCGCCGACCGCATCGTCAACAAGGACCTTGCTGCTGCCGTCGTCTACCTGCTCGACCTCATCACCAGCCATGTCCCCGCCCCGCTACTTCGCTCCAAGTTTCCGCAGATCCTCGCCAGTCTCGCGCCCGCCTTGACACATCCTGAGGCAGAGGCGCCTCTTCTGCGTGCGAGTATTGGCTGTCTGGAGTCGCTCCTCATCGCGCAGGATTCACAAGCATGGAGCCTCCCGCAGTCTCCAACCAGTCCGCGTGGAGCAGTGGGAGGTCTTCTGGGACTGGCCATGGACCAGCGTCCCAAGGTGCGGAAGAGGGCCCAGGAAGCACTGAGTAATGTACTCAGGCAGCCACCACCTTCTCCATCGCTGGATCACCCTGCCTCGGGCATGTGCGCCGAAACCGCTCTGGGCCATTTGCAGACGGCCGCGGAGGATGCGACCAGCAAGAAGAGGAAGCAGAGGCATCAGGAAGAGACATCGCATGATCCAGCTCTGATGCATGCGCTGCAGTTGGTGAGGACAGTAGCCTCTGCCCAGAATGGGTGGCCCAGCAAGAAGATTGACGCCTTGTGCGAATTGCTGCTCAACATCTCGAGAGGCAGCAATGAATTCCTCACAATGGCCGCTTTTGAGATTTTTGAAATCATCTTCGCTGGTCTCGCCAACGAGGTCTCGTCTACCAAACTGCCAAGACTGCTCGAAATCATCACGGAACTCCAACCTTCTCAAAATGACTCGCAGCTGCTCCCTCCATGGATCGCCGTGCTCAGCAGAGGCTACGACGTGTCCGCTCAAATTGAGCCAGATGAGACGTTCCAAAAGCTGCCCGAACTGTTCGGCAAGATATCTGTCTTCCTCGCATCGTCCTCGCATAATGTACGTGTTTCCGCCAGTGAGTGTCTCATTTCACTGCTGCACACCTGCGTGCCGGATTCTGTAATTTTAGATCCTTCCGTCATGGACGACAAAGCGATGGAGAAAGTCGCGCGAACCCTCAAGGAGCTCCTCAACGTTAAATATCAGACTGCATGGATGGAAGTGTTCAATGTGCTTGCAGCAGCATTCGAAGTCTTGCGATGGCAGGCGTGTCCACTTCTCGACAACATCATCAAGGCTGTGGGAGATTTGCGAGGCGACGATTCCTTTACCGGCAAGAAGGAAGCCGATCAAGTCTTGTCGGCCGCCATCAAAGCTGCTGGGCCCGAAGCAGTACTGAAGATTCTCCCACTCAATCTCGACGGCAAGGCTGCTAAAGGACCAGGTCGAGCGTGGCTTTTACCTGTCATGCGTGACTCTGTTTCCAACACGAACTTGGCACATTTCCGCGCGGCTCTGGTGCCCCTTAGCGAAAGCATGTTCCAAAGAGTATTGGGCCACGGCGACGCAGAGAAGACGATGGAGATCAAAATTTTCGAAACAGTGGTCAGCCAGATATGGTCATGTCTTCCCGGCTACTGCCAGCTACCTCTAGACCTAACAGAAGCAATTGATCAGTCATTTGCAGAATTGCTGAGCAATCTGCTCTATCAACAACCTCAAATGCGCACAGAGATTTGCCGCGCCTTGCAAAACCTAGTTGAGACAAACAAAGCCATTGCAGAGCTGGACGGCGACGAGAACCTTATTGAGCAAGGTCGTGTCAGTCGAGCTGATGCCCAGAAGAACTTGCAACATCTCGCTGGTTTTGCTAGCAATCTCCTCGCCGTGCTTTTCAACGTGTACAGTCAAACACTGCCGCAAAATCGGGGTAACCTGCTACAATGCATCAACGCCTATCTCAGCATTACTCCGGAGCAAGAACTGTTGGAAACCTTCCAGCGCGTGGCAACAATGTTGGAGACATCACTGCCAGTCGAAGGACCGCAGACACAAGCCGATAAACAGAAGTGGGAACGCAAGGAGGCTAAGAGCAAGATGCCACCAACATCACACACACTCATGGACCTCATCATAACTATGGCAACCTATCTACCACGTGAGAGCTTTGCCGGTCTGTTCATTATGGCTGCGAATGTTGTCAACAAGCAAGACGACCCACAGCTCCAGAAGAAGGCATACAAGCTGATCCCACGCCTTTCGGAGTCTGAGATTGGTCGTCAAGCGCTGGCAGAGCGCAACGCTGATCTTCAGCAGTTGCTTCTTGGCTCTGCCGACAAAGTCTCCGCACCAGCTCGGCGGGACAGACTGGCATCGATAGCTGAGATGATTCCCGGTCTCCCGACGACTGACCTGCACTTTATACCCTCAATCATCCCCGAAGTGGTGATCAGCTGTAAAGAGGTCAATGAGAAGGCACGAACAGCTGCCTTTGATCTACTCGTGCTCATGGCCGAGAAGATGGCGGAAGGTGGAACCGTGATCAACGCCAAAGTACCTCATATGCCGGCAGATGCTGCGCCCGTGCCAGCCAGTCTGGAGGAGTACTTTACCATGGTGTCAGCTGGCCTCGCAGGCTCCACACCACATATGATCTCAGCGTCCATTACCGCCTTGACCAGACTTCTATTCGAGTTCCACACTCGCTTGTCGGAGACTACCGTTGCCGATTTGGTGCAGACCATGGACCTCTTCCTCACTTCGAATAATCGTGAGATTGTGCGTTCTGTGCTTGGCTTCGTGAAAGTATGCATCATCTCCCTGCCAAGTGCGCTAGTATTGCCACGCCTGGAGACGTTGATTCCAAACTTGATCGTCTGGAGCCACGAGCATAAACAACAATTCAAGGCCAAAGTCAAGCACATCTTCGAGCGCATGATTCGCAGATTCGGCGTGGAGCTTGTGGAGAGGTACACGCCCGAAGCAGATCGCAAACTGATAGCGAACATTCGCAAGACTCGTGAACGTAGAAAGAAGAAGCGAGAAGCAGGAGACGAAGGAAACGAGGATACAGGAGCTGGTGCGCCTCGGCGTGGCAAGTTTGAAAGCGAATACGATGAAGCCGTGTATGGATCAGCCTCCGAGTCGGAATCCGACATTTCCGACGACGAAGTTCTCGGTCGCGCGGCTGCAAGAGGTCAAAAGGCAAAACAAGGCGGTGGTAATCAATACATTGTAGAAGACGAAGACGAGCCTCTGGACCTGCTGGACCGCAAAGCTCTCGCTCATGTGTCGTCTACGAAACCTTCCAAGCAGAGAGGTGGCGCATTGGAGGGCAATAAAAAGAGCAAGGCGAAAACAGATCTCGACGGCAAATTGGTCTTCAACGATAACGATGATTCGGACATTGAAATCGATGAGCCTGGCGATGGCACGCTCGAAGGTGGAATCAACGCATACGTCGAAGCACTGAAGAGCAAGAATGCGCCGACGAGAGGTCAAAAGGGGAAACTGAAGTTCAAAAATGTTCGAGATCACGCTGGAGATGATGACGACGAAATGGACATTGACGAGGACGACGCTGTGGCAGCGAAGAAGAAACTAGACGCGAGAATGCCTCGCGGTAACAAACAACAACCTCAACGACGAGGATTGGGAGGTGAGAGGAACAAAGGCGGAGGAGGAGGCGGCGGAGCTGGCTTCTCAGGTGGTAGCAACAAGGTGCAAAAATCTCCCGGGCGGGGAGGATTCAAGCATGGATTGCAAAAAGGTCGAGGAAGGGGTGGTGGTGCTCGGAGATAAGAAGAAGGCCCTCCTCAGTTTTCTTGTGAGAGACGTCGATATTGAACGAACGATAAAAAGGCGTACGGAGGAAAAATCTACAGCAGACAATACCTTATATTTCCACACACACACACACAAAGTTCTGTTTTTTCACCTATCTTGCTAACCGCGACATTTCCTTTGCATGTCTTGACTTTGCCAGCCGCATCTCGGAGTGATATCTGATGATCATGTAGGTCGGTCGGAAGGTAGGTATTATACCTTACCGTCTACCTTATATACTGCTGACGATTTTATATACATTCCATTCCATTCCATTCCATTGTACTATAGAGGTAAATCGACATATTGCGCACTCCCACTTCCTGGTGGCAGTCCCACTTGGCTATAGCATTCACTTCTCCGACGAGGCTTTGTCCCTTCTAGTCCAGTATTGCTTACCTTGTTAGTAGGGAGGATAGGTATGGATTTGTAGAAAAAAAAACATGTGTACTTATAGGTAAGGTGGGTAGGTACCGGTATCTACATAGGTATTCATACACATATACATAAGGTAGGTATACAAAAAGAAACGGGCAAGGATTTTACCGTTACCTTACCATGACCTAGGTACGTAAGGTACTTTTATATAGTCTTCTAAGTCTTCTTCAGCTTCTTCTTCTCATCATTCCCAGCACCACCACTACCACTACCATCAACGCGTGCTTGCGCCCGAGCCTTCTGCTGAGGAATTCTCCAACTCGTCTCCCATCCATACAAGGCGCCACTACCAAAGACGAGGGTGGAGCCAAAAATCATCAGGGGATTCAGACTGTGGCCGAAAATCAAGGTGCTGAGGATGAACGAGACCAATTTGCGGATATTCAACACGATGGTCACCGTGACAGCGGAAGACTTGGATGAGAGGAGATTGACTCCGGAGATGCAGATCAATTGCGTGAAAGCGTTGATGACGAGGTAGAAGATGCCTTGCGGGGTGCGAGCGGCATAGGATAGGATGTGACCCATGAGGTCGCCGATGGAAGTTCCTTGGTTTTGTTGCACAAAGTTGTGGAGTCCGGAGCGCTGCACGTCGAGATAGGGTGTGTTTGCCAGTCGGTGGTATTGATTGCGTAGGGTGCCGGAAAGAGGGAGGAAGAATGGCAAGCTCAGAACATGAGAGTAAAAGAGGTTTTCCGTCCAGCTGGCTCCGAATCGGGCATACGTGTCTTCGGTGTATGCCCCCATGTATGCGGAAAGGAACTGCGCGAGAAGGAGGATGGCGAGACCTTCGGTGTAGTCGGAAGATGAGGTATGAGATTCGTATGACATTTTCTTGCCCTGCGAAAAAAAGAAAAAAGTATGGTTAGCATGACAGAACAAACATCTTCTCGAGCTACTACTCGTAGTTGTAGATGTAGTAATACCTTTCTCTGCGAATCCGCCCAAGCACTAATCAACACTCCCACGGTAAGCAACACCACACTCAACACCTGCAACAGGCTATATCGTTTCCCGCGCACAAAGCCCGCAATCATGGTCGTGACACTTCCAAAACTGCGCAAGATGATGTGCACGGGCACACTGATATTGTAGGCAAAAGCCCAATTATTCAGCATATTAATCCCAAAAAACATGAAAGCGATAAACGCCCATCTTCGCATCGGAACTTTCGGTCGTTGTAATAATAAGGAAGATTCCGCTCCCGACGAGGAGGAGGAGGAAGAGGAGGAGAATTGACTCGGGTAGGCGAAAAAGGTAACGAAGAGGAATTGGAGGAATGTGATGATGAGACCTATTTGCGAGAAATTATTCAAACATGTTTTTTCGTGGTTGGTATGGAAGCATACATCTGGTGAGTATACCTGATACGAGGATGACTCGAGTTGGTAGTAGTCAACTACCTTGCTAAGGAGGTAGGTAGGTACCTGTACCTGTAGATATGTACTCTGGATGATAGGAGGAGGAGGAGGTGATTAAAAAAAATAAACATACCACTGCCCGGCTCCACTTTCACAATGGTTTCGAGAGTAAAGACATTGGTACAGCATCCGCCGAAGATGAGGGCCGTGGTTGTCACGGGCTCAATTCCGGGTATCATGCTGCCTGATGTGTCTGTCTGCCTGTCTGCCTTTTTTTTTGTCTTTGTATTTCAAGAGCTGTAGGACCAGAGAATGGAAGCAAAAAGGGGGTAGAGGGTGGATATTTTTATTTTTTTGAGTTTGGTGAAGAGATGTTGTCATTTGTTGGTTCTCTTGGGGACATGTATGTCGGAATTCTGGATGATTAAGCGGCCTTCCCGACAACCGCGTCGTAAAGAGAAGGAAGTCGCGGAGACGGCATCAATTTGCCATCAAATATTGATTCTAGCAGTGACTCTGGATGCATAAGGTGAAGTTGTACCGGAGTGTATACATGTACCTGATTACACGACAACAACCTCACCCGTTTATTTCTTAGCCACATGGGCCCTACCACCTGGCTCAAAAACGTGGAAAACATCATCATCATCTCCCTCTCCCTCTCCCTCCACCTCCTCCGCCACGCATGCATACATGTGACCACCACTTTACCAAAAAGACAAAAAAAAACCCCACCTCCTCGAAAACATCGCCCGCGTGCGTGCGTGCGTACGTGACCCCATCATCCTCATCGGCACCAAGCGGACATACATGTGCCTCCTCCATTTATCGAGCAAGCAGTACATTCGCTTGGTACATACCTTACATACATACCTCCTATATATAGGTAATACAACCATGGCGACCCCAAATAACTTTTTTTTCGAGTAGAAACAAAAAAAACAAAGAAATCATACCATGGGTTGCATAAGCTACGTACTCACCTACAGACATACGCGCTTACACAAATTTTTGTCCTTATAGGTGCCTTCCATTGTGATTGAAATGACGAAAAAGAAGAAAGAAAAAAACCGGATACATACCTGTAGAGTCACACGTTACACACACATGGCAAGATCGGGAAAGCGGAACCAGCGGAGGGAAGGTTCTTTTTTGTTTTCTTTTCTTTTTTTGGTTCCTGTGGTTCTGTTCTTTGAAAAGAATCGTCCGAAGCCCGTCTGTGTAAGTTTGGAACTGTCTGGCGGGTACCTTTTAGGTGGTATGGATGGATGAAAGGATGAATGGATGGATGGATGGATGGATGGATGGATGGATGAATGAAGATGTTATGATGTCGATTGACTGTGGCTAGGAAGCTGTTAGGATGTGAAGATTCTGCGATGGTGATGATGATGGTGATGATGGCGATGATAATGGTGATGGTGATGATGATGATGATGGTGATGATGATGATGATGATGGTGATGATGATGATGATGATGGTGACGATGGTGTTGGTGATGATGATGATGAGGTACCTCTCGGAGAAATGGCGAAACTCTCTGTCTTCTCTCTCTCCCTTTTTGAGGTATACTCGCTTGCTTGCTTCGCAAGTACGCTCTTCTGTCTTCGAGTTGTCTTCGAGTTAGGATTAGTCTTGCCTTGTCTTTTCTTGCCTTTTCTTTTCTTGTCTTTTCTTGTCTTGTATCATCTCCCGTCTCCTTTTTCATTCACCTTGTATGCCTCATCTGCCTCATATGCTCGTATACTCATAAACTTCCATCTCCTACAAGCAGCGCGATCGATCTTCACCACCCAAAAAAAATAAGGTACCTTGAAGCAAATATTAAAGTATTAGTACCTCTGAAAACAAAAAAACAAATTAAGATAAAAGGGACGATAAAGGGGAGGTAAGGTAGGAAACTATTGTTTCTTCCTTCAAAGTTAACAGGTAACTTTGAAGTTGGGCAACCTTTTGAAAGTCGGGCAACTTCTAAAAGGTATAACGTCAATCGTGAAAGGTACAAGAGCTTTGGGTTTTATTGTTCTTCCTACCTAATAGAATAAGGTAGCTATGCAACAAAAGTATATATATAAGTGAAGTAAGGTATACGGATATGTAAAGTTACGCGTACAGGTAGGTATAGGCACAAGTGGAAGTAGAAGTGGAAGTGGAAGTAGAAAAGATTAACATACCTGCGGTAGCACCTTGTATGCGTAAGTGAAAGAGTGTACTAGAGAGATTAGGCAGTATTGTATTCTATATATTGTATCCGTAGAGCTTTCACGATTGTCTAAAAAAGAAAAGAGACTTCTGCTACCTTACTGATTCCCTTATACTTCCCGTCTTGTAGTAGCTCTAGGAGTAGGTACATGGTACCTGTAATGTGACGAGATGTCATCATGTGGATGTTAGAATGTGATGATGAGATGTCATCATGCGGATGTGATGATGTGACTTGACAAACACCTCAGGTACTATACCTCCTAGAGGTAAGGTAGATCGATCACGCACAAGATATACGCACCGTTTCACCCGTTCGTTTTCCGCGCACGTGCATGCCCGTACCTTTATTTTCCTTTTTTTCCTTTTCACAGTTTTCCCTTTCAAACTGCCCGTGTTTCTCTCTACAGAGTCATGTGGAAACTACGTCGGCAGATGCATTGGGGTCGTGCGTAGCATGTGGGTGGCTGGGTAGGTAGGTAGGTGCCCGGGTTTTATGGGAGGACGAACGATACAGGTACCTGAGGTAAGAGGTCATAATGGAGTTTTTGTTTTTTGTTTTAGGTTACCTAGTGTCGTCGGTGTTCCTGCCAGCTAACTGGATCCTCGTCCTCCAGTTGCTGTTGTTGCTGTTGCTTTTGGTGTTGTTGTTGTTTGTCGTATACCTGGTACGTATCGGTAAAAGGTAGGTAGTGGCATGTGATTTCCCCTTCCGGCTTTCGGCTTTCGGGAGCCCGGATCGAGGTAATTGGCAACGGGCGGTGCTAGTAAAGATGGACGACCGGCTGGTCGGCGCTTTCTCGTGCGAGAAATAGAATTTGAGCACGCGCGATATAAGGTAGTTAGTAGGAGGAGAGAATTTGTGATGAAGTATAGAGTCGCACCCATTGGCTTTCGGTAGGAGATGGTGAATTTTAGCGGACCAAGAAACATGTGGGTATCCTGATTAGGTAGTTCTACTAAAATGGGCTGGGCAAAGCAAGGTTGTGACGTGTCCGTGTGTGAGAAGAGAGTGAAGAGAGTGAAGACAGCGCAATGACCGGTCTGCCGCGTGAATAGTCACAGTAGTGCGATACAGGCGGAAGATAAACCATGGATAGCATGGCCCCAGGATGGGTGGGGATGGGGTTCGCCGGTTCGGGGGAGCTGGAGACAGGGAAAAGCTTGTCATCGAACCGTCCACGCCCACGAGAAACAAAGACAAATGGGAGAATGCGGCAGCCACGAGCAAGCAGGTGTCGCAGGTTCCAGTAGTTTGCCTTTTTTTACCCTCCATGAGGTAGCGTGCTGCCGCTTGCGAGACGATCAAGGCAGAAAGAGAGGTAGAAACTCAGGTACCTGACAATACCTTATTACCTGTAGAGAGGGAGGGAGAGCCGAACATGAGGGGCGTGTGCCAACGTCTATCGTGCAGCGGTTCTCACATCCCCGACAGGAAGGACGGGATGGAGATTGTCATCATTCATTATTAGGTGGGTAGGTACCTGTATGATTATGATGATTATTCTGATTATTACTATTGGCATGAGAGCTACAGCCTACAGTGGTAGTAGGAAGGTAGTGCCGTAGTACGTGCTGCTATCAGGTACCGGGCGGACACACACCCTGGCACATCTGCTAAAAGGATTCAAGGAAATGCAACCACTCGCGTCGCTCCCACGTGCTCCGGTGGTGGTGAACGTGAGCCGTGAGCGTGAGGCGTGAGCGTGAGCGTGAGCGTGATCTTGGATCGTAAACGTGATGTGATTTGACCCGGGCTTGAGATGGCCGTGCGGGACTTCCGCCTCGTCCGTTCTCCATTCGACCACTATATGTACCTTGTGTGTGTAAGGTACTAGATGTTGGTGATGATGATGATGATGATACAGGTAAGTTAATGATAATGACGATGATGGGAATAATGTCATTGTTACATGTATCCATAATTGTTCTTGTTGTCGTCGCGAGAACTAGGAGGTACCTGACGGTACATAGAAAGTGCCGGGGTGCGTAAGTAGAAGATCGCTGTCGTCGCGCCCATCTGGAGCCAGCCGCTGCCTTCTCCGCTGCCGCTGCTAAAACGAGGCCCGCCGGAGGTAGAGATCCTGTCGCGTTGCACAGACTAGAGCGAAGCGTGGTTCCTTGCATGGAACGAACCTTTTTTCCCACACCTCTGAGTCGCCAGCCCGCAGTTACAGAGGTAGATAGGTGGTAGCTACCTTAGTACTAGGTAGGAGGTAGTTAGTATTCGCCCTGCGCAATCCGATTTACCGTGAGTCTCGTCTCGAGAGCTAGAGCACAGCAAAGCAAAAAAGAAGCTCTCACCTTGTTGCTGCTGCTGCTGCTGCCACTGCCGCTGCCACTGCTCGGTCCACCGCCCACTTGCTGCTGCCACCACCCACTGGCCACTTCTTTTGGCTCGGCGTCTGCCGATCGACCACCCGCCCAGCTCCACCTGCACATTACATACACATCGGGCCTCTCTGGACGTGGCAGCAGAAACGTGCCAGCCCAGCCCAGTCCAGTCCCAGTCCCAGTCCCAGTCCCGTCCACACTGTCCAGTTAGTGGTCCACTGTCCACACTTCTCGTCTCTGCAGTCTGCCAGTCTGCACACATCCCATCCTATCCTATCACATCCCCGACGCTGCCGGCGAGACCCTCACGCGTGTTGCTACTTTTCTCTCACGACCACTCGACCTCTGCTACTGCTGCTGCTGCATTCTTCTTTCTTGATCCCAGCCCAGTCCCCGTCCCGGACACCAGGTTCTCGCTCAGGTGTCGCTCGATGGTGTCGCTAGCTCCGCGAAATCTGCAGCCTCGACCAAAACGAGCGCGACCTGACCCTTCTCTGCGCAGCAATTGAGCCCACGAGCCATCTTTGTGTGCCGCATAGCACCGCTTCTCTCGTGCTCTCGTCGCCGTTTCTTCCCACCATCGCCGTACCTGAAAACCTCCGCTGCTGCTGCTGCGAACGGGACCGCCTTCTCGACTTCTATACTGGCTGGCCCCGCACGCGAACGAACCTGTAACCTCCGCTTCATCACACAGCAGACTTCACCGTCCTGGACCACCACACACATTTTCCGCTACTACATACCCTACTCCTTCCTACTGCCTCCGACTCGTGCCAATTCACCATATCCTGCGCCCACCGGCGAAGGCTCTGCCTCTGCTGCTGAGCTGCAACCTCTTTCCTGTCGACTGGTGTCGTGCTCAGCGGTCCATTCGCGCGAAACGTTGCGACACGCTGCGAGCACACCACCACCACCACCACCACCACCTCTTCCACTACTACTAGCACCAATACCAGACACCGCCACTACCACCACTACCATCGCTCGCGCAATATGGCATCTTCACATCCTGCCATCCAACTACAGCAGCATAGCCAGGGACTGCCATCCATCACGAGCCTCACCAATGACCTGCCCAAGCCAGCAGCGCCCATCTCACCTGAGGGCCAATCGCTTACGGACTCGGGACGAGACTCGGGAACATGGCCGCAGCCTCAAAGCAAACGTAAGTCTCCCACCACCACCACTCCCACCCCCAACCCAGCCCACATGGCCCACTGCTATTGGAAACTACCCTGGTTGTTGCCATCAGCCGGGACGTGTTCGCATGGCGACAGCGAAGCGTGCATCCGTGGTCTCGGCATCTGGTTGCCACATGCCCTGCACTGCATCTGCGCAAGTACATGTATAGATGGATTCCAAAGCTAACACCATCGCCACAGATAATTCTGCCAACAGCCAAGGACTGCAAGTGCATACGTTGTTGAATCCTGATGACTCCCCGTCGCGAAATTCGATGCCATGTACGCCGCTGTCCGCGCGAGTACCCATTTCTCATCAAGTCGGCGCCTCCCAGCTGCCGTCGCTCAACCAAGGCTTTCATGAGGGCCCAAACCGTGACAGCTATGGCCAACAACGCGATAGTCTGGGGCGTGAGCTCAACCGAGATAGCTATCGTGATAGCAGAGACCTGGCCCCGAGCTCGCATCTGGATTCTCGTCGAAGCAGTGTGGACAGCCGCATGCACCAAGGATTCAACTCGCTATATATCAATGGACCCGCCTCACCCTACGAGAGCGCCAACACATCACAGGTCTCTCTTGCCGCCAGTCTGCGAAGACAACCGGGACAGCCCATCTCACCGCTCAGTACTCGGTCGAGTCAACGCGGCCAGCCCGCGCCGCGCATCGCACCACCCATTATGCCCGTCGGCCGCGGGCCTGGTGTGCCAGATCCCACGGCAGCGAAGCCTACTCAAGGTTTTGCCTGGGCATTCCCAGACAGTGCCATTCCAGAAGAAGAGCGACGAGGCTCGGACAGCGGAGAGTCCAGTACACATAATCCGTCCAGGCAGAACAGCTTTGCGGCATCATCGGTTCGCAGTAGCATCTTCTCCAATGACTCGCATCTACCCATGGGGCAACGTAGGTTCACAGAACATGGTAACAGCGTACTTGCGGAAGAGTACGAAAGGAGAGCTGACATGATTGCAGAGCCTTCGACGACGCACCACCATTCTCTTCAGCACCGCACCATTTCTGGCCTGCAGCATGAGGGCCTGAACGCACAAGGTATTGGTAACTACAGCCGGACGCCAGAGCTCCGAGTCAGTCACAAACTTGCCGAAAGAAAGCGTCGTAGTGAGATGAAGGATTTGTTCGAGGACCTGAACAAGGCCGTTCCCCAGAATGGAGGCACAAAAGCCAGCAAATGGGAGATTTTGACGAAAGGTACGGGCTTGAGAAAATCGACGTAGCCATTGGGGTCTACGGTTGCTGACGATATACACAGCTATCGAATACATTCGCAGTCAACAGCATCACGAGCGTAATCTCCAAGCAGAAGTTCAGCGTTTACAGCGGGACAATGACTTTGCTCGCGAGGCGCACAAGGAGAACGACATGCTCAAGACCGAGGTGCAGGTGATGCGTGAGCATCTCAGGCGACTGGAGCCCAACGCGGCCCACATTTATGGCCATTTTACATCCCAGCTGAATCAGCAACAAGCACAGGGCAACGGGGGCCCCGGGATCGCTCTGGCTCCCCTAAACACAGCACCAGGCATCGGTCAGGCACCCGGGCCATTCAACGGCGCTGCTGCTCCGGCTGCCATGCAAGGCGTCGAGTATGGAACATATACGCGGTAGGGCCGCCCATGCCGGAGCGACTCTCTGCGTGGACTCACAACGACGACGAATGGCGCGAATACGTTCAGCGCGTGGCCAGTGCCGCCCCCCGAGCTTTCGCAAGCGGCTGTAGCATGAACGCACCGCATTCCTTTTGTTTCGAATGGCGCCATCCTTCCTCAGGCGCGTCGCTATTTGCACTGCATGCCGCGGGTGCGGTCAGAGCCTAATCCGCTCTCCATCGGAATTGTTATTATGGCAGGAGCCCTTGATACCAGCACTATACCATCACACGTGGCGCCTCGGAGCGGGCGCACGGGTCGCAGCAGAGTCTCGCGACTTTTTGTGAACGACGGAATTATCTATAGACAGCGCTGGAGTATCTTGTACTAGTGCGATATATTGTATCTTAGCTGAAAAAAAAGTAGCACGACTACGTATGAACAGGGTCCGAGTGTTGATTGGAATTACCTAGCTTACTTGAAGCTTACATAATCACAGATAAGACATTATCTCCGTTGCTACCTTCCTGTTGCAGTACCTTACGTGTCTTCTCCAGTCGTCTAGCACATCCATGGATGTACCTCACTGACCCAGGGTAGGAAGCAGAGCAGAATCAGCAGGTATGCCTAGTAGCTTCGGAAGCACCAACGAATGCTAGAATACCAGGCATCTCTTGCCAGCTTACTGTTGATCTGGCCGCCCTAGCGAGGGTTTGACCCATTCCGACAAAGGACCAGCCCATCGCTCCCGACCGTAAATTCTCTCGAAGGGTCGTGCATGTTGGCTTCGCAGCACTGCCCGGCGCGAACATGGCGGTAGAGGTCAATGGGAGCCGTTCCATTGGAGCGAGGGATTCACTGGACTCCCGGGACTCAGAGTCGGACTCATTGGAACGACCATCATACTCGACTGCGCATTACGACGAGGAGACTCTGAATGCAGAAGAGGAAGCGGAGAGACTTTTGATGGGCGGACGAGATGGAAGAGCGGGCCAGAACAAGATCAAGCGGCGAAATGGGCGGCACGATAAATGGCGAGGCAGCCGCAACATGGGCAACGACAGCGAGTCGATGCTCAAGATTGAAGATGGCGGCAGATCGAGCGATGACAGCGCCAACTCCAGCGATGTCGACGCGCTTGACCTCAGGGCACACCAGGTGTGTACCCGGAGTCGAAATACGTGATTTGTACAGTCCTCCAGTATGGCTGACGAGCGTGTATACGTACCACCTAGTCTTCATCGAAGCTGGCCAAATGTAGCAGGTTCACCGCGCTGCACATTATCATCCTCGTGGCCTTTGTGGCGTTCGCGTATGGCGCATACAGAGCATCGCGCTCCATTGCAAGATCATCGCCTTCGTACGCTGTGAAGACGTTGTCGAATGGCACCCATGACTTTGCACCTACGACAGTGCTCATCTCCCTAGATGGCTTCCGCGCCGATTTTTTGCATCGTGGCCTGACACCCACCTTGAGATCCTTTGTGCAGCAGGGCGTCTCTCCGATGTATATGATGCCCTCGTTCCCAAGTTTGACGTTCCCTAATCACTTCACTCTGGTCACGGGCTTATATCCCTCCGAGCATGGTGAGATCTTGCTTTTTGTTATGAAGTGCCCTGTCACGTTGGAGTTAACGTGTGAACTGATTCGTGTGCACTTTCAGGCATCGTGGGTAACAACTTCTATGATCCCGTCATGCACAAGCAATTCACCTATGCCGATGCAAGTCTCAGCATGGTAAGTCGAGCTGGCGGTGATGGAGAGCTTTCAAAACAAACCACTGACGAATAAGAAACCCGAGTACTGGAACGCTGAGCCATTGTGGGCGACTGCTGAACTGCAGGGTATCAAAACCGCCATTCAGTAAGATCTTCTGTGGACGTGTCCTGGGTCATGTTCGATCTGTCACTGACACCGGACAGCATGTGGCCTGGATCAGAGGCACATATCGGCGGCGTGGAACCAGAGTATGTCGATACATACAACGGCGACGAGGCGCTGCACAACAAGGTCAACCGGATTCTGGGCTGGCTCGATCTTCCTGGACCTTCCGCCGTCGAGACACGAGAAAACGCAACAAGACCGCAATTTATCGCGGCATACGTGCCCAATGTAGACGCCGATGGGCATAGGTATGGCCCCAACTCGACATATATCAGAAGCACAATCGCCGAAGTGGATGGGATGCTCGAGTTGTTATTCCGTGGTATTGAGGCACGCAACCTGTCAGACATTGTCAATATTGTGGTGGTCTCCGATCATGGGATGGCCACTACAGACACCACCAGACTGATCCAGCTAGACGACTTGATTGATCTCAAAGAGATCGAGCATACGGACGGCTGGCCGCTTTACGGATTGCGACCTTTCAACCAGTCCGAGGCGAAGCTGGCCGAACTCTACAACGCTCTCAAGGTACAGGAAGGCCTTCATGAGGGCAAATTTCAAGTGTTCTTGCGAGATGATAACATGCCGGAACGCTACCACTTTTCTAACAACAAACGAATTGCGCCTCTGTGGATCGTACCGGAGGTGGGATACGCCATTGCGCCCAAGCATGAATTTGACGTGGCTGCGGCGCTGGAAAAGGGCGAAATCTTTCACCCACGCGGCTTGCATGGTTATGACAATGATCATCCCCTCATGCGAGCCATCTTCGTCGCCAGAGGACCCGCATTTCCCCATCCCAAGGGTAGTGTAGTGGATCCGTTCTACAACACCAACGTCTACAACATCATCTGTGATTCCTTGGGGATCGAGCCTCGACCCAACAACGGCACCATCAGATTACCATTCCAGACTACAGGGCTACATGATCCTGCGGCGTACGAACAGCCGCCGGATGACCCACCGCCCATCGCTCATTGGGATGGTGGTGCCATTGTTCCCTCGGTTGTGGGCACTGGTGCTGGCTCACCTCCCAAGGAGACGGAGGCAGAAGAGCAAGCAGAACCAGTGGCGGAAGAGATATCGGCGCCAGCATCGGAGCCAGCATCGGAAGCCGAAGCAGACCAAACTGAAGCCAGCGAGAAGCCAGGTGACGAGAGTACGTCATGGAGACAGTGGATTGATGGCCATATTGACCAGGTGAAGAATTGGGTGACTGGCCTATTTGGCGAGCACAAGACTGTTACGTCTGGGACGTAGTCATTGGTCATTGCTCAAGACAAGCTGTCTCCCGACGGTACAGGATGTATATTGACACCAGCAATCGCAACTTTCTCACCAGTGCCGCGCGGTATTGCCGCACTTCGCCTCACTGTAACGTCCGAGCAATCGTTCCTCATGTCATCTTGCCACATTGGTAACACGACATTCGCCACAGCCACCGCGCACCACCCAGCACCAAAATTTATAGCTTCGCCCTTCCCTCATCGCTTTCCAGCTCCTCCAATAACGTCTCAAACCTCTCCTTGAACACCTGCACCAACTCGGGATCCATACTCGACATATCAATGCTCGGCGTACTAAACAATGCCTTTCGAGACCCCGTCACCCCAAACAAAAATTCTTCTTCTCGCGCTCTTACGGTCGCTGTCAGATTGCGAAAATCTGCGGCAAATTTGAATATGTCTTCTTTGTTATTACTTTGTGGAGATGGAATGGGAAATGTCCCTGAGCGGATTTGGAGATCGCGGTTTCCGATGGAGGATACTCCGCAGGTTTGGGGGGTGGGGTTTTGGTGGGTGGGGTATGCGCCTTGGATGTTGTTGTTGTTTTGGTTGGAGAGATGTTGGACTTTGCCTCGGTCGGCGCGTTCGATGCTGTAGAGATATCTGTGTGAAGTAGTCTTGGGTTAGCTAAGGTACCTTAGGAGGTATACATGTATTATATGTGGAAGAATAGTTATGTAAAGGTAACTCACTGATTCGCAAGCACAAGACCCGCACCACGACTCGTCAGAAACTGCTTTTTCGCATCCTTCTCTCCTGCTGCAGCAGCAGCAAAATGATTCAATCTCTTCTGATAAACCGACAACTGTCTCTGCGCCTGACGCGCCAACAATTTCAATCTCCCCGCCACACTCAATCGCGCCGAGAGAAACGGCAAAGCGATTCCATCGGAAAACGCCAGCATCATACTATCCGGCTCGGAATTCCAACCGAAAAAAGCACGAGGATTGAGAGGAAACCCCGGAATGAAAATTTTGCGCTCTGAAAGCGGAATCTCGGGGGATTGTCGTTCGTACATTTCCATCATGCAGACGCCTACCATGGCGTAGATTCCTGCTCCCATGCTGGCTTGGGCTTCGCGGACGAGTTTTTGTAGTTGGGCGGTATGTTGGGCTGAGACGCGGATGTGGATGGGAAGGGTGTTGAGAAGTGGTGTGCGAGTGTAATCTAGGACTTTGTTGTATAAGGGGGGAAAGGGAATTGGTGTACACTTTTCGATTTTCTTTCCTCCTCCTCCGATTTGACGACGACGACGAAGTAAGGGATTCTCGAAGCCGGCGGGGAGAGGACGACGGACGTGGCGGAGGATTCTGGTGATGGCCCAGAACCAACGTTGTCGGGCTTTGGAACCTGGGATGGGAGGATAGAGCGCTTCTTGGGGAGGTGGTAAGTGCTTTTGCATTATATTGGGATCGATGGCTGAGAGGATTTTCGCACGGAGGATGGGGATGGGATCGTTGAGGGATTGGAGAAGAGTTTTTATCCAGATGTTGACGGAGATTCCATCGGCGATTTGATGGGCGAGGATTAGTTGGATTCGGAGGATGTTTTCTTCTTCGTCTTTGCCTTCTTCTTCTTCTGCTTTTTCGATAGTAAGAGGTAGCACGAAAGCTTTGGCTAGAGCTACGTCGGGATCGATGATGCGAGCTGTGTTGAGTGTGTGATTGTAGAAAGTTGAGTGGTCGACTTGGGTGTAGTGGTCTTGGAGAAAGATGAGATGTTTCTTTGCGGACTCGATTGCTGCGTTGATGTTTGCGGGGACGTCGACGGCGAAGTGGAGGCCTGGGATCAAGTCGGAATAGATGAGCGTTAGTTGGTCAGGACAGTGGCGCTTCGTTGATGGGGTTTGAGATGCAAGATGCAAGATGTACGTACCTTCGGGTGCGATTGATGATGATGAATGAGAAGAAGTCTCGTCTGCCTGATTAGAACTGTCATCCTTCTTCTCTCGAACTGTTCTCGCTCCGAGTAGTAAATGTCTGGTACCTAGGTAGGTATTCAAATCGTCAGCAAGTCAGTCAGTCATTCATTTCGCCTCCCCCTCATTCATTCTTTTCCTTTCCTTTTTCTCTTTTTCTCTCTTTACCATTCACTCCTCCGCACTACCTTGCACTTCTTCCATCACCATCAAATCACTCCTAATCAGATCCAAAACCAAAAAGAGAAGAGTTCAATCCAAAACTTACAAAGTCTCGTCCAAGCCAACAATATCCTCTCCCGAAGAGATTCTTCTTCCTGTTTCTCTTCCTCCTCGTTCTTATTCTTCTTCTTGGAAATCGCAATCTTCACCATACAAGACATATCCGCTCTTCCTTCGAAAAATCTTCCATCGTTATCGAAACTGAATTCACACTATTCGTATGACCTCATAACGAATGCATATAAAAAGTCAGTGGGTGAGATCTGATTACATTGTGACACTCTACTCTGCTCTGCTCTGTTCTAGAGGGATTGGGACTTTTCTTTTTCTTTTTCTTTTTCAAGAGGTATGAAAGTTACTGATATAAAGGGTACATGTACTTACAAAACCCAGAGGTCGTCGGAAGAAGAATTGGTTAGATGAGGTAGAGGGTGAGGAGGGGGAGGAGGAACTTTTGCGCAGCTTCTGCCATTTGTAGGCTTCTTGGTTTCCATATTGGGAGAGCCAGGTTTCCATATTTTCTTTTTCTATCTTCTTTTTTGCCCTTGTGTTTTGTGTGGGGGTGAGTTTCACAATTGTGCGTTGGTTGTTTTCTCGAAAGATAATAATGGGGAGGCTCCTGTCAGCGTCGATGGACGGGAAAAGAGTGTGGGTTGAAAGTGGAGAGGGGATGGGAGGAGGGGTGATGACTTTTACTTGTGCCACATCAGGTCACCGCCGTCTCGATATAGATATAGCGTCTGCGGTCGGACTCGACATTACAGTGGCGAGCTTCAGATCGAGTCGAGGATAATTGGTATTTGCACAAGGATGGCATGGACATCTACGTTTGCTGGTAGAAGCTCTTACCCGAGTTCTTCTTTGCTGGAAGACGTTGTATCACAAGAAAATGTTCATCCGTTGTGGTAAGATTCGTAAGAAGTCAAACATTGTACGAAGGTGGAGATCTAATGGCAAATCATACTTGACCTAGCACGAGGAGGAATGTTCTGGCGTGATCTATGAGTTGGATCTATTGCTACGCCTGGTATCGTTTTTCTGTCTCAAGATCGACTGCAACCCAGAGCTGGTGAGAATGCCAGAGGAGACTCGGTATGAATATAGCCAAGATGCTCTACAAGTTTATGGAGCAGTGATGCCTAGGAAAGCGTAAGGTCAGCAAAAAGGTCGCTCATGCGCGATCAAAAGAATATATCTTACCTCCATCAGCATTCACCAGGGCGCCATTGATCATCTCGGCCTCGTCCGAAGACAAAAAGGCTACCAATTTAGCCATCTGTCCCAAGTCTGCATATCCACCTTCCCAGTCACCAAAGGTCTTCTTCATGAGCATCATACCCTCCATGTTGAAATTGCCACCCGCCAGATCGTTTCCAATATTGGTCTGCATCGCGCCAGCGGCAATAGCGTTACAGCGTATGCCTTTCAGTCTGTAAAAAGCAGCAGTATTCTTGGTCAGGCCTATGAGACCAGCCTTGCTTGCGGTGTATGCAGCACCATTGGCGAAACCTTTGAAACTTGCCACAGATGCAATGTTGACGATACTGCCTTTCTTGTTGTCCCTCAAAAAGCCGTTGACAGCACGCTTGATGATCGACATGGGGGCAGTCAAGTTGACTGCAATACAGCGGTCCCATTCTGCTCGCTCCATAGTTCCCGCCGGGTTGAATTTGTCCATGACTCCGGCCGAATTGACGATATAATCAAATGTTCCGAACTTGGCTTCAGTCTGTTTGAAGAGTTCATCGAGATCTGTTTCCGAGGTGATATCCGAATTTAACGCCAGCACTTTGGGGGAGCTGTTCTTCTCTGAGAAGTCATCGAGGAGCTGATGGTTAATGTCACAAACCACAACATTGCAGCCCACGGCGATGAAGTTCTCGGCGATGGCTCGACCGAGTCCTCCACCTGCCCCTGTGACAAGTACAGTCTTTCCCTCGTGGCCCATGTTGTAGGAGGTAGCTGAGTCTGCTGTGAAGATTGGAAGCTTTCCAGGTTGGTTCGCGAAGGGGAAGGGAAGAGATCTAAATCGTCGCTAGGAGGTAATCGATACGAACCTCAGTCTCGCTTGCGCCACCGTATTTGTGCGCTTCTCGCTTGCCTTGGCAGACGCCGATTGCTCGTGAGCAGACCACCATCGTGTTCACGGGTCGGTGTACCATTGAATTGAGTTCAGGTGCGAGGGGCACGTTCCACTTCGCCAAGTCACCCTCGCTGCACCATACTTTGGCTTTGCGCTAGCATTTCACGTGACTGATGGTACACTATACTTATAAGCTCTAGAATCCACACTGGATTTCCTGTTTCCTCTTTTCTTAAACCACAACCACGACGAGGAAGCTACACTAGAAAGCAATTAATTCGCGAACCGATTCCTGAATTAAATCACCAATAAGCTAATCGAGAACGGAGCGAGAGAGGGCTAAGGAGAGCAATCAATTTGGGAAATAATTTACGAATCAATTCCCTCCTCGACCGTAAGTTACTAAACCTTTGTTATCTTAAGTACTAAGTAGAAGGCTAATTAATTCAGAAATCGATTCCGGCGCAATTCGTCTACCTTGATCGTTTACGGCCAATAGTGAGTAATT